TGTGAGTCACTCGTGCAACCGACAAAGCTGGCCCTCTCCAGCGAGATGTCGCCGCTGTTCTGCACGTACATACCTCCTCCCCACTGCGCGAGTTGGGGCGGGCAGGCGTTAAGCGGGGAGGGCGTCAGGGAGCGAGAGGGGGCGGGCAAGGCCCTGAGCGACCCTTTGGGAAAGGCGTGCCCCGTTCGCCACCCCAATGCCCCTCTCCCTTCTTCTCCCGCCTCCGGCTGCGGCGATGGCGTGCGAGCGTGCGTGTGCGGTGGAGGCGAGCGTTTGTGCGGGCGTGGGAGACGCACCCAAGCCGTGCACTCGCTGAAGCTGGCGCCTTCCAGCGAGACGTCGCCGCTGTTTTGCACGTACATACCTCCTCCGTACTGCGCGGGGGCGACAGTTTAAGCTGGGCGTCAGCGGGCGTGTGGCTGCACAGGCTAGCCACAAGGCATCGGGGAGGCATGCGACTAAGCTGTGGGGGGGGCAGCATTCCAATGTGGCGAGGGCTTGCGGGGCCGAGCGGTGCGTGGGAGAGAGGGGCGACGCACCACGCCGGCCTCGCAGCCCGTGAACGACACGTCCTTCATCGCAATGTCGCCAGCGCCAGCCGCGCGCACCGCACCGCCAAAATCACCAAACCCGTCCACAAAGTGCAGCGCCTCCAGGTAGAGGCTGCAGCCGCTCGAGATGGAGAACATGTTGGAGATCTTCTTGCCGTCTAGCGTCGCGCCCTCCCCGCTGCTCCGGACCGAGAGGAGCATGTCGCCGCCGCACGCGACGAAGCTGCTAAAGGCAAGGCGGACGCCCGGCGGGACGTAGACGCTTGCGTTGCGGCCCTGGTCAACGGCCTTGTTGATCTCGTCCCGGATGTCTTGAGGCGTGTGGGCGAGGACCTCGCCAGCGGGGGTTGGAAGCAGCGGTGGACGAGCCGGACGCAGCTGCGGCGGCGGCGGGAGTAGCGGTGGGGACGGTGGCGCTTGCTCCTCGCACGCGCCGCAGCTCGCCGGGCAGATCAGCGAGACGAGCGTGCCCACGGAAAGAACGGGGTTGAGGGTGTTCAGGTCCGTGTCGCAGCCGTACGTCAAGAAGAACGTGCAGCCGCCGTAGCTGGCCACGAGACCAAAAAAATCGTCCTCGCACAGCAACGCCGCCACAAGCAGTGGCGATAGTGGGGTGATCTCCTCCGACTCGCACGCGCCGCAGCTCGCCGGGCAAATTAGCGACATGGTCGAGCCCACCGGAGCGGCGGGGTTGATGGTGTGCAGGTCCGTGTCACAGCCCACCAACCCCGCCGTTAAGAAGGCGCAGCCGCCGTAGTAGGCGGTGAGCCAAGCGGTGAGCAAGCCACCCGGATCGTCCTCGCAGAGCACCAGTAGCGGTGGGGACGGTGTCGATGGTGGCGATGGTGGAGTGCTCTCCTCCGGCTCGCACGCGCCGCAACTCTCCGGGCAGATCCGCGAGAGAATCGAGCCCACCGGAGCGGCGGGGTTGACGGTGTTCAGGTCCGTGTCGCATCCCAGCTGCGTCCCGGCGTAAGGGCAGAGCAGCGCGATCAACTCCGAACCGTCCTCGCAGAGCACCGGCGGAGACAGAGGCGGCAGCGACGGCGGCACCCCCCAAAGTCCGGAGCCCTGCTCACCAAAGCCAGCCTCGCCAGACCCAGCCTCGCCAGAGCCAGCATCGCCCGAGCCAGCCTCGCCCGAGTCAGCCCGAGCCACGGGGAAGGCGGAGAGGAGCAGCAATGCCACCGAGCCACGACTCCTGCTCAGTCGAGGACGGACCGCCTTGCTGGCTCGCTGCCCCGAGGCCGCACCGGAGCGCGGCGCCCGCTGCCCCAGCAGCAGCCAGCAGGCGCCACACGCTTGGAGGAGCAGCACCGCCGCAGAGGCGCACCACCACCACTCGCGGAGGGAGGGCTGGCCAGGAGTGGCGTCGTCGTCGACGATGGCGCGCACGAAGCCGCGCGCGCCGGTCCGGAACAGCTTCTCGCCCTGCGCGATCTCGATTGTCGGCCGTGACTGCCCCAAAGTCCCGCCACCGTCGGCGCGGCCGGTGACAGAGGCGCGCAGCGCCGGGTAGAGAAAGTTGCGGTCGGCACCGAGGGGGGCCTGGAGCAAGCCGGCGAGGGCGACGCCCTCGTCCCGCGCGTGCGCCGAATCGCCCTCGAGCGAGAACTCGCTCAACTTGTTGTCCTTGCAGCGCGCGTTTGCGTCCCCAGACTCGCTGGTCGCGCACGGGCACTCGTTCATGATGCACGCCTCCTTGTGGGCCGCCTCCGCGGACGCGTCGCTGCCGAGCGACGTGGAGGCGTTCGGCGCGTGATGTGCGCTCGATAAAAAGGAGGTGCCCTCAGCCACCATCTCCTCGCCGCACAGCGCCGAGCGCGCCGCCTCCGTCGAGTGCCCGTCGAGTGCCCGACGGATGCTGGCGTGCTTGACCGAGTCCGAGCCGACGGCGTCGCCAGGGATGAGAGTCGGGCAGCTCTCGGCAATCTCGAGCCCCGCAAGCAGGCCGAGCAGAAGCAGGCGCATCGAGCACACAGGTCGGCCGACGTTGCCGAGGTTGAGGGACGTTCCCCCAGGTTGTCAAATTTCTTTTTTTGAGCTAGACTTCGTTGTTAACAAGCGAAGGCACACACAACATGACGTCAAACACAAGCTGGCCGGCGGGCTTTTCCTGCAGATTTTTTTCTGCCGTTCAGTGATTTGTAACCTCGAGAAAAGGCTCCTGGAGTTGACCTCGCGTTTTAGGTATATTGTTGGCAAATCAAGACACAGAGCTCACGTGATATTCCTCACCTAATTAATTAATTAATTGCGTATGGTATTCCGCGTCGGGTATTCGTAAGTATTCCAGGAGCGGAGCCAGGCGCGGGCGGGGGGCGGCGCGGCGGAGCTGCCTCGATCGACTCAGTGCAGTGTACCACCGCCCACGCTGTAGATGGATAGAGGAACCAACGGAGCGCAGTGGGAAGGGGAAGGGGGGAGAGGCTGCGAAGGGCGAGGGGGGTGGAAGGGGGTGGGCCGTGCTATGCCACCTGCCTCGTGCGCACCTCTATTTCTGCTCCGGAGTGACTCGCCACCGCCATCCCTGGGCCCACTGGGCAGTCGTGTGAGGGGCCGCCCCCTAGCCAAGCAAGCTGCAGAAACGAGCTTTCAGTGGCTACAATAATAAATAAATAAAAACGGACACCTCTCTACTGTGAGATGGGTAAAAAGGAACAGGCCAGTGGCTACAAGCCTCAAGCGTAGGCGTTGGATTATCATGCGCGCGGAGCGCGCTGGTGCTACCCGGACACACGCGCGGAGCGCGCTAGCTAGACACCCGCGCCGCGGAGCGCGCCGGCTAGATACCGCGGAGCAAGATCAAATCAACACAACCGTTCGAATGCTGACGCCGCAAGTCGTTGCCGCCGGGTGCCAAAGTGTGCGCCTGGATTGCTCAGCAGCACAAGCATCCACAGAGCATCCACGGAGCCAGCGAGCGCCGAGCGACATTGCCTTGACTGAGCCGGACCGCGACATGTCGGCGGGCAAACTTGTAAAATGGTGCCGATAGCCGAGGTAGCCCCGGACTCGCAGGGCGACTCCCGGCTGGCACCCGTGGCGCGGGGCTCGTCTTTGGAAAAGACCAGGATCGCTCTACTGGCAAACTTCTAGCTGACATGCGCGCCCCGCCGTCGAGCTTGTTTGTGTCTGTGCGTCGCTCGCGCGTCGTCATCATCTGTCTGGCGTCCACCCATACCGCGCTGGTGTCCAGTCCGAGCCTGACTGTTCTTCACCTTCCTACATACATACATATAGTGAATGCGTCTCTTTTGTTAAGATTTTGACCGCGCAAGACATAAAGGGTGGCAAAGGGCTCTGCACGCAAGGCGCCCGCGTCGCAGACGCGGTACCATTGACAAATCTGCAATATACCCCCACACGAACAAATAGCAAAATCCGAATACCGTGCACAAACTGCGTGATGTCGGCCGTGCAAGCCTTCAGCTGTGGTGGCAAGACATCCGTATAAGAAGTGGCCCCGCGAGCTGGGAAGGGACCGCCGCAAGCGGCGTGGCGTGGGGCGGTTGAGCATCCCTCCGGGGGCCCCTCTGCGCCGGGGAGGCGTTGTTGGAGGCTAGGACGCAAGCGTCCGTCGCCCTTTTTCAAACTCGGGGCCCACTCCGCTGCGCTCCGACCCGAATTTGGAGGGCCATGAAGTTCAAGGTGTTGCTGCGCAAAAGGGGCGGGGCGCGGGCGCGCGCGGCAGACCGAGAGTTCTTTTTGGAGATCAGATCTTCGGTTGGTTCATGCTTTCTATGTCTATCTATGGACTATGGCTCTGGCTGAGGTCATGGTGATCAAGTGGATGTCGGAACAGCCTTTAGCGAGGCGCCGGCCGTGAGTGGCTCTCCCAGGCGCTCAGTCCACGGGGGAGGCACGCCAGGCCCCGGGCTGCCGGCCGTCACTCGCCTAAGCGCCTAAGCGGCCTAAGCGGGGGGTGCTTAGGGTGCTTAGGCGCTTAGGCGGCCCTTGCGAGCGTGGCGGTGAGGTGATAGTGTGATACAAATGACCCAGCTTTCATAAATAAATAAATAAATACAACGGACACGCCAAACGAGGGGTGGGAGAAGGACAGGGTCCCCACCTGCACAAGCAGGATCTTGTAGGACGATCAGGGACACAGGGGAACGGGAGCGGGGAGCGCATCGCGACACGGAGGGGGGCTGGGCAGGGGGTTCACCCTCACGACAGGAATCCCATCTCTCGTATAGGACAGGTTGCACCCGGCGGCACGGGGGCAAGCGCGGGCCTCCTACTGGTTGCGCTCTCCTAGTTCTCCTGCTCCTGACAAGGGACAGCGACAGGCTCGCAGCACGGTGGACTCCCTATCCACTGGCGATCTCTCTCGACTAGCGACCTTCCTCCGATGTCTCACCGGCAGTCTCTTCTACCACAGGCAGACTGATAGTTCACTTCGAAAGGCGACGGAATTCTTTTGCCCGGGCGAATCGGCCGAGTCATATGAACACCGACAAGGGCAGGAGCTCGCTCCGCAGCCGCGCCAAGGGCCTCTTCTCGCGTGGCCGCGACCTGGCCAAGGGTCTGTACGAAAATGCCACCTCTTCCCAGGCAGCCGACGGCAGCCACGAATACGACCCCGGCGCCTTTGGAGAGGTGCGCGAGCTGTGGGTCCAGCGGCACATGGCGCTGCGGCGCGACGACTACACGACCCGCCGGCCGCTCACGTTTGGCGTCTCCACCTGGAACGTCGGCGGCAAGCGCCCGCCTCCCGCCACTTCGTCGGGCCTGGTGCCCGAGACGCTCGACCCGTGCTGGCTGCTCCGCGGCGGCGCGGCGGAGCGGCAGTGCGATGTGCATGTGGTGGGGCTGCAGGAGGTGGTCGACCTCTCGGCCGGCAACGTCGTCCGCCTCGAGGCTGGCTCGGGCGGCGCGCTCTCCTCTGCCGCGGCGGCGTGGGAGGCGCACGTGACTGCGGCGCTCGGCGCAGACGAGTACGTGCGGCTCGTGGCGCGGCAGCTGGTGGGGATGCTGCTGCTGGTGTACGTGCGCGCCGACCTGGCGCCCTTTGTCGGCCGCGTCGCCTCGGACGCCGTCGGCACCGGTGCGCTGGGCCTGCTCGGCAACAAGGGCGCGGTCGGCGCCTCGCTCACGCTGCACGCGTCCAGCTTTGCAATCGTCAACTGCCATCTGGCGGCGGGCCACTCGCCGGGGGCGGCGGAGGGGCGGAACGGCGAGTTCGCGCAGATCGCCGCGCGCTTCGCCTCCCTCTCGCCCGCGCACCGCGCCGACCGCGCCGCCCTCGCAGCCGCCGAGGCGGCGGGCGGCCCGGCCGGGCTCGATAGCGGCGGGCCGTCTGGCGAGGAGGCGCGGGTGCGAGGGGTGCGTCTGTGACGAGGGATGGTTGGCGGGCGGTAGGTGGGCTGTCGCTCGAGGACCACGACTACGTCATCTGGCTCGGCGACCTCAACTACCGCCTCGAGGTCGACGACGAGATCACTCGCTCCCTCGTCGCGGCGCGGCCACGCTGCCGAGCCCCTCGCCCCTCTCGAGTGGCGGCGCAGGAGGGGCTTGCTACTGCGCGATAGGCGGGCCGCGTCGGCGAACTGCTCGCCGCCGACCAGCTCCGGTCCGCCATCGGCTCCGGCGCCGCCTTCCAAGGGTGCGACCCCTGCCACGTCTGCCCTCGCTGCTCGAGCAGCGCGTCGCAGCCTGCCCGGAGCCCCGCGCCAGGTACCGCGAGGGCGCCGTCTCCTTTTTGCCGACGTACAAGTACGACCCCGGCTCGGACGAGTACGACTCGTCCGAGAAGCGGCGCGCGCCCGCCTGGTGCGACCGCATACTGTGGAGGGAGTGCGCGGACGCGGGCGCGGGCGGGCCCTCCTCGCGCGCCTGCCCCGCGGAGCCGTCGTGCTGCCTCGAGTACGGCCGGTGCGCGGCCGGCCCCGCCTCTCCCGACGCGGCTCTGCCCGCCCGCCACGCCCCGCCCGCCACGCCCCACCCCCCGCCCGCGTGGCTTCGCCAGGCACGAGCTGCGCCTCTCGGACCATCGCCCCGTGTCGGCCGCGCTCGCCCTGCCGGTGGCCGTGGCGGACGAGGAGCGGCGGCTGGCGGTGCACGGCGAGGTGTGCCGCACGCTCGACACGTGGGAGAACGAGTGCCTCCCCTCCGCCACCCTCGCGCCGTGGGACCTCTCCTTTGGCGAGAAATAGCCGAGATGCAGCCGAGATGTGGCCGAGATGCAGCCGAGATGTAGCTCCCCCCTCTCGAGCCGTCGGGCCCTCTCCTCTTGGCGTCGCACGCCTCGGCATATGTCCGGGACATGTCCGAGACATGTCCGTGACGTGTCCGTGACGTGTCCTGGACACGTCCCGCAGGACTCGTCTCGCTCGGCACGCCCGCCCGCTTGCCCGCTCTCCTCTCCAACACTGGCCAGACGGCGCTGCAGTACCGCCTCCTCGACCAGCCGACCGACGAGGCGGCGCCCCCCTGGCTCTCGGTGCTGCAGGAACCTTCCATGAACCTTCTCGGAACCTTCCTATAGGCGGCGCCCCCGCGCTGGCTCTCGGTGTCGCCCGCGGCGGGGCTGCTCTTGCCCGGCGAGAAGGTCAGCCTCACCGTCACGCTGCTCGTGCGCGCCTCCGAGGCCGCACCCTTCAACGCCGGCGAGCCGCTCGAGACGTTCGCGCTGCTCCGGCTCAAGAACGGGCGCGACCTCGTCCTCCCCGCCCCGTCCTGAGACCGGGGCACGCGCACGCACATGCACACGTCCATCACACGTACACGTCCCGCAGGCGCGACATCGTCCTCTCTGTCTCGGCGCAGTGGCAGCCAACTTGCATCGGCGTGAGGCTCGAGTCGCGCGCCCGCGCCGGCGAGCCCATCCGCGCCGTGCCACCCGCAGGAGAGGGACCGCCGGCGCGACCGGAACGGCGGGGAGGGGGGGGGGGAGGAGGAGAGGGCGCCCGTGCAGCGGCGGCGGGAGGAGAGGCCGCTACAGAGGCGGAGGCGGCGGAGGCGGTGGTGGAGGATGGGGAGGAGGTTGCGCCGGACGGGCAGGAGGAGCCGGAGGCGACGCCGGACGCACCGCCCCCGCCGCCCCCGCCGCCGCCGCCCCCGCCGCCGGCAGCAGCCGCGGGGGCGTCTTCAGCGCCCGCCCCGGCGTCTGCGCTGCCCAGCCTGCCGTTCGAGTTCTTGCTCCTCGTCTCGACGCTCGACGCTGTGCTGAGCCACGCGCACAACGTGGCGGAGGCGGCGCTCGACGCTGCGGCGCACGGCGGCGCAGGCGCCTGCCACGGGGCGGCGGAGCTGGCTCGCACGAGCGCCGTCGAGATCGAGACGTGGTTCCGCCACCCGCTTGGCTGGAGCGCCGACGAGAGCGCCGTCCTCCGCGCCGCCGACGAGGGGACGCCCATGCCGCCCGTGCCGACCTCAGCTGTCGCCGCCGTGCTGCTGCGCTGGGTGCGATGCCTCGCCGAGCCGCTGGTTCCGCAGCCGCTGCACGCCGCCGCCGAGCAAGCCGCCTCCCACGCGCCCGCCGCCGTCGCCCTCGTGGCGCGCCTCCCCCCGGCGCACCTCGCCGTCTTCCGCGCACTCACGCTCTTCCTCCGCCGCGTCCTCGTCGGGTACGCGGGAGTCGCAGCCGCCGCAAAGGCGGCGGCGGCCGCCGCCGCGGGCGTCGAGCAGGAGCCGGAGTCTGCGGGCGCAGCTGCGGCGCTGCAGGCGAGGGTCGCCGCCGCCTTCGGCGAGGCGGTGCTCGCCACACGAGGGGGGGCGGCCTCCGCCAAAAAGGCGGCGGGCGCGGCGCGCTGGAAGGCCGCCTGGTTCGGACATGTGCTCGCCAGCCCGCGGTAGTGAGAACAGCTCAGCTCTGAGCGGCCCCGTGCCTCGACCGTTTTGTACTTACATACCACCACGTCGAGATTTTCCGCGGGTTTCTCTGTAGTTGCGAGCGATTCTCTCGCGCTCCGTCTTACGTTACGTGTGCATTTGTGTATGTGTATGTGTGTGTCGGTTGCGCCCGCGCACAGGCCACAGCCGCACCCCGCCACCGCGCGGGGCGCCGTGCGTGTCTTTTTTGAGAGACGGAACTCCGCGGAAATGTTTTGAGAGAGAGAGAGAGAGAGAGAGAGAGAGAGAGAGAGATATTGAGAGCAGCTTAGCAGAGGCGCGCGCTCGCCTCCCACCCGTGTGCGCAGCGCGGTCGGTCTGTGTCCGTGGGCCGCGGCCCGCGCATGGGCCATGGGCGCGCCGCGGCATCGTTCGGATACCTCAGGTCTGTTTGAGATGTCTCGGACTAATCTCGCCCACACGCACATTTGGACACGACGCGGTGGCCCTAGCCCGCGGACACAGCACGCACACGCAGCACGACACACACAGATACAGGAATTTCACACGCACGGAACTAAGCCGCCGGGATGGAGAATGTTTGATCTCATAGGGCAAAGGGGTTGATTCCCGTCTCTTGCCAGAGATCGAACGGATTGATGCCTTCGCGACTCAGCGCGGCTAGCTCCAGAATCTTTGGCAGCACTGCAGGGTTGGAGAGTATCGCCGGGATCGCTGCCAGGAGCACAAAGCACGAGGATAGGATGATCGTGCGTGCGGTCCCGGGCGTCCGCTCCTCCCAGGTCCACTGCCGTGCGGTGCGGAGCCGTGTCGCGTTGCGCAACTCATCCATGCTCCACTCATCGCGGAGCAGCACATACCGCGACCACGCGCCACGCAAGCGCCCTCGCCGCTTCTCTGGCTGCTCAGAGAGGCGAGGCGCGTCCAGCCTAGCCACGGCTGTTGGAAGGGGCGTGTACTCGGCAGCTGCGCCGCTCCTTTCTTTCCTCGCACCTCGGGCTGTTCCATCGCTCCTCATCTCCTTCCAACCTAGGCGGGTCGGGCGGGCGGCAGCTGCAGCAGTTATTGTAGCGCCCGCGCTGACGGCGGCGGTGAGCGTGGGAAGCAGCGCGTAGAGCAGGCGCATCGGCGCGAGGGCTGTCGGTAGAGTGGGAGGACAGGGCTCGGTCGGCCGCCGGAACAGGCTGGTGGTACAGGGAAGTGCGCGAAGGCAACGCAGCGCAACACGGCAATCGCAGGGTTCCGCTCCTACCCAGATAGGGGGTCTGAATGACTCGCGCGACCTACCTACCTACCTATCCTCAGCCGCAATACAAAGATGTTGGACTGCTGAGGGTGGACTGCTGAGGGGGGTGAGGTGCTCTTCTGGCAAGCATATTCTTTCCCCTGGACTAGAGTTAGGCCCTTGAAGGGCCCCGCCCCCAATGGGGGCGGGGTTGAATGGGCTAGCGCTGGCGTGGCGTTGACATGAGCACGAAGTTGCTAATGTGGGTAGACGAACAAAAAGTAGGGTTGAATTCGTCCACGTAAGGCTTGGGGAGTGCTTGGGGTGGCCTCAGGCATCCCCAATGGAGTCGCAGCGGTGCCCCAAAAGCAGCTTTTAGCGATTGTCGAACCTCGAAGCCTGTTCGTTTGAAGAAAGGCACACGCGGTACTATCGGGCCACCGGTGTCACGTGGTGTCGGGTCACCAGTACTAAACAAAAATTCGACACTTTGAGGGGTGAGAGCATGCAGTATTGTGGCATATCATGTCACATAAGGTCAAGCTTGACCGCAGAAGCATCAAGAAGCGGATACTCCAGCTCGACTGTGCCGGCAACGCCGGCCGGCTGCCAGCAGCCGTCGCGGCCCGTGGCGTGCACCAGAGAGGGAGAGAGGTCGAGTCCGCGTGGCTCAGGCCGGCCAGAAGGTGTGTGGCGACGGCACCGTGGCAGGAGTGCGGAGAAGAGCTCGCCGAACGCGAGCAGCGGAAGGCCGAAGTGTGCCAGCGCAAGAGCCTCGCGAACGGGTGCAGAAGGAGCTCGCCGTGACACGATGCCGGGCGGTGGTGGTGCTCTGGCGGCTGTGCACAGTGGGAAACGTCAGGCTGCAACAGGGCAGCGCGATGGTCGTGCCCCGCTGCAGCCTGGCCTGACATGCACAGGGCGAACAGAGACGGGACTATCGCCTGGCGCTCGTCTGGGCAAACTTTGACCGCCGCCCGGCTCGCCACGAGCACGCAGCGACAAAATGATGACCGTGTCGAAGTTGAGGCTGGTCGAGAGGAAGAGGCTGCCGTGCGAGCCGGCAACTGGCTGGCTCGGCGTGGACAGCCGGCGGCGACTTTTCGCCGAAGAGCGTGCCTGCCGAAGAGCGAGTCTGACTCAAAGTGCACGGAGTGGGCGCCGCCGACCGTCGGGAGGAGTCCGATGGGTGCCAGGACGATCCAGAGAGCGATGAAGGCGCAAATTGCGCCGCCGAAAGTGGCGGTAGAGGCCAGGCCGTGCGCGTGGGCCGGTCGGGCCACGTCCCGGGGCGAGCGATCGAGGGCCGCGGGGCTCGCCCCGTCGGCCGAGCGGTGCGAACGGCCGGTCGCCCGCTTCGGGTTGGACCCGCCGGGCGGTCCGGCGGCGGATTGCATGGCCGGGCGGGCCTCCGGGAGGCAGTCGGGGCCGCGACAGGCGGCAGGGCAGAAAATCCCATTCGGAGAGCGTGTAGCGCGACCCCTCTGCTACTTTCAATGATAGGGATTTCGAGTTTCCCGGCGGCGCGGGCTGTCGATTGACTCCTGCAGACGCGCAGCCGCTAGTCTGCAGATGTCCGAACCAAACAGAGAGGGCGCCGAGGGCGCCGGCCAGCCCTCCGACGATGACGACTTTGCCGCTGCGCTCGAGGCCTGCATGGCTTCAGACGAGGACGACGAAATGGAAGAAGGCGAGGACCTCCTGACAACGCTACCGGACGACTGCCTGCTCCGCATACTGCGTTTCCTCCCTCACGCGTCACTGCTGACCACCGCATTGCGGAGCGTCAATAAGAGGTTTGGCGATGCAGTTGCAGCCGAAGGGGTCAGTCGCACTCGCGATCGACTGAAGCAGAGCCTCGAGGCGGGCTTCGCTGCGGACATCCGACGCAGCGAGGGCGGCGGCGGTGGCAGCAGCAGCAGCAGCGCTGCCGGCAGCAGCGGCGGCGGCGGCAGCAGCAGCGATGTCGACATGACACCGCCTCCACCCCCTCCCGCGCCGCCGCACGGCCGCCTCGACGAGCTGGCGTCCGCGCTCGAGCTGGCGCTGCGCACCTGCGGCGGCGCCACCTTCCGGCTCAAGTTTCGCCCGCTCGTCTTCAACCTCGGCGACCCTAAGAACCCTCAGCTGCGCCGCAAGCTGCTGGACGGGGCCCTCTCCCCCTCCGCGATGCTGCAGCTGACCGCGTCGGACATGGCGAGCTCGGCGCTGCAGCGGCAGCGCTCCGAGTGGCGCGAGAAGCGCAAGCGCGACTGCGTCCGCGAGCGGCCCGTCAAGGGCTTCGTCACCGACCTCTACCGATGCGACCGCTGCGATTGCACCCGCGCGGCGGTCCACCGCGCCATCCGCGCGGGCCAGAAGCAGGTCGACCGCGCGCGCACCTACGCCACATGCACAGACTGCAGCCACAGGTGGGAGGTGTGAGCTGTGCAGCTGCGCGCGCGGCGAAGAAGGCGGCGGCCACACAGTTGTCCTTCTTTCTGGTGCGAAAACATTTATTGTCCACCAGGACGACTCTCCTCAGCTGTGAATCAGACGAGCTGCATTCCTGTAAGGGTGGGCTGCTTTCACAGCTCGAAGAACACAAAAAAGAAAAAATATATTCTCAAAGCCAGTCAGAGCACCGTCCAAAGGCGGGTGCTGTCGACTAAGGGACAATCTTGTCTGTCGACAGCCGAACTTGTGATGGGACACCCTCGGAATCCAACTGCGTACTACTTGGCTAGCACGCTATTGGCATACCGACGGCTAAGGCCGAAATCGGTTCACACCTGCTCTTGCAGGTGTGAACACAAAGGATTCGCTGTATCTACTCAGCTGCTCCGCTTACACTTGCCTGTGAAGTGTGAACAGCGGATTTTGAATCAGCGTTCTCCTCGAACGATATCGGTGTCGAAACACCGCTCTGACAGCGCTCACAGCTGCGCTACCCCGACATCTGGACCGAGCGAGCGAGACTCACTCGTACAGCAGGATGTCGCAGCCTCCTTCCGGACCACAGGACATGACCAACATCGCGCAGCAGGTGGCGAACGACTTCGTGTCGGAGGGCATGCGGTCGATGTTCACGGGCTTCCTCAAGGGCAACACACACGACAACGACTACGACGGCAACTGGTTCTCCGGCGGCAAGGGCGGCGGCAAGGGCGGCGGCAAGGGCGGCGGCAAGGGCGGCGGCAAGGGCCGCGGTTTCTCGTATGTAGTCTGCTACCGCTGCGGCGGGCCGGGACACATCGCTCCGTATTGCCCGAACCTCCCGCCCGGCCCCACGAGCGCGGCCAACCCCAACGCGCCGACCAACAGCGCGGCCAGCGACACCACCAAGGACGACAAGATCCTCGCCGCGATCAACAACCTCGCCGAGTCGCTCAAGGAGAAGACGAGCGCGCCGCCGGGGCCCAACACGGGGTCCATTTCTACTGCGCCGCTCCTCGTCAACGAGGACGCCATGGCGAAGAAGATCGCCGCGGAGGTCGCGGACGGCCTCAAGGAGGCGGTGGTGCCCTTCTTCAAGGCGCAGGCCGGCTTCATGCAGAAGATGCTGGCCAAGGAGACGTCGCTCCCACGGCAGCGCCTCTCCTTCGGGTCGCCGGAGGTGACCGAGCTGGACGACTCGCCGAAGGCGGCGGAGGAGACTGGCCTCGAGGAGGTCGAGGAGGCGCCGCCGGCGACGCCGGCGCGCGGCCAGCGCAAGCGAGGCCGCGCTCCTGCCGCCGACCAAGATGAGGCGGTGGCGGCGGCGGCAGCCGCCGCCGCCGCAGCGGATGCGGCCTACCACCGGGCCAAGGCGATGGCGAAGGCCGCAGGCGGCTCATACAAGGTGCCGCGCGGCCAGCCGCCGCAGGATGCGGCGGCGTAGGAAGCGGGGCACCCGCAAAGGTGGGGGGTGCCCGCTAGATTGAGTAGTAAGGAGCCCGCCCCTACTAGTAACCCTGGAGAGTGCGGCAGAGCGACGGCGTTCGCCTGCGCCCACCTCGGGGCAAGAGAGAGAATGGGAGTAGAGAGAGTGCTGTACCTGCTGAGAGAGAGACTCACACAGCCCCCCAGTGTAGCTGGGGAAGCGATAGAATGGAAGGAGATCCGCCTTGTTGGCGCTAGTGAGAGGCTCGGCTGCTTTGTGCGTTGCCAATATGAGCCGGTGAGGTCCCGGGCAGCTGTGTGCGTCGCCCGGGAGAATGTAAACGGCAGCTTTGTGCGTCGCCGGGGAATGAATGAGAAAGGGGATGGACAGATTTGGAATGGAGAAACGAGAGAGAGGCCTATACATGCGCTGTGGCGACATGTAAGGCGAAAGATGGCTGGTTTTATCCTAAGAGAGCTTTGGGCTATCCAAGCTTTCATTAAGGAATTCTGCCTTCCCCAAGGCGAAGGGAAGAAAATCAGAGTACAAACCAGAGCTAAGAGATGGGTAGCAGAGCTACACACGCTGGCACAACCATGGATTAAGGCTCTCACACGGGCTGTACGCATTCCCGCGCTCGACCGAGTCGCACATCTCATACAGAACGCAGAAGAAGTGCACACTCATGATACACGTGCTATCGTGTACGTGAGATTCAGTCTCGACGGCACTCGGGCTGTATACGTTGGGGAGACAGAGAACTGGAGTCGCCGACAGGAACAGCATTTCACAGGAACGGTGAGGCACTCGCGCGAATACCATGCCTGCAGCAACAAAAGAAACGGAGAACATGCAAAATACATTGCGCACCGCGCAGCACGCCCTCACACATGGTTCACCGTCCCGCTCGCTGTTTGTGCGAGCAAGTATGAAGCCATGCGTTTCGAGAAGCGACTTATCCGCATTTTGAAACCAAAACTCAACATGGAGGAGCGAAACAAAGCTTCCTGGAAAAGCCAGCCTACGTACAAAGAGGAGATAAAAAAACTGAATCGGGCGGATAGAAGTCAAAGGAGGCCACAGCTACCACCGTGGAGAGACCCACTACGAAGTCATCTCCGCCTACGAGGCGGAGATGGCGTCGAGAGGCATTTAGATGCGCAGAGGCAGCACGGGTTTTCCTATTTTTGGCGGGAAGACCTCGGTTGTGTGCACAGACACTTTGACCTCGGTGGCATTCTGCGAAAGGCCGAGACCGAGTGTGAAGGGGATAGTATGACCTTCACCGTCAGCTACCAGATGAGAGACACTCACCTCACGAATTGGAGGTACCTACAGGGGAAATACTCTCATTGGAGCATCGCAACTCGCGATGGCGAAAACACGAGTTTCAGCGTCGGCCTCGCAGCCATACGGCGCAGAACCGACCGTGGATACTTCACCGTCACCACCAGGCGCGCTATAAGCACCCCTCTGACCGAGGGTACCGGTAGCGCCGCTTTCCTGCTCGCGAGCAGCGCATGGTTTGTTAAAGAGGATGATACTTCCGCGCAGGAATTCTTCGTTGACGTAAGTAAAGAGCTCTGCGAACTCACAGAAGAGGAACTAGCGTGTTTATGGAAGAGGAGGGGATACGTCGACAAATCCACATGGCTGCGTATGAGACGCATGCTCTGGAAAGAATACGAGACGAGGTATGAGGGTCTCACACGGGATACGACTGAGGTGCGCCTTCCCTTCGTACCAGGGGTTGACGCTCGCCCTCTTCGAGCCTTCCTCGATGAGCTAGTGAGACGGCAACCCTGGCCGGAGCACATAATCGAGTGGCACTCTCAACGGATCAAGATAGTGACAGTACGGCAGAAGAACATTATAGAGAGACTTGCAAATGTCGGTGACCCGAGAAGACCACAGAGATGCGCCTGTCAAGCGATACAGCAGCGACTTGTCTCTTTCGGGTTCGATCCTCTACCGATGACGGAGGGGCATATTTTCTGCATTGGACGGGAGTACAACGGCCCACACGCCGAGGTACTACACCGAAGCAACAAAAATGTGCCCATCTCGACTGCTAGAGACATGCGTGTGGCATGGGATAAGGCACTCGGAAGCCTTCCCGCAAGTGTGCGGGAAGCCGGGGGAGATGGCGAGTGGAAACGGGTGCTCGCTGAGACACTTGCTGAAACAGACGAGACATGTCTACCATGCGCAGACGTTGTCACTTCGAATCAGGTTGCACAAGTCAAGAGCGTCCTGCGAGGGAGCGTTATAGGATGGCTGGACAAGAATGTCGGAGAGGTTTTTGTTACTTGCCCTGTCACATATGCGAAGACGCTAGACGCGCTATTCGACACTTCAAATGGCAACTATACGCGCGTATATCCGCTAAAGGATACGGCGTATAAGAGGAAGAAATATGGAGCTGATGATCTGCTCAGAAACATGACGATAGAAGATCGGTCGCGAGTACGAGCGAACCAGCTGAGCACTGACGGTACGCTCGACGCGACGCTAGTCTCTGCGTGGCGATGGTTCTACAGAAAGAAGGGATGGCATAAGATCACCAAATTCGATAGCAAGGGAAGAGTCACGGCGCCGTATGCGCTATATAAGGCAAAGAACGTTACTGATCCGACAGTGAGAGCACAGAAGCTGCACAAGGCGAGACCGATCACGCCGTACGCAAAGCATCCGATGGCGAAACTTTTGAGCCTCGTTGGCAGGGCGTGGAGTTTCGTACTCCGGCACCTGAAGGGTGAGCACTTCATTCAGCATGATTGCCAAAGTGTGCCCCAAATGCTGAGAGAGGCGGCCGAGGCGCTTCGAGGGAAGGGAGAGCTCAGCTACGAGATTAACGACGTCGACAGCTGTTACCCGAGTATGCCAAAGGAAGCGATGCGGGTGGCAATGAGAGACATTCTAAATGATGTGCGCAATAATCTGCCATCTGGCGCGGGAGAGGACCCGAGAATACTTGTACCGAAGCGAGGCAAGAAGAAGTGCTCGTGGGCACAACAAGGGGAGGTGTGGGGACACGCATCGATCAGCTTCTCGACGATGCTCGAGGTGATCGATTTCGATCTGGATAACTGCTACGTCATCACATACGACGGACGTCTGCTGAAGCAGGCTCGCGGTATCCCGATGGGGAGTGCGCTCTCGCCACCGCTGGCGATAGGAACTCTCGCATGGATGGAGCAGGAATGGATGCATACGCTTGAAGATGATGTCAAAGCCCGATTCCGTATGAAACGATACATGGACGATGTGATTACGATAACTGCAAAGGACGATAGTGTGTGGGATGTCGACCGCTTTCGGGAGGACTTCCGCCGTTCTGAATGCTACTGGGCTCCTTTGAAGCTAGAGGCAGCAGAGAGCGCCCATTTCTTGGAAACGACTCTCGAGCTCGACCCAAGCGGAAGCTTCCGGACGAGACTCAAGAACGTGAACGAGGAGTACGAGGCGGTACCCCGGGTGTGGCGCTACCATCGTTGGGATAGCTTCACATGCGCGAAAATGAAGGAGGGAATCGTTGTTGGATGCCTGCTCAAGGTTGTCGCAATGGCGAGCGATGACGAGGGATTCACGCTCAGCGTGACGAGCAAGCTCAGGGAGTTTACGGCGCTCGGATACCCCTCACACGTGCTTAATGGGGCTATCGGGCGCGCGTTTGCCCGGACAAGAGACGAGCGGCTCCTTCGGGCCAGACTATGTTCACACGGTGGGAGGCCAACCTCTAGCCATGTGAACCAAAAAGAAAAAATATATTCTCAAAGCCAGTCAGAGCACCGTCCAAAGGCGGGTGCTGTCGACTAAGGGACAATCTTGTCTGTCGACAGCCGAACTTGTGATGGGACACCCTCGGAATCCAACTGCGTACTACTTGGCTAGCACGCTATTGGCATACCGACGGCTAAGGCCGAAATCGGTTCACACCTGCTCTTGCAGGTGTGAACACAAAGGATTCGCTGTATCTACTCAGCTGCTCCGCTTACACTTGCCTGTGAAGTGTGAACAGCGGATTTTGAATCAGCGTTCTCCTCGAACGATATCGGTGTCGAAACACCGCTCTGACAGCGCTCACAGCTAGGACGCGTCCTCGGAAGTCGGCAAAGGAGCTCGGCCTACAGCTCCGCTGGCACGCCGTCGCCGGCCGCTTCTTCTCTCGCGGCCGCTCAATCCCACTATGCCGGCTGCCATCTTCTCGGCCGCTCCCCTCGACGGCATCGACATCGAGGCTCTCCCGCCGTCGCGCTTCCTTCTCCAGCGCGAGCGCCGCTTTCCTTACCGCGACCTCAAAGGCAGGGTGAATTTCCACCTTGTCGCGGCCGCACTGGAGGAAGTCGAGGCGGGCAAGGTGGGAGAGGCCGCGCTGGCCGACACCATCCGGGCGTGGCATCGCCACGCGGACCGTGCCCTCGCCGACGAGCGGCTCACCCTATCCGAGCTGCTCCATGCGTCCAAGAGAAAGAGGGCAGCCGCGAGTCCGGCGGCGGCGGCGGCCGCCCCAGCTGGCTCCCGTCTTCGCACTGTCGCTGAGAGAGGCTTGGTGACACCAACGCGCAAGTGTGGGAGGCAGCCGCGCGACGCGACTCCGCCGACCCGCCCGCGTGCGGTTCGCAACTTCTTGCGCCACGCGCCTGACTCTGACGACTCCAAGGAGGACCCCGTGTATGAGGTGCACTCCTTGCTGGACGAGCGGGCCGAGGGCGGCGAGCCTCACTTTCTCGTGCGCTGGTCGGGGTTCGGGTCGGAGGACGACACGTGGGAGCCTGAGGCCGGCCTCTCGCCAGCGCTGGTTTCCGCCTTCCGTTTTGATAAGGCGCGTGGAGAGCGCTTTGCAGGCGAGGATTACCGGACCGAGGGGAGGGCGCTACAGCTCTGGTGCTCGCGCTGCCGCAGCCACCGCAACAAGGACGACTTCTCCGTCGCCATGCGCCGCGCCCCTCCGGCGAGGCGCAGCTGCCTCCTCCACCCCGTCTCTCGGCGCAGCCGCCGCACCTAGAGCCGCGGCCCGCTAGAGCCGGCTGGATAGAGCTCGATAGACGCGGCTGAGGTAGGAATTCCTAGAGTGCCCCCGCCAGAGACGTACAGAGCGACTCGGAGCGGACAGGCAGCCTCCTTCCCGGCGCCCCGGATCGAACGGCACTCTCCCTCTCTCCTCACTACTAGTTGCATGGTGGACCGCGGACTCGCATGTGTGTGTGCAGCTGCGACTCGGTGCCCCACAGGGGGAGATAGTTGACTTGTACCCTCTCTGTGCATGCCCATGTGCCGTGTTGGCAAGTGTCCCTTTCCCCGTCCTCTCCGGTGTCCTTTCCGTGTCGGGGGCGGGTTTTGTGTGTGTTGTGAGGCCGAGCGTTGTGCGTGTGCGGGCCGCGCTCTAGACGAGCCGCGCTCTGTGCTCTCGGCGGCGCCGGCGCGGTTTGGGGTTCGCGCAGTCGCGAGCTTGTGTGGGGCGGCGGACAGCCTCTGTAGTCAGTCTGTACGTCTATCGTCGACCCTTTGTTGGGTTTTGCTTTTCGTTTTGGAAAAATAAATAAATAATAAAACGGGCAAACTCTGAGACGAGATGGGATTTAGGGACATGTGTCCCCGCCCTGCACGATCTTGGTGTGAGGGATCTTCAATCCGTGTCCCCTCACCCCTCGTCACAACCCGACACGGAAGAGCGGCAAGAGTTGGGGCTGCGGCTACGGCTGCGGCTATGAGAGGGGCCCCCCGGGCCAGGGTCGCGGGAGAGCCGCTGCGCCGCGTGGACGCGCCTACACCGCTGTACGAAAAGAGAGTAAAAACATATATTACTATTTGTTTCATACACATGTCACGCGAGAACAGAGCAGTCCCCCGATGCACACCATGCGAGCATCTCGCAGATCGCGGAGCTGATCAGCATTTGTCTCTTATTGCTGTGCAACCTCCAACCTCACTCCTACGTCTTTCCACGTGACGACGCCTCGTCCCTCGGCGGCAGTGCTCGGCTTTGGCAGCGCGAAGCGGAGCTCGGCGCGCCCTCCCATCACCGGCGCCGCGAGCCGCTCGCCCGAGCTGCGGCCGACATGCCTGCGCGCTCGCCCCGTTCGGCTCAGGCCGGCTGGTGGGAGAGGGGGAGGGGAGAGGGGTTGGAGCCACCTCGCCGGAGGGACGTCGAGGCGGTTCCAAGGCGTGGTGGCGTCCAGGGCGAGCACCTGGCCGGAGTGTGCCGGCACGCAGCGCAGCAGGCGGAGGAGCGCCTCGCTCGGCGCGGTGGGCAGGCCGAGCGGGCGGTGGCCCACCCAGACGTTGACGAGCAGCGTGAGGCGTTCGCCGTGCGAGCGCGGCTCCTGCCGGACCGGGCGGGGGGCGCGTGAGGCGAGAGGGAGGGGAGGGGGAAGCGAGCCGAGCCCACCGCCTCCGGCCCGGCCAGCTGCGGCGGGCAGCCGTGCAGCAGCCGCCCGTCGAAGCGGAGCAGCCGGCGAGACTTTGGGTACGAGACGGTCGCGGCGATGGCGCCGCCCTCCCACGACCCGTCTCCGGGCGGCAGCAGCCGGCCGTGCTCGTCGGTCCGCGCGTCGAGCACCACCGTGGGCGCGCCGCCAGACGTGAGGTAGGTCACCGTCGACACGAGCGGGTGGGCAGTCAGCCCGCTGCTGTCTAGCAGAGACTCGTCCTTGTCCCAGTGCCAGTTGATCGCGTGCTCGCCCGCCGCGCGGCGCTGCACCCAAAACTCGGCGCCGCAGGTGCCGCCGTCAAGGAGCCCGGCGATGTGCAATCGGGCTCGGTCCTGCTGGTCCTGCAGCTCGGACAGCAGCAGCTGTGCAACGTAACGCAGCAAGGCCGGAGAGCAGCCTGGAGAGGCGGGGTGGCGCGGTTCGCTGGCGAGGTCGACGGCAGCTGAGAGCGGAAGGAAGAAGGACGCGGCGCCATGCCGTGCGCGAAGAGCGCACGCGTCGCCCCGCAGCGTTCGCATCTGAGCTGCGGAGAGGTCGACCGCCCGCTCATGCACGTAGACATTAAAGCCGCAGCTCTGACACAACACGCTGCTGTCGAAGCTCACCTCCTGCGCGTCGCGACGCGTGCGCCGCGCTTTCGCACGCACTCGCCAGTATTCTCGCCGGCTGACGGGCCGCTTCATCCGCCGCGCCATTTTTTGTACTCTCGTGAGCTGTGAACAGACGCACTTGCCTTGCCTTCGGGGGCAAGTACCCAATCCGCTAGGTTGGGCGTGCTTTCACAGCCTCACGAGAGTACATTTTTTAGAAATAATAGGAGGCCGCCGAACTGGGGCCCCGGACGTAAGGGGCGGGCAGGGCCAGGGGCACCGGCGGGCCCCGGCCGGGTCAAAAGTGGCCGCTCCCGGGCCGCCGAGCGTGCTTTTGCCGGGCCGGTTTTCTCCTCGCCGGGCCCGCCTCGCGCAAAACGGGCCCGGCAAACCCTCCTGTCCGGGCCCGGCTGTGAGTGAGCGGGCCGGCCTATGTGCCGCAGACGGGCCCGGGCAGGACGGTTTGCCGGGCCGGTTTTCTCCTCGCCGGGCCCGCCTCGCTCCTCGACCTGCTGATTTGGGCGCTTCGGCCCGGGAGAGTGGCAAGCCGGGCCCGGCAAGCAGCGCGCGGGCCGGGCCCGGGAGGGGCAAGCCGGGCCCGGCAGGGCGCGCGAGCCGGGCCCGGCACGGGTCCGAGCCGGGCCCGGCAGGGGCCCGAGCCGGGCCCGGCCTGGCCCGGCGCCCCACTTTGCAAATCGACCCGTTTCCCATCCAATATCTCCCACTCGGCCGCGGAGGCCCCAACTGAGAGCGGGGCCCGGGGGAGGGGGTCCCTACTGGTCGTGCCCACCCCTCGCACGACCCCGGGCGACAGCAGGGGACCCCGCAGCAGGAAACCCGCCCCACTTACATCCGGCGGCTCCCTAGATCGACACGGAGAAATATGTGCTCGCGAGTGTCGACCCGTGCCTCTCAAAGACACGAATCCCGCGCTGGACGGGCACGCGGCTCGCGAAACATGAGCTTGCGGGAACCGGGGTCGGCGTCGCCTGCTGGACCCGTTGGAGATGCCGGGGCAATCCGCAGCGAGTTTGAGGCGACGCCACAGCCGGCGTCGCCAAACGCTCCAGCGGAGAGCGTCTCGGAGCAGCTCTCGCACCTTCTTGCCGACCTGGACGACGAACGAATGCGCAGCGAGGCCACTGCAGCGAAGCTGGATTCGACACTGGAGCTGGCTCAAGCCAACGAGATGCGAGCATTGCGGGCAGAGGCAGAGCTCGAGACGCTCCAAGAGACGCACCGCACTCTCCAAGAGACGCACCGCACTCTCCAAGAGACGCACCGCACTCTCCAGGAGACGCACCGCACTCTCCAGGACCGCGGAGTTTTCGCAGCCGAGTCGGCAAGGTCCAGCACCACAAAGTCAACCTTTCGATTTGAGCGGCTGGCGATACCTACCGTCAGCATCCTTGCGCTGGCGTGCACGTGCTTATTCTTGTTAGCTGAGCGCGAGCTAGAGCCACCGGCCTTGCCGCCGGACGCTTGCGAGTCCTTCGCCTCTTTGGGCGATTTCTCCTTCTGCGGTCCACCGGTGACGAGCGGTGGCTTCCGTGCAGCTTCGCTGGCGGCGCGTGCGCGCGGCATGCAGGTCATCGCCCATGCCGCCAACGCCAGCCTGCTGCTCGCCGCCAGCGCCGGGAACCTGACACGAGCGTTCACCAAGGACAACCTCCGCTCCGCCGCCATCTCGCTAAGCCACGGTGGAGCGACCGCCGGAGCGCGCAGCCTCGAGGCAGTGGTTGAGCTTGGTTCTGCGGCCGCAAGGACAGCCCTCTCGCTGGGATCGGCGCTGCGCTTCTCCGAACAAGTGCTCGCCGAGGCAATCTATGACAGCTCGGCCTTAGCCTCAGCCGCCGCCTCGCGTGTGCGAGCGGCGGCGGCATTCTTCGTGGCGATGGCGTCAGGCGCCGCCAGCGCTGCCAGCGCTAGCGTTCGACTAGTGCTCCTCCCTGCTGCCGGTTCCTTGGCCACAGCCTGCGCGTCCGTGAGCAGTGCAGCGGGGGCCGTGCTCGGTGCAGTGCTCGTCGGCGCCTCCGTTCTGGCAGAGGAGTCGAGAGGCGTCGCCGGTGCTGCTGGCCGATCCTTGCTCGACGCCGCCAAGAAACAGAGCACCCGCATTCTCCCTCTACTTCGCGAGTGGGGATCCGCTACTCGGCTGTCCGCGCAGGCGCTCACCGGCCACGCTCGTCAGGCCGCGCCCTTGGCTCGATCCTCGGCGGTGAGGGCCTCGGAGACAGCGAGAGACGCAATCGCCCGTTTGTGGGGATCGCCAACGTCAACGCCGCCCAGTGGACCCGAGACGACGCCAGAGGCGACTTGGTGGTCGAGCTAAACAAAAATGATTGTTGTATTGTGCGCAAAATGTGCTCTCTCAAGTGATCTGTGATCTGTGAGGGTCCGCCCGCAGGCGCATTTTGTATACCGAGGCGGTGCCCGGGCCGAGGGCAAATTAAGATGTCATCATACGCGTGCAATCGAAGCGAACAGAGCACAAACCGTCGGTGACATATACACACATATGAGAGAGATTTTAGAATCTTACAAGATTTTAGAAAACCAACCAGAAATCACGACTGTCACAGTGATTTGGGCTCGGCAGCTTGTCAGCCCTCAGCCGAAGCTGGGGCCGGTCCCGTAGCCGAGAGAGCCCGCGCCGTGAGTTCGACGCGGTCGGGGGGGCCTGCGGAGAGGCCAGCGAGGTGGCGATCGCTGTGTAACGAACTCATCAAATCTCGGCCACGCCATGAAACGACAAACCGCTGCTCGCCGGGGCACCCCCGCACCCCCTTCTGTGCGCGCGTGTGCTGTGCGCACCCGTCGGGCGTGCTGCTCGCACAACGAAGCGTGCGATGGGGAAGCACAAGACCGATTCAATCAACTACCGCAAGCCGTGGTCGCCCGAAGAGGACCTGCGGCTGAGTCAGCTGGTGGTCATCGAGGGAACGCAGAGGTGGTCAAAGATAGCACTCGAGATGCCTAGCCGCAATGGCAAGCAATGCCGCGAGCGCTGGCTCAACCAGGCGCAACCAGCTGTGTCGGTGAGTGTCGGCCGTGAGCTGCAACCGGGTATTCTTCTCACTCTCATTCTTCCCCCTTCCCTTGCCGATGCAGAAGACTCCGTGGACAGAGGAGGAGGACCTTGCTCTGCTCAACGGGCAGCGGCGCCTCGGCAACAGGCATTCCTCGACACTAGCCAGCACACAATAGTTTGACGGCCATCGAAAACCGACCGCCGTCCTCTCCTGCAGGTGGGCGGAGATTGCAAAGCTGCTGCCCGGCCGGACCGACAACTCTGTCAAGAACCACTGGCATTCAGCCCTCCACCTAAGCTTTCGCCTCAGAAATGGCTGGGTGGAGGAGCCGAGCTTGCCCGCCCCGGAATCATCCGCTCCAGAGCGACCACTCAAGGTCCCTCGGCGAGCTCCCATGGACCTGCCGGCGATGAAGCCTACGGCACAGGCGCGCGCGCTTGCGGCACTGTCGCTGTTGCCTATAACCTGATAACTGAGAGCCGGCGGCTTGTCTGCAACCCCTCGGTATCAGGAACTGGCACAGATTAAAGAGTTTGTGCTGCGCGAGGACCCAGAGTCGCCGCTCGCAAAGTTGCTACTCGACGGCGCGATTCCAAACGACAAGCGCCCCATGAAGACCACCGCGGTGCTCTCGGCGCTCGTCCAGCTCCTCCGCGCTCACTCACGCGAAGCCATGCAACTCGCAATCCTTCAACTCCACCTCTCCACTGGCTCGACGGGTGACGCCGTGTCCGACTCAATGCGCCCGGTGGCTCCGACGCCCGAGTTGGACCTCTCTCTTCCCACGCACTTGACGAGCGGCCAGAGCACGCCTAGCGCGAGTGTCGATTTCGAGGCGGCGCTCGACGCGATGAAGGGGATGAAGGGAGACGGCAAGCCGCAAACATGAGCTGGCGAGGGACTTCATCCTACCCGGGTAGGCCAATACCAACGAGGCCGGTAGCGACCACATGGATTTTGCGGCACCCGCTGCCGATCGAACGAAAAGTGTGGCCGGCGGAGCGCTGTGCGTGAAATGAAGTTGTAGAGAGCCGGCTCGATGAGTGGGGAGTTTTTTGTCGCGCTAAAAGAGTTCTGCATGCTTAGGATGCGGAGAGGGGAGGAAAGCGCAGTCGACGTTTTCCTCTCTGACTCGGAGGAGGAGTTGGAGGTGCTCCGGCGCACAACCTGGCCTGGATTGAGCAGCTCGCCGCCGTTGTCACTCAACGTGCGTCATGCGTGATCGAGCTTGAGGGAGGAGCTCCGCTCACGATTCGGCAACCCGACGCCGCCGCCCACATACCCGCCACCCACAAAGCGCCTGCTCTACTATCCCAATACCACCCTCTCCACTTTCCACTGGATCAATGCCCGTGATAGCACCATCAGGCATCACTGCCGCCGTCCTGATTTTGAACGTGGCAGCTAGACTCTAGGACTCGGTAGTTGTGACCCCCCTGAGTGAGGAGCAGGAGAGAGAGAGCTTTTGTGGTGTTGGTGTACGCAATAAACGGGACAGGGTGGTTGTTCTCTCTATCTAGCTTCCTTCTAGCTCTTACTTTAGCATGAGCTGCGCCCTGTGTCCGACCCCTTTTCCAACACCTTAAACTTTTAGGCCCTCCAAATTTGGGTGTCGCGGAGGGCGCAGCGGAGTGGGCCCCGACTTATAAAAGGCGATCGTTAGAGACGACTCTCTCTCTCCCAACTGTGAACCAGTCGGGATCTGTATATGCGCCTATTCATAGCCGGCCGTTGTTTGTTTCTGTGTGTATCCGCGCTCTTGGCGCGATTACGAGAGGGACTAGTTTGAGAGAGAGAGATTGTTAGCAATATTGTTTTGTGTTCTAGTTTGTGTCGCGCTGTTGTACTTTTCGTAATAGTTCCGCATTCATTGCGAGGGCGGACCACTCCTAGCGTGTGACGCGCGCGCTCACTCATCTTCGTCCGATCAGCTTATTTTTTCGGCGCGGACCCGTGGGTGCCCGCCGCACTCACTGTGCGTCATTCCGCTCACAAATCTCCGCGTTCGAGCCCTGCCGAGAGCAGTACTCGCATCAGAGGCAGGGATTCGAGGTCCGGTCCTCCCTCACGTCGAGCAACTCGTCTTCTATGCGCACCATGGGCTACCGTCGATAGATCTACGCCTTTTTCGCCACTTTTCGCGGCAGCTACGGCAGAGCACCGCGCGCTTGTGGCTGATGCTGTATCGTCAAAAGGAGACGGGAGTACGCCCCCTCACCAATATCTCGTGGATGATTGAGGCTGGCGCATGTGTATGGGGAAACGGCACCGTGCGCAGGGCGTGGCCGTCCGTCTTCGCCCGCACCTCTGAGATGGCAGCATCCACGACCGACCCGAACCACAGGCGGTACTGGTGGTTTCATTGCACGCTCCTTGCTTGGAACCACACCTATGGACACGCGTACCCCAGGGCACTCTTCTGGTGGCGCGTAGAGCCAGACGTCCTCGTCGCTGAGTGGGCATCGTTTATTCGGTGAGCGGTGCTACCTCCGGGCCACCTTTTGCCACCCCTTTTGGAGTCTGATCCCCCTTTCCTGTGTCATAGCCTCGCTGACACCTCGCACTCCGACGTGCTGCTGCCAAACTTGGTGACCGCGAAGCAGCACCCCACCTATCCGCACTGGCAACGCAATAAGCACCTTCTCGCCGGTGTGCCTCGTCGCGAATGGGCCTGTCTCATCTGTGGTCGCAATGGGCACCCTAATTCCTATTCAATTCCGATGCCGCGCAAATAGGTTTATTCTCTCGTGTCGATCGGCCGCTACTCGCGCCGCTTCATGCATCTCATGGCGGCGCGGTGGGCGGCCGGACAAGTTGCTTACGAGGAGATCTTCTTGCCGATGAGCTGCACCGCGCGGGAGGGCTGCCGCCGCGACTCGTTTCGGAGCCTGCTTGGCTCCGGCCTTCACTTTCGCTTCCGACCCAACTGGAACTGCACTACATTTCTGCGTTCGGCCATGTCAGTCTCGAGGCCGCTGCTCTGGCACCCTGTCAAGCGCAGACAGTGCTGGGCTGACTACCTAGACGCTTGCGGCGGCAATTCTTCCCGGCCTGGCAGCTGTGCTCGTTTGCTGCAAGAGGTTCAATAGTAACAAAGGGATTTTGCGGCATTGGTGGCCATACTGTTGTGTCTCCCAACGAAACTCAGAGAGGACGGCCGCACGGCCCCACACGAGTGACGAGAGAGTCACACTCGCGGCCTCCCGCTACGGCTCTAGCCCCACACGCCACGCCACGTTCATCAAAATTGTCATTCGAAATCAGAGAGGCGGGGAGGCCGAGCTTTTGGGGCGAGCACTTTTACCGATGCGCCGTAGCTCTGCGGCATGACACCGTGGGGGTCACGCCAGGTGGGCCGCCGCTTTGACGCGGCCGGCACCGGCGGTTTGGCGCGGCAGCGGCGGTGGGATGGGTCGAACAGGTTGCGCTCCTTCCACACGATGGCCGAGGCTGAGCCGGCACGAGGAGTCGCGACCGCGACATCAAAGAGACTCTGCTCCTTGCACACCAAGAGCGGGTCGGCGGAACGCGGACGGGGAGTGGCGGGCGAGGCGGAGATGTCCCCTGCAGTAGTGCCCCAAGCAGTGCGTGGCCGAGCGACGGGCGATGCATGGGCCCGGGTGGGCGTCGGTATCGAAGGGGAGAGCGGCGGGTCATCGTCCCAGGACATGATGTTTCCGTGGTCCTCCCACCTCTGCAGGCGATTCCCTCTCCCCTTGGTTGGGGTGGTGCTGATGCTTAGGTGGTCCGTTTGGGTCACGATGTCCCCTGAGTCGGGCCGTTGCCGCCTCTTGATCGCACACGGCGTGTCGGAGAGCCGTGTGGACACCAGCCCGGCCCGATCCGGCTGGATGTTGCTCTGCTCAGATGGCTTTGAGACGGCACGAGGCTTTGAGACGGCACGAGGCTCAGTTGTGGCCCAGTCGCTGCTGTGGAGGCACCGGCCGCGGAGCTGGCGAAGCTGACGCCCGGTGAGCGATGGGTAGGATTCCATCGATGATGAATTGCTCACCCTTCAGATCCGGAGCCGAGCCAACATTTCTGTTACTGCCAAGCTGAAGTCGTTGCTCAAGTTTGCCCCTTCCAAATCCGGCAATGTTATTGCAATTATGTGCGCGGAGACGCGAGACGGAGTCCTATCACTGAGAATGCGCTTTCAGTTGACAAGATCTATTTCAAGCCCTCTGTGAAACTATTAGTACACTAAGATATAATTAATCTCGAGAGTGGTGCGCGCGTTGGCATGGGCTGGCATCGCATGCGCGAGCGAGTTGCACGGCAGTTGGCCGTTGCCCGGTCGGTGGCGGTGCCGGGTCGCGGGTGCGCCGGTTGGGGCGCGCTTATTTGCAGAAAAGCCACCTCTGCACTTATGTCACTTATGAAAAACACCACAACGACTGACGACGTAGCTTTATGACGTGAGGCGCGACTCTCCGCGCCGACTGCTTAGAACGCCCTGTTTAGCTCTGTCAGGTTGCGTGCGTCGCTCGGGGAAGGCGCCCATGACGCTGGAAGCTCCAGCCCTGAAGCTGCACGCGGCGTCGACCAGCCGGGACGCGGCGTCGCAACTCGGGCGATAGATGCCCGCCTCACGGCGGCTGTCATCTCGATGATCTCACCAAAGGTGACTGCGCCCATGTCGCCATCGCGCCGCTCGCGGACCACAGACACTGCCCATCCCCCTTCAGCTGTCCAAACGCAGTACGCACGCTCAACGCGCGCTTCATGGTAACGTAGGGGGGCGGCTCAAAAGCGTGCGCCATCTACGCAAGCCTCATGAGTACAGCCACTCCATGCGGCTCCAGCATGTCCTCCTCTCGTCAGTCGAGCGCCAACGGCTCCGCCTCGCCGAGCGTGCCGAGCACCTATGGCCAAAGCGGGCCTAGTTAGAACAGGAGGCGCCGTCGCCTCGCCACCCTCGCCGCACGGTTGCCTCGCGCAGCTGCGCCTCCTGCATCTGGGCCTGTTCACACACCCCCTGCTGTGAAGAGACGCTGTTCACACCTCGCAACTGCGCCTCATCCTGCATCTGGGCCAGCGACGCGTCGACAAGACCGTGCCTGACGAGGAAGCGCTGCGCGCCGCCGATGCCCCAGCCGATCACCTTGTCGCGCACGTGCTGGAGGGGGTGCGAGTACTCCTCCAGGTGGGCGCGGTTTTGCCTAGCCGTGCGGGGGGGCAGGGGGGGGGGTCCTCGTTCGCGCCCGACTGTCCCCGTGGGCAATGCCTCGGTCTCTGCTGCTCCGCCCTCTGCTCCGCCCCCCCCTCTCCTAGCGCTCACCGCGTGCAGCCAAAGCCGTACATGCAAGCCGCGCCCTTGGACGGCTCCGGCGGCCAGCTCTTCGCGCCCTCCGACCGGGCCCGCTTTCGCCCGCCGGCGGGCCGAAGCGGACGCTCGTCGTCGCTGCCCGAGGGCCGCGAGCCTACGCCATGGCGCAATCGGGGTGACTGGATGCTTCCCTCACCCTGTGCTCCCTGGATTGCGACGAGCCGCGGCGGAAGGGCCGCGCCGCGCCACGCGAGCCGGCGCGGTGCCGCATGGCCGCCTCGTAATCGCCGCGGGCCTAGAGCGGAGGGCACAGTGGAGTGGTGCCGGCGTCGCGTCAGTGTCGCAGCGGCGCGTCTCTGAGGGCGCGCCTCGCTGCTCGCGGACACGCCGCTCTCCTCCTCCTCCTCCGTCTCGGAGTCGTCGACGTCCGTCTCTGCGGCGGGCGAGAGGCAGGGGCGGGGTGAGTCGCCGTCTCCTCGCCGTGTGCCGGGGCGTGGGGCTACGCTCACCGGACCCGTCGTCTCCCGAGACAGCCTCTCCGAAGCGGCGCATCGGCCGCACACCGCTGGGAGCCGACGACCCGTCCGAGCTCTGCGACTGCTGCGACCCTTGCGACGACCCTTGGGACGACCCTTGGGACGACGTCGCGAAGTACGCGGCGAAGGACGCCACCGCGCGAGTGGGCGCCGGCGCGGCGGCGGGCGCGGCGGCGGGCGCCTCGGGCGGGGTGGGGAGGGAAGAGCGCGGTCCGCTTGGCTTGGTCCGCCACCCGCCGGCATCGGCGCTCTGTGCGGCGGCCTGCTGGGCCAGCTGGGCCTGCTGGGCCGGCAACCGCGACCGCTTCGGAGGATGAGACACGTCCGTCGTAGCCATGGGCGACTCTGCCGGCGCCCGTGGGCGCGCCTGCTTCTCTGCGGCCGGTCGCTTGCCTTGCGCGCCACCGGCACCCGCCCCGCGGCCTCTGCTGCTGCCACCGCCGCCGCCGCCGCCGCCGCGCCCTCCGTCGCCGCGGCCACACCTGCCGCCGCCGCTGCCACTGCCGCGAGAGCTGCCGCCGCCACCCGAGGGCGGCGCGCGCGAGCGAATAGTCTGTTGCGCCTCTGCGGCGCGCGCGACGAGCTCCCCCTGCGGCGAGCCGGGTGCCAAGCGGGGTGGCGAGAGGGCGTGGGAGTGCCGAGAGGGCGTGGGAGTGCCGGGCGACGGGTGCGTGCTCCTCGCGGGTGGTGGGTCGGGCAGCGACGCATCCCCAGAGGGAGAGCACCAGGGGGGGATCACCAGAGGGGTCGCCAGAGGGAGATCACAGGGACCTCGGGGGCTACAGCTGCTCGCGCAGCGCACCCTCTCAATGCAGCCGTCCGGAGATAGACCTGCCGACTGGATCAGCTCCTGCGACACGCGGATCGGCGCGCGGGTCAGGCGGCGCGCGTGCGGACGCGGCAAGCGAGAGCGCGGCGCCTTGAGCCCCTTGATGGAGAGCGAGGAGAGGTCGGCGGTGCCGGCAGACGACTCGCTGCAGGGCGCGTCTTTCGACCGCTGCGCGTCGCTCCTCGGGCGTGGCGTCGCTGCGGCAGTGCCCGCCTACAGCGTGCGTGGCCGCCGTGGTCCTGCAGCGGCATCGGATGCCAGTCTCCGCCGAGGGCAGCCGCCTTGACGCGAGCGCGGATCCGGCTGAGGGGGTCGTCCTCGTCCTTGCCCGCCGCCGCCGGCCGCTCCGCCGCCGGTTTGCCGTGCGCTGGCCGAGCAGAAGGCTCGTCGTCGGAGTCGACGTCCGGGAGGCTGACCTGGCTCGCCTCGCCCGCCGCCGCCGACCCCGCCGCTCCCGCCGCCGGAGCAGCTCCCGCCGAGGCGGGCGGTGCCGGTGCCGGTGCTGCTGGCGCCGGCACTGTCCCCTCTGCCTCCTCGGCCCACCTCACGATGCCGCACCCCTTGCCGAGGCACCGCCAGTAGAGGGCGTTCGGACGCGCTCGTGACATCGGCCCCGCGCGCTGCAGCACCTGTCGCACGCGCAGCACCCGGGGTGAGTGAGCCTGGTGTGAGTGGGCGAGAGGGCGAGTGGGCGAGAGGGCGAACGGCTTCGTGCGGCGGCGGCGAAGAGCGTGGCAAACGCACCGACTGCTGCCGGCCAAAGAGTGGGCAGCCCTTCCCCTCCTTGCCGCACTTTGGGCCGCAGCCATTACACCCCTCCGGGTGCGCCAAGCACTGCAGGCTCATCCGTGCGCTCGGCGGCGCCGGGCGGACCGGCGCGGGCGCGGCAGCCGGCTTGGCCGCAGCTGCCGCGGGCGGCTGCAGAGGCTGCGCCGGGCGCGATGCGTTCGAAGGCGGCTGCGACTGCTCCAGCGGCTGCAGCGGCTGAGATGGCTGCGGCGTCGGTCGCGGCTGCGACGCCGCTGTCACCGCGGCCTCCCGCTGCTTCTTCTCGCCGTCTGTTAGCGTCCTCTCGACCTCGAGCTTTTTGAGCCCAAACGACTCGGGAGGCGTGCCGCCAGCAGCGACCAGCGGCGTGACCTCGAGGCGCAGACTGACCCACTCGTGCTGAGAGGCGATCGCCTTGAGCATGTCGTCGCGGCTCCCCACCTTGAACTCGAAGACCATGCCGGCGGAGAGGTGGTTGGCAGCGAGCCGGACGCAGTTGCCACGCTGTTCAGCGCCCGCCTGCAGTGGCGCCGAACCCACGAACGAGCCCCGTTCGACCGCTGAGCCCTGTGCGAACACGACGACGGCGACGGGAGAGTCCTGGTTCCCCACGCGTACCGATTTGAGGTGGCACGGGCTGGCGAGCTTCAGCTCGAGCGCAGCACGAGGCGCTCCGCGCGCAGCTCGCCATCCCTTCCGCCGGCCCTCCGCGAGGTTCTCGGCGGGGAAGTCTGGGTCCTCTGAGGTGGCCGTGGTCACGTCGTACTCCACCTCCATGCCAGCCATGACGGCGGCGGCAGTTAGTTGCTCGGCCGCGCCAAATCGAAGGCTGAAAAAATAACAGAATTTCTGCCCAAACCTTGCTCAGCTGATCCAGAGCGGCGACGTCATTGTGCAGCTCCACCCGCACTCACAGCTCGAGCGCGCGGTCCGCCATGAGCGGCAGGCGCAGGCCACGGAGCCGCCCGCGAGCGCGAGCCCTGCGGCGCCGCCAGCCCCTGCCGCCGAGCCGCCAGCTGCGGAGCCGGCGACCAACATGACGTACGCCGCCGCAGCCGCATTGCACCCGCAGGGTGCCACCGCGGGAGGCCAGCCCGCCGCGCCTGCGGGCCCGGCCGCCGCCGCGCGCGTGCCGCCGCCGCCGGCGGCGGCGGCGTGCAGGCGCGGCTGCACTTTCACTGTCCCTAATCCGGGAAGGAAGCGCGGGCAGCAGCAGCGCGGCAAGGGCCGCAGTGCCAGCGGCCGCGCCAATGCTGGACCCCGGCTCGTCGACAAGAACGCGCTGTCGGCGCGCGGCGGCGGGCCCTCGCGCCAGTCGCGCTCTCCCTCACCGGACTCGCCGCCCGCCAAGCGGGCGTCCTCCGCCGACTCCTCCGGCTATGACACCGATCTACCGGACGAGGTGCAGCAGGAGGCGGTCCGCAGGGTCTGCGGCGCGCTCGGCCTGAAGGAGCAGTACGACGCGGCGGTGGCGGCGGGAGAGCTGCTCGAGCTGCTCGAGAGCCTGCCGCGAGGGACAGTCGAGGCCTCCATCCGGCTCATGCGGGGATACACCCGCACGGGCGAGTGGCCCGAGCCCATCCTACCCAGCCCTGCCCCGGAGCGCGGCCGATCGCCTAGAAGCCCCTCTGATGAGTGGTCAGATGAATAGTGCCCAAGAGCGAGGGATACGGAGGGGAGCACAAATAGGACGCCCAGCCCTGCCCTCGTGCCGCCGAGTGCGTATCCTATGCGAGAGAGACCCCCTGTGCCCGTGCCCAGCCCTCTCCGCGCCGCGATGCGCCCTCCCCCCTCGCTTTTGCAAAATCCTGCAAAGGTGGGGACGTGTCTGTCCTCGACCCAGTCCTAGCTTGGGATGTCTGTTTTATTTATTTATTTTAGCTGATCCAGCACGGGCCGTAGGCCAGGCCTGGGCAAAGAAACCAGTACCTCATCAGGCTTCCCTGAGCGTCACAGCTCGGTGATCGCGCCGGCCGGACACCAACCACTGTAACGTCCGTTCCGGGCATTTGAACGCGACCTTCGGGGGAAAGAACATGGGCTCTATCTAGATATGGCTCAGACTGGACTCCTCTTGGTCCCTTCTGATGCCCTAGGCCACACCTGGGCCTGGGGTTCTAGGGGCCGGGCGGGGTTTGCCCCCCGAAACTGGCCCGAAGGACCTTAAGCGGCGGACACTGCGGCCGCTCGCCAAGCCCCGCAGATGAGTGGTCAGATGGATAGTGCCCGAGAGTGAGGGGTCCGGGGGGGAGCACAAATATAGGACGCCCAGCCTTGCCCTCCGTGCCGCCGAGTGCATATCCTATGCGAGAGAGATCCCCTGTGCCCTGCCTGTGCCCAGCCCTCTCCGCGCGGCGATGCGCCCTCCCCCCTCGCTTTTGGATGTCCGTTTTATTTATTGATTTTGGATTTTCACCACTGTTTGTTTATTTATTTATTGGGCACGGGACTGGCGCGCACTGGCACTAACAAAGGAAAGAATTTTACGTTTGCACGTGTGCCTGGCCCATTTCCGGGTAGGCTTTCTTTCTTTTACGGATTGCCCTGCCCGTTTTCTTTATTTCTTTTAGGCCCATCGCTCCCCCTAGGCTGGCGAGTACAGACCACGCCTGCTGTTCACAGCACAAGGCTTGTCTGGCGGCTTCACAACATGTACATGTGCATGGATCCCCCCGTGAAGAAGTGAAATGTGATCTGTACTCGCCAGCTCCCTAGGGTGGTGTGATTTCGTTCTTTCTTTCTGCGACAGCGCTGCCCTCACAGCGCCGTCGAGCATGTCGTCGCGCGCCCGCCCTCCGATGCGACGCATCTCCCGAGGCGGCGCCAGTTCCTCGGCGTGTCTGAGAAGGTCGCGCGCCGCCACTGCCCAGGGCACCGAAGGGCCTGCGAGCGCTCGACTCGGGGTCACTTTCGTGTTGTGGTTGGGGAGGGGGGGTGGGTGGGGGGAGGGGAAGACTCGTCTCATGGGTGTCACTTCTATGCTGCCAGCCTCGGAGGCAGTGCAGTGTCGCGGGGCGAACGTCAGCGTCTCGAGCTTGCCCTCTCCCGTCCGCCTCAAGCTCAGATTGTAGCAGTCGTCGCCGGGCGCGAGAGCGTCGCTCGCGCTCATCGTCTTGGCCAGCAGCTTCCCTTTCTGACCGGTTCGCGACGAGTGGCAATGCGCGATCTGCGCGTCGACTGCGAAGAACCCACGCGCTGCAGCAACGGCGGGTGTCGTCGCGGCGGACTCGGGCAGGGGACTGTGAGGCGCTCCGCGCATCGGCTGGCCCGCCGAGGGCGACGCATGGCTCTGCTCCTTCGAGGCCGGGGCACTACTACTCTCCGGGCAGCCTGCGCCCCCTTGCTGACCTCCGCTGACCTCGACATAGCACTGTGCTTGGTCTGTGCAGCTCAACCTCCGCGTGCCTACCGGGGTCCGTCCCGGGCGCTCAGTTACAGCTACCGCCACGACTGCCCAGCCTCGTGTCCTATCGGCCGGGGCTCGTTGCCGAATCTACATGCGGGCTCCCTTACACCGGCGGCGAAGCTGCTGCGGCGGCGCGTCTGGCCGGCAGACCGGCGTGGCGGTCAAGCGTCTCGCCTTGTTGCGGAGGTATGAGTCCCTGGTCTGGAGCGGCCAAGTTGGCGGCGCGCGCACGAGCGCCGCTCTGACTTCATTTCTCTCTAGCAGCTCGAGGAACTGCGCGTTGGCCAACGTGAATGGCATTCCCAGGGTGTTGTGAGTGCAATCCTTGCGAGAGCCTGCGCGCGGCGGACAAGCATAGCTCGTTGCGTCAGGCCAGCGGTCGCGCCAGCCGTGCCAGAAAAGAGACGAGGCTTGCGAGGCCGACAGGAGAGCTGGCCCTGGAGTCATCTACAGTTCTTGGGCGCAGTTGGTCGTCGCGGCACCGCCCGGGGTGCAGAGGGCGAAGGGCATGCAGTGGATCTGCCAGTGCGGAGCCAGGCGCTTCCACAGCCAGACGATGGGAAGGACCCCTTGCAGCTGCGCAGTCACCACGCTGTACGCGTTGGTCGGAGCCTAGGGCCGACGACTCGTGCTCTCCACGACTCGGGCTTGCGGCGCCCGCTCGTCTACACCGAATTTGCAGCCTCCGGCGCGCGGCACGTGCCTAACAGAGCCATCGCAAGTGACGGCGAGGGCATGCGATACCACAGCGGCACCGCTGTGTGCCATCGAGATCCGTTGGCGGACGAAGAAAGCCGAGCCCAAGGCCGTCGTCCTCTAAGCTGTACCAGCCGGAGCTGCCGCCACCCACTCGCCCAAAGTGTTGCGGCTCACTCTCGCGCCTGCGGTCCCAAGTGACATGCAGGGTGGACAAGGGCCGTGCACGACTCGCGGTGCGGTATGTGGGAAGAGCACCTAAAAAGCACGTCCTTGCGTTCAAGACATGTCGAGCGATGCACTGGTCGGTATCTCAAGGCGTTGCCAGAGCACGATGGGCAAAGGCCGTGCCCCGTCGGCGTGGGCGAGCACCTTGCAGGGAGACTCCCTGTGAGTGAGTGCGCTAGCCAAAGCAGGGAAGCGGCGTCGAGGCGGCGGCGCACGTATTCGGCGGTCGCACGTGCGTGCTCCGCGGCCTTTGCGGGTGTGAAGTGGATCCCCGAGTTGAGGACCAAGACATCGTGTGGCTCGAGCACCCTGTGGGCGCGCACGGTCGGCCCGAGCGGCTCACACCTCTGGACGCACCAGACGCGGCCAGCCGGGATCCCAGGGCTAGAGTGAGCAAGGGTTGATGGTACCCGTGCAGCTTCTCGAGCGCCTCGCGCGCGTGAAGGTAGTAGGGCTTCGTCTCGCTCCCAACCTTGCGCTCGTTGCGAGATGCCCTCGCGTAGCAGACCTGCGCAGCGGTGAAGTCGAGGGAAGAGGATGTGGCACCCGTCTACTCTGCCAGCCCGGTGACAGAGTGATTGCTCTCTGGAGGCGATTAGCTCAGCAAACCAGCGTGCCGGTCGTCCGGTGCACGCTGCACATCGGAAAGTACGGATGAAACCTGCGACGCACCAGGAAGCTCTCAGAGCGCGAGCGTGGCGGCTTGGCGGCCGCCGAAGGCGGACTTTTCGGTGCGCGGCAGCGAGCAGGATCCTGGAGACGCCTGTCAAGCGGCGGGCGGGCGGCGAAGGGGGCTGGAGCATTGTACCTCTCGCCTCCTCCGCGCGTCTCGAGAGGGTGCAGGGTGCGTCAGGGCAGCGGGCCTGGCGGCCGCCGAGTCCGCCGACCACGTATCGGCTCCAGCCCACGACGCAGCTCGTCATGTCGGCGTACCAAAAGTACATCTGCGACGGCAGCGTCGCTTGCTCACAGCTGGTGGCCCAGGATCGCGTGTGGGTGGGGTGGGCGCGCTCCTGCGAATCGCCCGCCAGAAAGAGCGTCCGGTTGGCGAGGAGCTGGAGCAGGCGGAGGATGATTGGATTTCTCTCCTCGCACCCGTTGGCCTTGCGCGACGGGACGGGCGGCGCGTGGGCGAGGCCCGTGAGCGCGCTGCTCGCGCGTTGGAGGGTGCCGGCGAGCATGCAGGTCTCCATACACACACAACAAAGTTGTGTAGAACCACAGCCTGACGGAAAACTTGAGCGTGACGCTTGTTACTTGATTTTGTGCTTTCTTTTTCTATGCCCGGCTGGCTCGCCATGGTGTCTCTGGATCGAAGAAAGGAAAAACAACGTATGACCCTCAGCGGAGCTGCGAATAGGACCGCCGCAACCCGCAAGCAAGCGGCCTAAAAGTTTAAGGTAGGTGTTGCTGCGGTACCTCTCTCTCTCTCTCTACTTGCTGCGCAAAAGGGGTCGGACACAGGGCGCAGCTCATGCTAAGAGCTAGAAGGGGAGCTAGAGAGAACAACCACCTGTCCCGTTATTGCGTACCACCAACACCACAAAAGCTCTCTCTCTCTCTCCCTGCTTGCTCCTCACTCAGGGGGTGGCGGATAAGGTGACTGATACACCGTCGCAAAACTGCAAATTTCTGCGTCGTACGGAGATGCATCCGGTTTGGGTATTCCTACCGGCGGATAGCAGGTAAAAACGCTAAGGTGGGTTTCGAACCAGCCCCCGCAGCCCGTCTGGGTGTTTGCGCCGAGTCTCGAACTGCGGGATTCGAACTCAGTACTACGACCCATGCGGAGTTTTGCGCGGTGTGTACGTGGTGTACGTGGCTGGGTTCACAGCGATTGTAGGGAAATGGAGGGAACACTTGACGGTCGCGGCCTTCCGACTCGGCCTCCGCCTCACTGGCACTATTGTAGCCCTGGCCGGTGCGCGTGCGGAGTTGAAGTTCCGGAGTGAAAATTCGAACGCGTTCTCTCACGGTGACCAAAAAGTGTCCACCTCAGAGGCACCTCCGGAGGCAGGCCGCCGCACGCCGGCGACACAGCTCCAGCTGTCGAACTGACCCGCAGCTCCTCTCAGAGCGGGAACTGTGACGAAAGTTGACTGAGGCGGTTGTCAGTGAATCATCATACGGAGATCACATGGTGGCTCTCTCATGACGGGAGACCGACCGACCACTCCTGGGTGGCACCCAGCCATCGAGTGTATCCTGGCTGTGGTCCCACACCCACTGGTGTCCATCTCAGAGACCGCAGGAGGTCATGAGGATCGATGGGAGTGCCAACCCCACAATGCCTAAAAACCCAGCCCAGTATCAGTCACCTTTAAAGCCGTGTGCCACCGTCGCGCTATCCGGATAGCGAGCCGTACACAACCGATCACCGTCGCACTACACGGCTGAACTGTACGCGCGTCTGTGAGGCAGCTCGATATCTTCATCCGGCACGACAAGACCACACACGGACAGTGTCACACAGATACGTAGAGTACAGCAAAGAAATCTTCGACACAAAAACCCTCCTCGCTCCTCGTACGTCCTCGTCCTGTGGGCGCGCGCGTCAGGCTTCCGGCACGCCTACCAGCATCCGCTTCCTACAAACGAAACGCTGCGAATCAACGGACCTGCAGACACAGCTGTGAGCAGCCCAGCATCCGCTGGCCTGCGGCGGTCGTCCTCCCGCAGCTGCCTCGCCGCCTCCTTCATACGCGTCGGCAGGGACGACCTGCGGGAGGGGGGGGGGGGGGGGGGCGAAATTTTTTCGGGGTAAGTGGGTGGGGGGGGGGGGGGGGCCCACCCCCGGGGGCGGCCCAAGGGGGGGGGAAAACTCCTCCCTGGGGGAAGCTTCCCCAAAAGGGCCGGGGGAAGGAACCGGCCCCCCCCCCAAAGAGGAGGGGCCTCTGGCTGCTTCCCTTAGCAGAAGGTCGAGGAGGACCTAAGGGAAGCAGAAGTAGAGAGGTGTGTGAGAAGGCCAAGGCGCGCTTCTCCCACACGCTATGATGTGTGGGGCGGCGAGGCTTGCGTGCGGGGGAGGGTCGCATCATTAGGGGGAATGTGTGATCCCAAATTGCCCATGTGTGTGTGCGCCGAAGGGCCCCGACACACACTAGCGCTGTGACGTGTCGCGGCGCCTGCTCCGACACCCTCGCCTCCCTCGCTGCGTCTCGCTGTGCAGTCTCGGAGGAGAGGTCCTGCCCGAACGACAACCGCCGGAGCCTCCGCTCGCGGCTCCCCTCCGACAGCCGAGGCGAGCGAGGCGAGCTGCTACCCCCCGAGGAAGCGGTCCTCGACAGACTCCCGGAGGACATGCCGGAGGTTGCTGGCCGAGATCGTGTCAGAGCGAGTCGAAGGTGCAGCGGCAGGTCTGCCTCGGCGAGGTGCTTATCGGTGTACCCCAAGCTCGTATAGTCGTTCCTCTCTGCGAGGTCAAGCCCGAGCGCGATTCCAGCGTCGGACGAGTCCCTCTCGGACCGCTCCGATCGAGAGTCTCTCTCGGCCCGCTGTGGTGGCGGCGAGGGCGGCGGCGGCGAGGGCTCCGATCGAGAGTCCCTCTCCGATCGAGAGTCCCTCTCCGATCGAGAGTCCCTCTCCGATCGAGAGCTCCGCGATGCGATCGACGATCGCCGAGAAAGCTGGCCTTCGGGCGAGATCTTGAGCTTTCCCTCTTGGACCAATCGACGATCGAGATTCGCGGCCTGCGCGTGTACCGAGGAAACGCAACCCATCGATCGATGCGTGGCCGTACAGTCGTAGCGGTACAGTCGTAGCGGCGCCGTCTTATCAAATCAGGTGGATTCGCCGTCTGATCGCCGTCCAAGATGCAAGAAGAATTGTCCGGCGGCGTCTGATTCACACACACACACACACACACACAACTCTAACACTCACACATCATTTGGGGCCTGGAGCCCTGTATTGCTAAAAATCTCTCTCTCTCTCTCTCTCTCTCTCTCTCTCTCTCTCTCTCACACACACACACACACACACACACACACATGCACACACACACCCTTCCCCTTCCCCCTCAAGAAAGACCTTCCCAGGGGCGAGGACACGCGCAGGCCGCACCTCTAGCGACGGCAAGCCCACAGAGTGGGAGACTCCTACCACCGCCCCTGCCACATTCCGTCGAGCTGGTGGGCAGCCTCCTTCCTGACAGACCAAGCAAGCGAACCGGCTGGCCACGTACATGGCGGCCGTGCTCGAGTACCTCACGGTTGAGGTGCTGGAGCTCGCGGGGGCAACGCGGCGCGCGACAACAAGAAGCCGCATCGCGCCGCGGCACATCTACCTCGCGTGCGGTTGGGACGAGGAACTCAACAGCATGCTCTGGGGGAGCGCGGCCACATCGCGGGCGGCGGTGAGCTGCCGCACATCCACAAGAAGCTCCTCCCCTCTCTCGACGACGTCGATGCGGAGAGATTTGCGCGGGCGGCGAGGGCGGCGCGGGCGGCGAGGGCGGCGAGGGCGACGCGGAAAAGGGCGGCGAACCTCTTCTTGCACCCACACCCGCCATACCACCCGCAGACTTCACGGATCACGCGTTCACGCCGGTCCGTGCACGACGGCCGCCTCGCCCTCAAGTACGACGAGCTCACCGACCTCGACTGCCTCGTCGCGACCCTGTCGGTGGACCCGGTCTAAGTCGCACGAGGAGTGACGACGACGCGGTGGAACCTTCCGATAACCTTTCTCGGTCAAGTCGCACTGAGGAGTGGCGCTCGAGGACGTGGATCGTGGTGGCGCACTGCGAGAACGAGATCGAGGTCAAGTTCCCGATCATCGGCGACGCGGGCCGCTCCATCTCGACCGCGTACGGCATGATCGACCCGGGCAACAAGCCCTGCACCGTCTACAAGTACAAGCCGGAGCTGACCCCCGGGTCAATCAATCAAGGCCGGCAAGTCGCCGGCTAGGTCGCCGGCGAAGCGCAAGTCCATCCAAGTGTGGCTCAACGGCAAGGAGAGGAAGAAAGGGTTAGACGGCCAGAAAAACGGATCGCCCGCGCTCAGAGCGGTGACAAGAGTAATTCGGGAAGCACGATTTCTTCTTTGTGGTGCTAGTTCGTGCCAGTCTGCTGTGAGAGGGTCTTGTCTTCGTAGAATTCTTCTTTGCTCTCAGCCCTTTTGAAAATGGTTGCCTCTGAAGCCGACCTGCTCGCGCGCCCCCGCACGGAGCTGCAGCTGCTCGCGAAGCAGCACGGCATCAAGGCGAACCGCAAGTCCGAGATCATCGCCAAGGAGGTGCACGCGCGGCTCACCCTGCTGGACACCTCCGTCCCCGGCGACGAGAGGCGCGACAAGGAGAACGCCTTCAAGGCGCGGCCGGCGCCCAAGAACGTGCTCGACTCGGCCGGCGACCTCGGCGTGCCGCGGGTGCAGAAAAAGAAGTCCACCCAGGTGAAGGAGTTCCGCCTCTCCGAGGGGCGGCGACGCTCCGCGCGCATCAGCCTCTCGACGATCTCGGCGCCGTCGCTCATCGAAGAGTCGCCTGCGCCGGTCGACGCCCCGCCGCCGCCCGCGCCGGAGGACGAGCAGCCGCCTCCTCCGATCGAGTCACCGGCCGTGCGCAAGGGGCGCAAGGGCGCGAGGACGCCGGGCTCCGTCCGCTGGGCAGACGACGTCTGCTCGCCGTCTCCGTCGCGCGACCGGCTGCACAAGGTGGCCAAGGCGATTGGTGACGAGGCGGACGCCGAGGAGGCGGCGGAGGAGGGCGCCGCACCAGCCGACAGGGAGATGGCAGAGGTCGAGGCGTCGGCCGACGAGCCCCCCCCAGAGGAGGCCGAGGCCGAGATGGGAGAGGCGGAGGAGGCTGCGCAGGCGGGGGAGGCTGCGCAGGCGGAGGTTGCAACCGAGGCCGGAGAGAAGCCGGCGGAGGAGGCGGCGCCGCCACGGGCTGCGCAGGAGGGCGGCGTGGGCTCCGAGTCCGGCGAGCAGCAACCTTCCGAGGAGCTTGCGGCAGCGACCTCTGCCCCTCCGGCCGGCCCCCCGCCGGCCGCCCCTCTCGTTGCCCCTGCGCCGGCCGCGGCGCCGGCCGCGGCACCGCCGGTCGCACCGCCGGTCGTCCCCGCGCCCGCCGCCGCTCCTGCACCAGCTGTGCCGATGCCGCGACTTGCCGCCGCGCCAGCCAAGCCGCCGCCAGCAGCCAAGCCGCCGCCAGGTGCCAAGCCGCGGCCTGCGCCAGTCAAGCCGGCCCCTTGGGCGGCGGCGCCCCGTGCTGCGGTCCGCGAGCCGCAGCGCAGCAAGCGCGCGCTGCCTCGCGTCGCTGCTCTCCCCGCCGACGTGCGCTCACCCAGCAATTCGCACACAAACACACACCGCCACCCTCTGCCCCAAGGCCCTTCCCCGTCCGTGCCCACCTAGCCCCATCGCTCGGCCTCTGCAGGTGCTCGCACGCCGAGTCGTGCCGCGGCAGATGCCGCCGCCGCCACAGCCGCTGCCGAGGCGCAAGGCGGCGGCGTCCTTCGGAGGGCGAACCGCCGACCGCTTCGCCGAGCTGTACAAGGCTCCGGCGGGGCCATCGGTGGGCACGTACGGCGTCTGCGCCAAGCCAGGCGCCACCCCGATCGGCAGACGCAACAAGGCGGTGCTGCCGTTTGCGGTGGGGAAAGAGGTCTGCGAGCGCTTCGCTGGAAAGGACACCATCTACGCCACCTCGGTCGCGCCGCCGCCGAGCGCGTACGAGGCTGCGGCGCACGACGCGCAGGGCAGCGGCGCAGTCGGGTCGACGTCGATGTCGGTGCCCGCTTTCGACAAGGCGGGCACGGAGCGTTTCGCCGGGCAAGACTCGATCTACGCCACCTCGGTCGCGCCGCCGCCGAGCGCGTACGAGGCTGCGGCGCACGACGCGCAGGGCAGCGGCGCAGTCGGGTCGACGTCGATGTCGGTGCCCGCTTTCGACAAGGCGGGCACGGAGCGTTTCGCCGGGCAAGACTCGATCTACGCCACCTCGGTCGCGCCGCCGCCGAGCGCGTACGAGGCTGCGGCGCACGACGCGCAGGGCAGCGGCGCAGTCGGGTCGACGTCGATGTCGGTGCCCGCTTTCGACAAGGCGGGCACGGAGCGTTTCGCCGGGCAAGACTCGATCTACGCCACGTCGGTCGCGCCGCCGCCGAGCGCGTACGAGGCTGCGGCGCACGACGCGCAGGGCAGCGGCGCAGTCGGGTCGACGTCGATGTCGGTGCCCGCTTTCGACAAGGCGGGGACGGAGCGCTTCGCCGGGCAAGACTCGATCTACGCCACGTCGGTCGCGCCGCCGCCGAGCGCGTACGAGGCTGCGGCGCACGACGCGCAGGGCAGCGGCGCAGTCGGGTCGACGTCGATGTCGGTGCCCGCTTTCGACAAGGCGGGCACGGAGCGCTTCGCCGGGCAAGACTCGATCTACGCCACGTCGGTCGCGCCGCCGCCGAGCGCGTACGAGGCTGCGGCGCACGACGCGCAGGGCAGCGGCGCAGTCGGGTCGACGTCGATGTCGGTGCCCGCTTTCGACAAGGCGGGCACGGAGCGCTTCGCCGGGCAAGACTCGATCTACGCCACGTCGGTCGCGCCGCCGCCGAGCGCGTACGAGGCTGCGGCGCACGACGCGCAGGGCAGCGGCGCAGTCGGGTCGACGTCGATGTCGGTGCCCGCTTTCGACAAGGCGGGCACGGAGCGCTTCGCCGGGCAAGACTCGATCTACGCCACGTCGGTCGCGCCGCCGCCGAGCGCGTACGAGGCTGCGGCGCACGACGCGCAGGGCAGCGGCGCAGTCGGGTCGACGTCGATGTCGGTGCCCGCTTTCGACAAGGCGGGCACGGAGCGCTTCGCGGACGACCATTCTATCTACCGGAAGGGCTTGCGCAAGTCCACCGTCGGCGCGCACCAGTGCCTTGATTTGGGTGGGCACCCGTGGTCTCTGCCACTGCCGCGAGTCGCGCGTCGTTCACCCGCTCGTCGTGCGCCGTAGGCAATCGACGACCCCTTGGCCGCGGCGCCGAGCTCAAGGCTGCCCTGAAGTCCATCTCGGATCGGATCGGCCCCCGCGAGTAGCCCGCGAGTAGAGGAAGACAGCGTTGCTCAATGTCGCTCCAGCCACGCGCCCAGCGCAAGCTTCGACAACGCGGCTCCAGGCTCTGCAGATGCGTTCCCTCTCCTCCAGGGCGGCGCGAGAGGATTCCCATGCAAATCGACGAACGGACACCGGTTGCCCGCCGACTCTTGTGTTGTTGTGTGGAGAGAGTCCAGGCTGCCGCCCCCGATCAGTGTGATCTCTCCACGAGAAGCAGGCGGGACTCTCGTGTGGAGAGTCGCCGCTCTAACGAGTGGGCAGGAGGGGATTGAGGCGTGAGGGGTCCAACTGTGTGCTGTGGTCTGTGCGTTGCCCACGGCGACACCGCGCGCAGAGCGCGGTGGCCGGCGACCGTCTAGCTACACGCGTGGAGTTCCGTCTCTGGACTCTGCCCGTGAGCCGTGTGTGTGCCGGCGGTCGGCGCGCGCGGTGGTGCTGGTGGACGGGGTCACGGCGATATGTTAAAATTCACAGCACCTGGGCTAGTTCCATTTCACTGTGGCACAGCTCGCGTTACAAAACCTTGATTTTGACCATTGCGCGAAAAAGGTACATCTCGGTGCCTTCCAGAGGCAGCTGCGACCCCGCCGAGTGGACGGGGGGCACTCGGCAGGTGGCCCGCAGTGCCCCCGTCCACTCGGCGGGGTCGCAGCTGCTTCTGTGCGTCCTGGGGAGGGACAAAATTGTCGCCGCCGGAGACGACTCGACGCCGCTGAGATTGGAGATCAAGCTCTGACAGGTCGCACGTCGCTCCTTTGACGCCGACGTGACTCACCCGTGCAGATCACATCAGGACACGGTCTCGACGCGCTCGGTACGACGCCTGCGACCCGTCTCGGGTCAGGTGGCACGACGCTCATCGCGCCTGCCAGCGCTGCCGTACAGGTTGCCACGACGAGGTCGAGCACGCTTCTATACGCTCGCCGAGCCTTCCTTTCCATCCCATTAGGCAGCCTGGGAACGGTGGCGATCAGAGGCAAAGACTACGAGGGGTGGTGGAACCACATGTCACGGCTACTGCCGGCTCGACCCCACGATAGCCTCCGAAGGCTGACTTTGAGGCACCATCATCGGACGATGTCGACGAGTTGGGTCGCTCTCGCGGTAGCCAGATGACCTCCCATGCTAGTACCATCGGCTAGGGCCGCAGGAAGCGCGGGGGAGGGCGCTGGGAGCAACACGGAGCTCCGTTGGACGTTTTCAAGATTAGCGTGTCAGAGTGAAATGGAACTAGCCTTGTGCGACTTGCCCTTGCCGTTGCCCCCTCGTCTGGCTCTGCCTCTCCGCTCTCGTTCAAGTAGTGACTTGGATGGGTCGGGGCGCCGTCGGTGTCACGACGCGCACACAGAAATCGGAATGGATAAGAGTGTCAGTGAAGAGACCCGTCGCCGTCCCGCGTCCGCAGCGCGCAGGCTCAGGCCGTGCAAGTGCATACGGCTCTATCCTCTTAGAGAAAAGAAAGACGCAAGACGACGCCGACACCGCTCGCAATGTCTCTGGACCTTCGTGAAGGGACGGTAGATTGTTGCGGTGATACCCACGTAATCCTCGCACGGAAGCACGCTTGTTGCGGCTGATTTCACACTCGACAGGTTGTCACAGCGGGTGGCGTCAACGGCCGAGGAGCAATGTTCCAGGAGCGCGGCTTCGGCGCCGCGCTGTTACGGCTCCAAGCTGTCCGCCCATCCACCCGGGCCTGCCCAGCGCGCGGCGCTGCTGCTGCGGGGCGACTTGGCGCACCTCGTCGGGCACCACCCGCTCCACTCGCATGTATTGCCCCTCGTACACATTGACATTCTCCACCACAACCTTGAGCCCCGAGCGCTGGCCGCCGCCGCGAGAGGGCTCGAAGGAGCGTACCCTCGAGGCCAGGCCAGTGAACTCGACCATGTGGCGAGCCCTGGAGATGCCGAGTATCGGCTGCAGACGAAGGCTGCCTTGCATCGCTGGCTTGGTTCTCACGTCGAAAAACAAAATAAGAAGCGGGATCGCGAGCGTGGAATAGGACCGCCGCAAGCGGCGTGGCGCGGAGCGGTTGAGCGTCCCTCCGGGGGCCCCTCTGCGCCGGGGAGGCGTTGTTGGCGGCTAGGACGCAAGCGTCCGTCGCCGTTTTCAAACTCGGGGCCCACTCCGCTACGCTCCGACCCGAATTTATTTGGGGGCCATGAAATTTAAGGTGTTGCTGCGCAAAAGGGGTGGCGCGCGGGCGCGCGCGTGCGGGCGTCGAGCGCGGAGCTGCAAACACAATGACGTCGGAAAGCTCTGCATCAAGTATACAGTAGGCTCTAAGCACGGAACCAGAGCGCGAAGTATCCTCTCCGCCCCGTGCAAACGAGTGGCGAGGGCCGGGGAGGGCGCACGCGTTCGCGTGGGAGGCGGGGCGAGGTGCCGCAACGCGGCGCCGCGCGGCGGAGCGCTCAGTCGCGGCACGCGTCTCGACCCAGCCTCGGAGCTCACTAGGGATCACACCACATAGTCCTCTCCACCGCTGATCGCAGCCGTCGCAGCCAGGCTGGCCGATCAGCCGCCGGCAGCCGGGAGAGGCGCTCGAGCCCTCAGTGCTCCACCACCTCGGCCGGAATGCCCACGGCGGCGAGGTTCGTCACCACCTGCTCGGCCGGGAGGTCGCTGACGAAGCACTGGCCCTCGCCATCGCCAGGGAAGGTGGCGATGGATGACGTCAGGCCCGCCTTCTTGAGGAACAGCTCGATCGGCGCGACGTAGCGCTTCTCAGACGAGATGGAGACGCAAGTGAACGCGGTCGTGCCGTCGACGAGCCGGGCGCCGTCTGCGGCCTCGAATCGCTCGACCGTGGCGTCGGGGTCGTTGGCGGCAGGGTAGTGGTCGGTGATGAAGGAGACGACATCGCCTGAGGGGACAGTGATGTTGCCGAAGAGTCGTTCGAGGACGTTGACGATCACGCGCGCGGTGTGGAGGTTGCAGCACGAGATGACGTACCCTTTGATGTCCTTAACGTCCGTGGTGGAGCCGTAGAGCTTCTGCCCGATGTCCTGGTCGACGGTGCGGTTGGTGCCGCTGAAGAAATGGAGCCTCTCGCCCTCTTCGATGATGCTCTCGCTGACGAGCTCCTTGGTGAATTTGGTCTTGTTCTCGTGCGTGTCGGTCCCTTGCGACATGGGCAGGTTCACAATGAGGCACGCGCCCGAGTGCTGCCCGTTCAGCACAATGCCTCCGGTGTCCATAAGCCTAGGTGCGCCAACCACTCGTCGAATGACTCGACAGCGATAGGGCGTTCCGAGTTGGTGAAGTCGGCCTCGCCGGTGATGAAGAGCTCGGGGAAGGCCATGCTGTCGTAATGCTCTTCAAACTCAGAGATGGCGCTCTCGCCACCCTCCACCCGGACAACCGGATCCCTGGGCGCCGCCCGGCCGCCGGCCGTTGCGAGCGCCGCCTCGATGGAGCTCTGCAGATCCGACGACGGCAGAATGTTTGCAAATCCGGAGCTCGTCTCCTCGCTCTCATCTTGCGCCGCCGCGTGTTGGCTCGCCGCGGGGCCCTGGTCCTCGGACAAATCTTCGTCGTGCTCGATGGTCGGGAAGGTGACCTCGACGGTGTTGGCAGGGGACATGCTATCCACCTGCGCCTCGGTGAGATTGAAGACGAGCCGCAGCTGCTCTGCGTCCCATCCGCCCTCCGTGCGGTACGGCCTCGGCCCGTACCGGCGTCGGACGTCGGGACGAGGCTCCCCAGACGGGTCCTTATCCGCCTCGTCGACTTTGCGTGCCAGCCAGTTGAACGCTTCTCGCACCACCTTTGGTCGGACCGTCCACTTCTTGTCTCCACCGCCTTTGGTCCGCTTTAAATAGAAGACGACGCCGCTGTGCGCCGGATCCAGAGGAAACTTGGTGAGCTTGGTCACCTTGTTTGGCACAACAACAGAGTGCATCTTCGACAGCACACCGCCGTGCTTGAGCACCTTGAGCTGGGATGGCCATCCGCAGCAGCTGTATTTCGCCTGCTTGGACTTCGAGGCGTCGCGAGACCAGTAGTCGCGAAAGACTTGCGGCAACCCTTCGTCGTCGAGCGATGGCAGATGCATCAGGTTCTCCTTTGAGAATTTCAGGATGTTCAGTCGTCGCTCGTCGTCGCTGAGCGGGCTGTAGCAGCGAGTGCACAGCCACTTACCGTGATAGCGATCGAGCAGATCGTCCGGCCGGAAAACCACGTACCGCTGCTGCTCGTTGTCCCACTTTTTCTCGAGCCATCCGGGCGGCTCCTTGCCCGGGCTGCCGTCGACGCACTTGAGCGTCGTCATCCAGTCCGGCCGAATCTCAGCGCACGCGGCGCACCGCCGCGGAACGGAGAGAGCTCGCTGCTTCTGTTCCCACTCGCTCGCGAGGAGGTCGAACCGATCGCAAAAATAGGCCTCCTCCGACCAGCTGCCATCGCGCTCGTAGCCAAACAGCTCGGCGTTGTCCCGTCGTGTTGTTGGGATGCGGGGAAGTTTCGCGCGCCATCTTCGGAACCGCTGAAAAACACGGTCCCAGTCGCCCGGGCTCTCCGAATCGAACGGCTTGTCGGGGTCGATGATCGCCGCGAAGCGCGCCTTGAGATCAGCCCACTCGGCATACAGAGGAGACGAGCGGATCGCTCGCCCGGCATGCTGTGGCGGGCACTCCTCTCCAAGCAGGGCCATCGCGCGCTCAAGCCGGTCCAGCCGTTCACGCATGGGAAAGTCGTCCGTCGTGTACGACGACCGTGGGAGGGGGCGGCCTTCTGCCCGCCACCGGTTCCTCGCTGCAATGATCGCTCGCTCCAGCGGACGCGATCTGTCAGATGCGTCGACCGCAATTCCCGGAATCTCGGCCCTCACCACACCCGGCAACACAACTTCCCCATGCCGCAGGTAGACCTCGTACACCATCCGCCGAAGCCGAGCGGCCGGACTCTCCGCCGGAATTTGTTGGCGTGCTGTCGCATCGTCATCCGGCGGCTCCTCCTCTATGAGACGTTCGGGAGCACGCCCTGCCGTCGCTCTCGACGTGCGCCGCACACCTGCGCGGACAGTGGGAAGCCGTTTCCGTCATGTGTCCTCGTGTGCCCGGAGAGCCGTAAGCCGGCGCGCACCGGTGGCAGCGCAGGATGAGGCGGCAGCAGAGGAGGGTTGGGGCGCATTTGAAGGCGCTGGCCCCGACGCGCCATTGACTGGGTCGGGGTGGTTCCTCAACCCTCTGGTTTCTACAGTCAGGCAGGAAGAGTCTGAGCAAGGGGGGCGGATGGGGCTGGCTGCGTCAAGGCTACTCGGGCACGCAGCGCCTTGGCTTGGCCCCCGAGCGGACAGGCGGTCGACGACGCGCAGCATGGCGGTGAGCGCAGCCTGACGACGCGTCTTGATGGACGGATCCTTCTGCCGACTGACCAATTTCCTCCACCCCTCGATCAGCGGCTTCGTCACCAACATGCGCTCGAGAGGCGGAGCAGCCTCGATGCGATCCAGTTCGGTAGCTATCTTGTAGCGCAGCGCATCGTCAAAAGGCAGCTTGTTGCAGGCGTCGCGCGCCTCCCCGAGGTCACGCAGGAAGCTCTCCATATGTGTTGCAATAGACCCCCGAGCCGGTTGTTGCTGCACCGGCTGATCGAATGCAACGGCGGCGTGGTGGACGGGAGCGGCGGGGGAGCAGGGGGCGACGGCGAGGTTGCGTCCGGAGCCCGGCGGGTCGATCTGCATCGGCTGCACGTCGGCCACGTCGGCTTCTGCCAGCTCTAGCTGCTGGGCGGCGGTCGGCGTGGAGAATGGCAGTCCTGTTTGGGGCGCATTTGAGAGCGCTGGCCCCGCGCCGTCTGTTTGGTCGAGGTGGTTCCTCACCCCGGGTGTTTCTTCGTTCCGTCGGGGAGGCTCTGTGCAGGGCGCAGCGAGGGCCGTGGGGAAGGGGCCAGTGGGGCGATGGGCACAGAGGGGGCAATGATCCGATGTGTGGGCAGGTGTCTAGGTCTGGCTGTGTGGACAGCCAGCAGCGAGAGTAGGATGTGCTTAGTACCTGTGCACGAAGGACAGACGCGGGTCGGAAAGTCGAGACTGCTGACCGCTCCTCCATGGTCCCCCGCCGGTGGACGCCGAGTGCAGTCATCGGTATGCGGGAGGTGTGCTCAAGGGCTAGCGGGGCGGACGCGACGACCTGGCGTTGCCGTCGCGGAGGGCTCGGGTTCGAGTGAGCGCCGCCGGCGACGCGTCGTTGCGGCCGTGGCCGCGCGGGCCACCTGCATCGACGGGCTGCTTAGGGGGGGGGCGCCAATGATACGCTTGCCCGTCGGCAATCCATCCCGTGTTGGCTTCAATTGTACTTCTGTCTTGGCACCAGCTGATGGCTTGCCCGGCCGACATCACCCAGTTTGTGCACGGTATTCGGATTTTGCTATTTGCTCGTGTGGGGGTATATCGCAGATTTGTCAATGGTACCGCGTCTGCGACGCGGGCGCCTTGCGGGCAGAGCCCTTAGCCACCCTTTTATCTTGCGCGGTCAAAAAGCCGAGGTCGACTGCACTCCAAGTGCTCCAAGTCAGCGGCACTCCCCGGGCACACACTACTCGCTAGGAGCTGGCAGCAACGGTCTCCAAGCTCCTCACCTCCCAGCTTTTGAGCGCCCTTTCCTGAGCCGTCGAAACGGGCGGAATTCCTCCCGCATTGGCTTGCGAGTCCTCGCAGCAGCAGCAGGAGCAGCAACTCGGCAGCGGCGGCCGCCTGGGGAGCGCAGATGGCGGCGCAGGCGCAGGCGGCGGGCCGGCGGCGGCGGCACAGACGGCGGCGGCCACCCCCATCCAGACGCCGTAGGCATATGACTGTAGGGCCCCAGAAGGCTAGCTGGTAGCTTCATTTGTAGTTGTAGCACAGCCGCGGGTCCGCAGAGGTGGGGCGGGAGGGTTGAGAGAGAGACCCATGAGGCATGACCATCCCATGACACTGCATGGACCACAGCACACTCACATGCACATGTACATGTGCATGACATGCACATGCTCATGTCTTTGCATGGAATAGTTTTGTTATACCCTCATGGGGCACAAGAAAGAGGCTGCACGGCCTGTGTACGGTCTGTGCTGCTGTCGGGCTGGTCGGGCTGTCGGGCTGTCAGCGCTGCTGTCAGGCCACTGTGCGCTGTCGGGCTGTCGGGCAGCTGTCAGGCTGTCACGTTGGGGCCTGGCAGCGACGGAGCACCTCTGATGTCAGACTCTGCTGTCAGGCTGTCAGATACGTGCTGTCAGGCTGTCGGAGAAAGTGCTGTCAGCGCTGTCAGGCTGTCGGGCGCTGTCAGGCGCTGTCCGGGGGTTGCTGTCAGGCTGAGAGGCACACCCCGATCGGCCGAAGGTGGATGCAGAAGACAGACTCGTAATACGCAAGACATTTGTAGCTCCCTCAGGCGCCACTTGGCTTGGGCACGACACCGAAATACGCGACGTCTGGCCGACGCACTATGGATCGCGGGCGCGTATTTACATAACATGGCCGATCTGTACATTCTGGACACACTGCCAGATCAGCAGGCAGCCGAACTCGTACCCTCCCTAGCCCAAGTCGCTAACCCAGCGGCGCGAAAATTGTGCGATGTCGGCAAGCTCTTTGCCCGAGAGCTCCCTGGCCCTCTTGCAGGGCGTCTGCGACGATATCGCTGCGACGGGCAGCGGTGTGTTTGCCGCCGCACCGCGCCGCCCGCCACCGCGCTCCACAGTTCTCACCGTTCCCGGCGCCCTCCCGCGCAGCCTCGGATCGGCACTGGAAGCTGCTCGCGTTCCTGTGCCCTGAGGCGCTTCAAGGCGCCGCCGAAATTGTGGACCATCGAACCGTGCAGCGCGTGGTCGCGCAAGAGAGCCGCCGGGTCTTTCACCTTGTCAGCGCCTCGAGTGGCTCCAAGCGGGCGCACCCGCACGTGTGCCTGCCCAGCTTTTGCACGTGCGCCTCGTATTGCCACAAGGTCGCCACACGGCCGGACGCGCTCGCGTGCAAGCATGGGCTTGCCGTCTTGCTGGCCGAGGCTCTCGGACGCACGCAGTCCGCGGAGCACAGCGACGTGGCTTGGGCCAACAGCCTCTCGCACCACCTGCAGCTGGCGATGATTGACCATGGGAGCCACTGATGACGTGAGACAAGCTAAACGCGACCATCCCGCGATTGCTTCGAGAACACGCACATGACATCTGTCGGGCTCCTCGGTTGCTTGAATCGCCAATCGGCGCCAGCCCTTGACCCGCCGCGCCCCGCCGACCGCACCACGCTCTGCACAGTATGAGAGAACGAGGGACGTAGGCGTCATGCGCGGCGCGAGTGCCGTGAGGATCTGCCACAGCCCAGTGGGCGAATGATGGGCTCTGCCGACTATGATCGAGCGCGTCGAAGTGGTGTGAGCGTCGCACGGCTCTTACGTATGCCGAGTCGGAGGGTAACGCGTGAGTTTGTAATTGGGAAAGGGCTTCTCGGCGCTCTATGTGGCGTCGCAGAGCGGGTGAGCGGCGTCGGTAGTAACACTTCACGCGCAAAAGCATTACTCTACCGCCTCTCTGGCTCTGCTTTTGACCCCTCCCCTACCTCGGGCGCCGCCTCGATGGGTGCAGCTATCTCTGCCTCTGGCCCCTCGCCCTGCAGCTCCCCTCCCCCGGGCGCCGACTCGACAGGTGCAGCCACCGGCGGCGGCGCGGCCCCACCCCCGGCGCCTGGTTGTGGTTCGGCTCCACTGTCCTCGGTTGTTGCACCACCGTCCGCTTCGCCTGGAGCCTCCTCGCTGCCGGCACCGGCCGGTTCGCTCGCATCCGCAGACGCCTTTTGAGCCTCCTCAGACGCCGCCTCCTTGTCGCCCTCCGCCTCTTCCGCCTCCTCTCCGCCCTCCTCCTCCCGCTTCGCCGCCTCCGCGTCAGGCTCTGTCGTACCCTCTCTATGCCCATCCGCCTCGATCACTGCCTCTTGGGCCTCCCTTCCCTCCTCTGCCGCCTCCGCCTCTGCATCTTCCGCCTCGGTCTTGCCCGGCTCTTCTGCCACCTCGGGCTCGCCCAGTTCGCCCGCCTCTGTCTCTCCCGCGTCCGTCGGGGGGTCAATCACACTCTCCGTCTGCGCATCATCATGCTCAGCCTCCACGCGAACCGCGCCTGATTCGGCGCCTGATTCGGCCTCCGCATCTGTGCCATCGAGAGACGTTTCCTCCGTCACCGCCTCACCTTGCGGCGTCGCCTCGCCCCCGACATTTGCCGATCCTGGCGCCACCTCCTCGCCCACAGCTGCCACCTCAGTCTCGCCCACCACGGGCTCGCTACCTGCTCCTGGCACAACGTCTGAGACATCCACCGCCTCTGGTGCGTCCGCCTTTTGAACCTCTGTCGGTGCGCTGGCGGTTAGCTTGGCTATCTCCTCGCCCGCGGACCCGGGCCTGCCTAGCTCGCCTTCGTCCCCGCCAATAGACTCTGCTTCACCCGCAACCTCGATTACAGAAGCCGGAGAGCCAGCAGGTTTCATCGTGGCTGCGTCGCCCCCCTCCCCGTTGGGCTCATCCACGGCCAACGCACGTTGCGGCACCTCGGCCTCCATGGCCTCTCTGGCCTCCTCTGCCTCGCCGGTCACCTCGTTGACACGCTTTGCCTCCGTCTCGGCCTGTGATGGAGTTGGCATTGGCTCCGGTGCCTCCACAACCACGGCGGTCTCGCGAGCTGGCTCGCGCGGGGGAGCAGACTTGAGCAGCGGCGCAGCAGCAAGCGGCTGTTGGACAAAAGGCGCTGGTGGCGGGACCTATCCCACCATGGAAACGCTCAAGGAGTGAAAGAACCGTGCGATCCTGGCCCATGCGCGCCTGCTGGGCTCCATTCTCTTGCTCCTCGGCAGCAGTAGCGGCGTTGGCGCAAGAATGCGCAGAGGGATCTGAAGCCTGGGCGGTGGGTTCGGCGACCGGAGGCTCTGCAAGTGCGGCTTCGCCAAGCAGGGCTACTTGATGCTCCATCTGTCGCAGTTCCAGTTCCTTGCCATGCAGCAGCTGCAGGGCAGGCAAGGGAGACTTGTTGGCCATGTCACGGAAAGTGGACTGCGGAGAGAGAAGATTGTGCGGCTAGTGGAGTGGGATCGGGAGAGTTGCCTGCGCGAGCACACGCTCGGCTGGCCCGCCTACGAGTGCAAAACGCAACCTCAGCAGCGCTACTGGCGTGCATCAGGCGGGTTGCGTGCAACCACCGTCGGTGGGCAGGGAGAGGAGCGAAGTTTCAAGATCTTCGCTCCCAAAGGCGAGCGCCGCCTGTAGCGAACGAGGACGGCGTTGACACCTAGCTCGTTGCCGAGGTGCTGCGTTCCGCTCGAGGCCTCGAGATCGGCCACGTGCTTGCGCTCCGCGTGCAGCTCGGCAAAGAGCGTTTGGACCACGGCCCCCTCCTTCTCCCGCCGTTCAGGGTCGGCCCTGCGCCACGATCGAGCGATCGCGAGAGGGGGCGTCAAACATCGGTGATTGGGGTATCTTGGTTGGGCGAACGGGCAGAGCCCACCCTTCACGCAGCTCGCGAAGCTCGTCTTGCAGGCGCTCGATGGTGGCACACTCGGGCTCGCCGCTGCGGGGTGCAGCTAGCGCCTCGCGCTCTACCGAGGTCCGCCGCGCCACCTCGGCCTTCAGCTCGGTCTCCTTCGCAGCGAGCGCCTCGCGGAGTGAGCTAACCTCGATGGACAGCTCCGCCTGCCGAGCCTACTCACCACGATTATCCCAATCAAATTCGAGCCCTCCTCTCGGCCAGGACGCTCTTGTGCACCGAGGCATCGCGAAGTCGAGAGACCACAAACTCCGCTGCCTTAGCGCGTCCGCCGCGTGCGCCCTCGCCGCCGGCACCCGCGAGGGCAGCGACCTGTGTGCGGTGTTGAGGCATCAGCCACAGGATCTGACTCGTGAGCGCGGCGTGCGTGCGTTGGGTCGGATACTAGAGTACATGGACATGGGTGGTTTCCGGTCCGATGCGCAGATTTCCTGTTCGTGCAGCGACGCCGTCTCGCGCTCAGCCCGCGCCGCCGCCTCAGACGCCGCCTCGCGCGCTCGTGCCTCAGCCTCGTACGCGGTTTTGGCAGCCACCTCTGCCTCCTCCCGTTGTTTCTTTGTGGCGATCAACTCGCGCTCGAGTGCGCCTATGGTTGAATGGGAGAGTCACACTCGAGAGAGGTTGGGGAAGACTCGTGTCGAAAAGGAGAAACTCTGCCCCAACGTCGAGAGGAGGCCTGATTTGCGCTCTGGGCGCGCGCAAGCCTCTCCCGCAGCATCGACACCTCCCGCGCGCGCTCAACCACGAACTGTTGCAGCTCGGCGGGCAGCGCGCCGCAGTTGCCGCCGCCGCCACTACTGCTGCCGAGGCTGCCGCCAAAGTCACTCTTCCCGTACCCACTCACCGCGCCCACCTTGCTTGCAGCTGCGGCATACTCGAGCTGAGCAAGCGAAGAACGAAGCTGTGCCACCTCCTCGTCTCGAAGGCGGCACGCCTAGCGTACAGATGCCATCAAGTCTCGCCACGCACCGCTTAGTACTCTGGCCGAGTGTGTATCTCAACCCTCTTGCTTCCAACGGGGCTAACTCCCTCGACGGCGCACCTGCGTCGCCGAGCGCGCCTCTGCCTCAGCGAGAAGCACTGCCTTGCCATCGTCGCGCTGCGAGAGAGCTAGTACCCGACGCTCGGTCTTACTGAGGCGCGCCCGCACCGCTAGCAGCTGTTGCTGCTGCGTAACGGCAACTGCCTCGAGCCGTGCCGCGCGCGATGACTCAGCCCCTGGGGAGCGACCAGCTGCGGCGGCAGCGGCAGCGGCATTCCGCCGCGCCTCGCGCCTCCCAAGGGGCGATTTGGGATGCTCCTCGGCATCGCGCACGGAAGCGCTCATCGCTCGGACCTGGTCGTGAAGCGTGTCGAGCTCATGCCGGATGGAGCTGCTACCCTGAACGCCCTTGTCTTTGCCAGCATCACCATCTCGCCACGGCGGAGGGGCACCTTGGAGGGGCGCTCTCGCTGGAGGTGGCACGTTCCCGAACGGGCCCTCAACAGGCTCGCCCTCGTACGATTCGCTCGTTCGCATCTGCTCCGAATCGCGTAGCGGCGGCGGTGGTGGCGGCGGCGGCCCTGGCGGCGGGGAAACGGATCGTGCAAAGAAGGCCTCGTTGGGCCGAGCGCCAGACTGAAGCTCAGCAGGCGGTCGGCGGACTGGGCTCGCGCCTTGAGACGAGCTGCTGAACCACGCGGTGCGTCCGTCATCGCGCGGCAGCCCAGCTGCATGAGCCTACGGTGGCGATGCGGCGGCGTGATGCGTCGCGCTCCCTGTTGGCGCAAGGTTGCAAGAGAGAGGCCTGAGCCCGTTGTCCTGCGGAGGATGCTCTCGCAGCCGCTGCCCTTTCAGCAGCAAGGCGCTCACCTAAGGCAGGATAGCGGTCGTGACGTCCGCGACCAGACTTGTCAAGGACCGGTCGGGTTTTGCGGGGGAGGGGGGGGGGGGCGGGAGAGAGATCGAGCGAGACTTCTAGGGCGTCTCGCCAGTGCAATCGACGGTCCAGACGCGGGAGTCAAAGCCAAATCGGACATTGTCGCCGTGGCGCAGCGGCTCACGCGTGTCGCGCAGGCGCACGTTGTTGAGGAAGCAACCGTTGAGCGACCCCAGGTCACGGAGAGCCGCGGTGCGGCCAGAGCCATCGACTTCGAGCATCGCATGTTCGCCTGTCGGACAGAAGGGCCAGATGCTGCACACAAACAGGCCCAAAGGAGCAGCTAATCTTTGCTCTCGGCAGCGGGTGGGAGGGTGGGTGGGTGTGGCTGGTGAGGGCTCGGCGTGCAATGCGTTCTGCTTCCGCTCTCCTGAGACCGATCGACTCTTGAGCACGAGGTCGGAATCGGGCCGGCGCCCAACCGTGTAGCAGCGCCCAGACTAGGCGGGACAGGGTGGACGGTTAATACAGGGATGCAAGCAGGCGGCCGTGCCTCCCCAGGCGGGGCGCCACCTCGAGGGGCAGTGCTGCCGTGTCACTCTTGAGGTAACCCCAGCCGGCGCTCGGGAGCGGTGGCTCCTGCGCCGCTCCTGGCAGCACGCCGCTGTCACCCTGCCGTCGCGAAATCATCGGCCGAACGGCCCCGGCAGGGGGCCGGGCCTGAACGTTGCTCAGCGGCAGCGTCGCGTTCACCGACGGGGTCGACCGTTTCCTTTCTGCGCCATTCACCCACCTCGTCATTCTTCTTTGGTGGGGATAGACCGGATAGTTGCTTCCCTGTGCGGTAGGTAGGAAATTTGCCGCGAGTCAGTGTACGCAGACCCCCTCTCCGGCAGGGAGCCGGAATCCAGTTGTGCTCGCCGGCATTGTGCATGGCGCTGACAGCCGCGACCGTGACATATTGGCGCGGCCGTGGACGCTGTGAGCCGTTGCGAGTCGTGCTCGCCTGCGGAGGTGTGCGATTTGTCGGCAACTACCTTGAGAAGAAGGCGGATATGGATGCCCTAAAGGCCTCCGGCAAGCTGGAGTACGACCAGGTGCCGCTCGTTGAGGCAGACGGGCTCAATCTCGTGCAGGGTACTCCGACCGCGGTTTACCTGGCGCAGGGCTGTGGCCTGTGGCCCGAAATGCCAAAGGAGCAGTACATTTGCGGGCACATCCTCGCAGCGACGCAGGACGCCCGTGGCCCGCTCGTGAGCTTCCCGTTCCACCTCGACGAGCAGCGCTGCCTCGAGGAGCTTCAGTCGCCGAAAGGGCTGCTCGGCCGCTTCGCGCCTCGGTGGGAGGCGCTGCTGGGCGAGGGGAAGCCTTACTTTCTGGGCGCGACCCCGTCGCTGGCCGACTGTGCCGTGTATGAGGCGTCTCACTCTAAGGACTAGACCCTTCACCTATGAGGAACACTCTCTTCTCCTTGCCCGCTCCCCACCGCTGATTCCCCTGCCGCCCGCTCGAGGTGCTCGACTTTGTGCGCCACGTCTATGGCGAGGAGAGACTTAAGGCGCTCTTTGGCGCGTTCCCGCTGCTTCTCGCGCACCACGACCGCGTGCTTGGCTTGGGGCACATGAGGGAGTGGCGCGACGTGGGGAGGAAGGAGGCGGGCTGGGCGCAGGGAGGCGCGGAGCCGAGGGCTCAGCACCGCGATTGCCGCACCACTGCCGCGTTGGCTCGTTAGGCGTTCCTCGACTGGCCCGAATATGCCGCAAGCGTTCGCGCGACGCTCGGCTTTTAAGGCGAGTTCGATTTCTCCGCGACCACTTCGCACGGTGTTTCTTTCCTTCAACTCCCGTTAAAGATGGGAAGCCCCGGGACTTCTTTTCTGTCTCGCACGAATAAATAAATAAATACAACGGACACGCCAAACGAGGGGTGGGAGAAGGACAGGGTCCCCACCTGCACAAGCAGGATCTTGTAGGACGATCAGGGACACAGGGGAACGGGAGCGGGGAGCGCATCGCGACACGGAGGGGGGCTGGGCAGGGGGTTCACCCTCACGACACTGACTGTACGGACGCCGAATCAATTCTTTTCAAGAGGCCGGGCGCGGCCGATTTCGGTTTGAGCCTCGAGCGGGCAAAATGAGCCTCGAGGCGGAGCGTCCCCTGCCGTTATCGCTGTCGGACGCCTCTTTCACGACCTCACCGGCGCTGCAGCTCGGTTCCGAGCGCAGCGTCAGCGAGATGGAGTTCGACATGGTGGCGCCGGCACTCACTGCGACGCTGCTGCTGGCAAACACATCCGAGGTGCCGCTGGGCTACAAGGCCAAGACCAACGCTCCGCGGCGCTGGCTCGTGCGCCCGAACATTGCAGCCATCCCGCCAGGCGGCACGCTCCGCGTGAGCCTGTCGCTGCTCGGGCCTCCGGGCAGCCTCCTCGCTGTTAGCTCGCTCAACGAGGACCGGGTGCTGATCCTCTCGGCGCCGCTCGAGGAGGAGGAGGTGGTGGAGGCGCTCGAGCAGCGGCGGGAGATCCCTTCCAGCCTGCACGAGGCTGCGCCCGCCGCCTCTGTCTGCCGGCTCTCCGTCCGCTTGCTGCTGCAGCCGCCCTCAGCGCTGCCCTCTCCGCGCGCCGGCTCGTCCTCGTCTGGCTCGCGGCCGCCCTCTGTCGCCGACGCGCCCCGCGCTCCCGCCGCCTCGCCGCCATCGACGCCCTCGCCGCCGCCGCGGAGAGCGGACGCCAGCCCTCCCGACGCCACGCCCGGCTTTGCAAAGCTGGCCGTCGCCGAGCGAGTCGCGCGGCTGCAGCGGGCAGAACGCGCTCGCGCCTGCCGGCGCCCCCTGCGCCTCCGCCCTGATCCTCGTCCGGACGTGTGCTCGAAGGCGCATCCGCCGCCTCACGCCGGCGCCGCCGACTCGGGAAGCGGCGTCGACGAGACGTCTGTGCCTCCCCCCCCCCCCCTCCCTCGTAGCCTTCTGGCCGCCCTCAGCCGCCCTCAGCCGCCCTCCCGTGCACCTTCAGCAGCCCGCTAGCCGCCTCCGGGCTCGGGGCGGGTGGGGCATCCGTCTCTCCCGCGCGGCTGCAGGTCGTCGTCCTACTTGCCGTATGAAGAGGCCGGCAAGGACAGCGTCCGGTCCAGTCCTCGCACCGGCGCAGGCAGGGCGCAGAGGGCAGCGCCGCCGCTCTGCCCGCCGCCCAGCCGCCCTCCTCACGCCCCAGGCTCGGCGGTGCTTGCGGAGAAGGCGGCCGCGGCGGGGCCGGACGAGGAGGAGGAGGACGAGGCGGCGGCGGCGAGGCGCGAGAGGGCTGTCCGGTGGGCCGTCCGCTTGCTGCCCGCCGCCCGGTGCGTGCGCCTGAGGCCGAGGAGGGCGGCATGTGGCCGACGGTGCGTGAGAGCCGAGCGTGGCGAGCCTGTAGGGACGGCGCGGCCGCAGAGTGGGTCGTCTGGCTGGCGCGGCTCTTCGAGCTCTTCTTCGCGGCGAGCGACGAGCTCGAGCCGTGGCTCAAGTGGAAGGCGTACGACGTGGTGTGGGCCGCGCTGCTGCTGCTGCTCGCGCGCCGCTCGAGGCGGATCGCGAGGTTACGGGAGGTGCTCGACCTCTGACACGTGCCGCGGGCTCTCTCCACGAGACTGGCACTCTTGCGCACCCTCTACAGCGCACCCCGGTCGGTTGCGCGACGGGGCCGCCGGGGGCTCGGCCGTGAGTCCCATCGCATGGGCAATATTATGCGCATATGCCGCAAAAAAGTGGCGTCCCCGGCGCCGCGCGTGCCCTGGCTGTCTGTTTACTGTTAATCTCGCTAGGCTCGCGCCCCCCCCCCCCCCCGCGGCCGCGCGCGCGGGTACGTCGTCGCACGTCGGTCCCGTCGCACCGCGACTCGCAGCGGCGAGCCGCGGGCGCGAAAAACACACTCCGACCACGCCACACAACATCTCACACAGCGTCCTTCATTTTCCGCAGCGCACTTCCGAGTGCGGTGTCGTCCTCGCCGGCCTGCGAGGCGGAGGGCGCGGGAGCTGCTGGAGCGACGGGGCTGAGAGTGGCCGGCGGCGGCGCTGGGTGGGCGGCAAGGGCGTCACACCTCCCTGACCCGATGCAACGTGTGCTGCGCCGCGGGTGCTGCCTCGGCATTTTTCGCAATCGATCCGTCGGCCAGCAGCAAGCCGCCGTCGGGTAGCCTCCGCACCGCGCCCTCCGGCAGCCCCAGATCGCGCGGCTTTCGGCTGTCCTTGTACATGTTTGCTGCATGGAGCCCTGGCAGGAAAGAAAGAGTCGGTTGCGGCGGCTAGGAGGGAAGGGCGTGAGTGGGCAGCGGCGCGCCCAGCACGATGGATAACAGCACCCAGAAGCGGCGGTCGCCGAACCGGATGCCGCCCTCCGGCACAAAGAGGTCCCACATCTTCTGCTGCATCTCGGCTTCAGCTGCGAGGCGCTTGACGGTCGCCTCGCTAGGCCGACTGTGCGGCGCAAGCGGCGGCCCTTTATATGAGCAGTGACGCGAGCCCATGCGCGCCAGCGTGCTCGTTGAGCGGCACCGCAGGGCGGAGAGCATCGGATCGCAGTATGATCGAGTTCTTTTCAGACATTCGGGGAGCAACCCCTCTTTTCTTGCCGCCACACTTCCACGGTGGGATCGAGCGCCATTTCTCTTTTGCTTTGGAAACACGCTAGACAGGGCGTTGACGGGGGTCGTGGGGTGCAAGGAGCGTGGCCGTCAGGTGGACGGACCGCTCGACCACTCGTTAGGCTAAGCACGCTTTTCTCGCCAAGTAATATCTATATTCTTTTGCTTATATTCTCGCCGGACCATCTATATTCTCGAGAATATTCTCGAATATTGAGAATATTTTCGCCACTATTTCACCACGCGACATGTCAGCGGACGACAAAAATCGCTTTAAAGTATAGGTTTGTGCTCCCAACCGCTCAGGAACGTCCAAAACTTAAAGATTTCCGTCTGCATCGACCCAAAACCTACTGTTGAGGGGGCAAAAGAGCTGCCTCGAGAAGCTGTAGTCAAGACCGTTCTAGGCGCCGCGATGTAACGTCGAGAATATTCAAGAGACTCGAGGTCAACCAAGGTCAAGGGCTGAAGAAAGCTCGTAGATTCTTGAGAAAAAGTCGGCCGGGGCATCTATATTCTCGAGAATATTCTCGAATACGAAAGTGCGCGGGACCATCTATATTCTCGGAGATATTCGAGAATAAGGTGCTTAGGCCAAACCACTCGACTGGAAAGGGATGGGTCAAAGACCACGCGTATGGAAAGGGGTGGGTCAAGACGGATACGGGCTGGAAGTGGAGGGGGGCGCAGTACTACGACGCGAAGTGGGTCAAGAAAGCCATAACTAAGAAGCAACGAATCGGGGAGAACCGGAGCCCCGGGAGGACGGAAGGGGGAGCTCCGGGACCGAGGACTAAGCAAGTGTCTGTGTGTTTGGGCGTGGTGTACAGTGTGATTTCCAGTAGCTCCGATTGGAGGAGGTGTCCTGCAGTTAAGGGGAAACCCGGTACGCGGGTCCAACCCTCGGAGACCCGTGTTTACTTTACGGCCCTTTCCCTGCGAACGCGCACCCCCGGGGCTAGGGCTCTCTAGCCCGCAACCCGATCCCGATCATCCGGCCCGCTGGGTGCGCTTCTTAGCTCCTCGGCCCTGGATGTGAGGTTACCGACTGCACTCCAAGTGCTCCAAGTGCGGCTGGTGCTCGTGGAAACTTTGGGTGGCATTGCGCCGCCCACCATGCAAGCAGTTCCTCCACGTGTTCGCCAAGGAAGCGGTGGGCACCAACACGGACCGGACGGTGTATGGGGCGGCGTCGGCGAGCGCCTCCTCCTTTGAGCTTTGTCGTCCACCACACGCAGCAGATCTCCATGGCGGGCGGTGGCGGGCGACGCCGAAAACATCAACAAGCAGGCGCGCAAGATGCGCACCAACTGGATCAAGAACAAGCAAGCGGCAAACGGCCTCTTGTCCTCGGCCCCAGTGGGGGGTGCCCGCGCCGCCTAGCTCTGCGGACGGGCCCCTCCACCCTTCACGTACGGATCATGTAGTCCCCACACTCGCTGTCGTGGGATCGCTTGTCATGTGAGAGAGGGAGTTGTCGATTTGTTATTTTCTCTCTTTTGACCGCGCAATAAAAGGGTGGCTAAGGGCTCTGGCTGCCCGCAAGGCGCCCGCGTCGCCGACGCGGTACCGTTGACTAATCCCGGAATTCACACCCACACGACCAAATAGCGAAAATCCGAACAGTCAGTCAGTCAGTGTTACACACGTCCTAGCATGGACGACGGGGCACACGCACTCGCGGAACACAGGGCATTACACACGAGGCGTTGTGTGCGTTCTCAGGGAAAGGCATCACCACAGACAAATGTATAGTCAGAGGGGCAGCAGTGGGGACCCCCACTCACGACCCCGCGAGCGCCTGTAGCGAGATGTCCATCGCTGCATTGGTTCTCGCCAAGCATGAGCGCACTGGTTTAGTGCGCGGAATGCGCGGGGAGGGCGGCCTAGCCCTCGCCGGCATGGCAAAGAAGGCGTCGGGCGGGCGCCTGTTCTCCAGCGTCTGGCGCCAGGCCGAGCGATCGGCGGCGAGCTCGGGCCACCTCGAGCGGTCGATGTGGAACTTGTCGAGCGCGGTGCGGATGCTGCGCCCAAACGTCATGTTGGGGCACCCGATCGGCCGGCCGTGAGGCACCCACGATGAGAGCATGCGACGAGGTAGGCGATTGAAATCCATCCTGCTGACATGCCCGAGCCAGCCCAGCCGGCGTCGGTCGATGTAGTAGTCGATGAAGTCGAGACCTAGCCTGGCGCAGAGTTCGCCAGTCGTGATGTGGTGCTCCCACACGTGCTTGCGAGTGACACGACACATCGCACGCACGCACTGTGCGTGGAAGACGCGGAGACGGTGGAGGAGGCGCTCGGTGAGCGCCCAGCACTCGCACCCGTAGAGCAGGATGGAGAGGATGAGCGAGGTGTAGACCGCGCGCTTGGCGGCAAACGAGACGTCCCTCGAGCTGAAAAGGCACTTCCGAAGAGCGCCAAAAGCTCGGCCTGCCGACTCGATCCGGCTGTCGACGTCGAGCCCGTCGCTGCAGTCGCGGTTGAGGTAGCTCCCAAGATATTTGAAGCGGTCCACGACCGGCATGAAGCAGCCGCCGGGCAGCTTGATGTCGGACAGGTCGGCGCCGTCGTAGGTGGCGGGGTTGTTGTACGAGGTCGGCGCCGCCGCGCAGAAGAGCACCTCCGACTTCGAGTCCTTGCGAGGCTCGCCGTTGGAGCCGTCCTTGCCGACGTGGATCTCCATGCCCCAGCGAGCGAAGTGCGCGACCACCTTGGGCGTCTCGACCTCGACGCCGCGCCGAGAGCAGAAGGCGAGGCCCGCGTCGTCGGCGTACATGGAGTCTCTGAGGGAGAACTCAACATCGCCGACGGTAGACGGGCGCCGACCGGTGAGGACAAAATCGTTCTTCGAGCGGACGACGCACAGCTCGAAGTCGTGGTGGAGGCGCCACGTCTCCATGACCGCCGCCATGAAGAAGATGAACAACTCGGGGCCGAGTAGGTCGCCCTGCTTGACGCCGATAATCGAGTCGATCACCTTCTTCACGCCACCCACCTCGAACTGGACCTTGACCGTCGCATGCAGCGCCTTCAGCAGCGAGACGATCTTGGGAGGCACGCCCTGCTTCAGCATCACGCGCCAAAGCAGCTCGCGCGGTACACGGTCAAACGCCTTGACCAGGTCGATTAGCAACAGCCAGGTCTCGAGGCCGTGCTCTCGACGCTTCTTGATCAGCGTTTTGATCGAGAATATCGCGTCGAAGCAGCCACGGTTCGGCCGGAAGCCGTTTTGGTTCTCGTGATTCAGCGTTCCACCCTCCTTGATCGGTTTGAGCCGAACGAGGATGATGTTGCCAGCGATCTTGTACGCCGTCTCGAGCATCATGATCCCACGGTAGTTTCCAGGGAGGCTCAGGTCACCCTTCTTGGGCAGGATACTGAGCAGCCCCGTCTCCCACCCCTCGGGCAACTCTTCGGTCTCCCAGAAGTGTTGCACGAGATGTCTCACGAAGCCAAATCCGTCGCTCGTCGACACGAGAGCCTGCCACAGCCGTGCATGCAGGCCTGATGGGCCCGGAGCAGTAGCGTGCAGCTTGCTCGTCGCCAGCTGAATCTCGTCGTCCGACGGTACGTGGTCAAGACCAACGGCGACCGGCCTCTGCGGCAGGTCGTCGAGCACCGAGGGGTCGAAGGACGCCTCTCGACCATACAGCTGGGAGAACGCGTCGGCAAAGACGCTCGCATTCTCCTCTGGCGTGTCAGCGAGAGAGCCATCGGCCTTTTTCATTTTTGCCGGCGGTGCACGGCGCGGCGGCGCGAGGCCAGCCTTGAGCACCTTTACGGTCGCCCAGGCGGCCGCGGATCCCGTGGCGCCGCAGATGCCATCGTTGATGGCGGTGCATTTGCCGAGGATCCAATCCGACTTGGCACGCCTGATTTCGAGCTGCACGCGTGAGCGCGCCTCTCGATATTGAGCGGCAGCGTCCGCCGTCGGTTGCCGCTGATGAGCGTTGAAGGTGGCGTTGCGGTTCGCGATGACGGCACGCAAAACGCCCTCCTTCGCCGCAAACCACAGCGGCGCAGGCCGCTCATGCTTGGGGAGCGTCTCGGCAGCGGTCTTTTCCACCGCCTTGGCCAGTGTTGAGTACGATACGGCCGAGGCGTCGGATGTGCCGAGGCTCGTCACCACATCCGTAGCGAACTGGACCGCCTGGTCCTGGTTCAGCAACGGTGCGGTGTCGAGTCGAGCGAGCTGAGCACGCGGCTCCAGTTTGCGTCGAAGCCGCACTGTGAAGCGCAGCTTGCAGAAGACAGCACTGTGGTCGCTGTCGATCAACTGTCCACAGCATGCCCCGGCGTCTGTGAATCTCTTCAAGTCGCATCGAGAGATCATGATGTGATCCAGCTGCTTCTGCAGCTTACTGCACGGGTGCAGCCACGTCCCGTAAAACGGCTTCTTGAAGAACGAGGACAGTGCAGCAAGGTCGTGCAGCTCCATGAACGAGCGCAGGCGGCGCCCAGAGTCATTGAGAAAGTCGATACCATGAGAACCGACCGCACCGTAGTTGACATTTTGGCCGCCAAGGCAGCCGCGTCCAATGCTCGCATTGGTGTCAGCACAGACAATCACAATGTCGCCGGACTGCCGTCGCGAGAGCACACAGGCGAGAGCGGTCTCATATTCGTCCTTTTCGGTGTCCGGGGCTGTCGAGATAGGCGCATACGACGCCACCTGAAACAGTCCCTGCTTCCTGCCAGCCGAATCTTCAACCTCCATACGCACTGCGATAACCCGCGGGCCTACGTCGTTGTGCACAACGGCTCCAGCTGCTCGCCACGCAGCGACAGCCAGTGGCGAGAGCAGGATGCCGACTCCTTTTGAGCCGCGTCCGTTCTGTACAGCGGGTGCAGCGCCGAGGAAGACGAAGCCGTCCTCCTCAATCTCCTCCAGGCCCGTTCTCCACGTCTCCTGCAGCCCGGCAGAGAAGCCTGAGCGGTGTCGGAGAGCGTCGATAGCCTCGGTGAGAGCGCTGTCGGTCTTGAGCCCACGTGCGTTCTGCGAGTAGATGACATGAGTTGGGATCTTCCACCGCTGCACCCTCTGTGCACGCCCGTGGTGGACGCCAGGTGCCCGGCCGCAGCCGGGCTGGAGACGAGGCCCTCGCTTTCCAGACGAGCGACACTCGTGGGGTGTAGTGGCGTTGCTGAAGCGACCAGGACCGTCAGACGGCCTCAAGTGCGCTTGCATATGGCAGCGCCACCCCCGCCGACGCGCTAGCAGCGCGCGGCCTCCATGCCGCTCAAAAGAGGCGGTGATAACTAAATAAATAAATAAAAACGGACACCTCTCTCGTACTGTGCGAGGTGGGTAAAAAGGAACAGGTCCCCGCCCTTGCGATCTATCTTTTTTGTGCAGGGTTCTTTGTGGGTTGTGGTCGGCGACTATAGAGCCGGGGTCGTCACCTCCCGATGGGGGACTAGCACTAGCCGTCTTCCACATGCGACATGGTCCCTCCCTCGGGTCCCTGCTGCTCCTAATATGTGATAACTGATACGTCAGGGACCTCCGTCAGTGACAGTGTGTACGGCAGTACGGCTTCTTTATCTCACCGAGATTACTTTTATTGTACACACACGGCTTTAAAACCTTTATCTGCTCTCTGAGACACGGAAACACAATTCATCGAAGACACCGCTGGTACTGGCAGTTGCGTGGGCCGGCCGGCCAGCCATGCCGCATCCACCTCTGTCTCTCTTGAGTGTTCTCGAACATACACGTACCTGAGGGCTGGGCGTGTGTGCGGCGAGCTTACACCGTGGGGGACTGTGCGAGCGCCCAGCGGTGCCGCCATGCGCTAGGGCTTCGACCGGTCCGTGCCTTTGCCCACAAGCTTTGACCTGTCCGGTCCGACGTTGCTGTCCTGCAGGCCGAGCTCGAGGGAGCGGCGGTACGCCGCCCAAAGCCCGTCGGCGACCGTCGTCCTGAAGCCGCCACGCTCCAGCGTGTACACTGCGGAGGCGGTGGTGCCAGACGGAGAGGTGATGTCCGAGCGGAGGGCGCTGTAGTTGGCGGCACTCATGCCCTCCGGCGAGCCTGCGTACACGGCGGTGCCCTTGACAGTCTGCTGCACCAGCTTGGTCGCGACGTCTCGCTGCAGCCCGAGGTGTACGCCCGTCTCGATCATGCTCTCCATCAGCAGCAGAACGTAGGCGGGGCCGCTCCCGGAGAGGGCCGTCGCCATGTCGAGGTACTTCTCGTCGTCCACCTCGTGCTCCTGGCCGAGGCTGCCGAGGACACGAGAAACGAGCCGCCGGTCGGCATCCGAGACGCTCTGCGTCCCCATCCAGACTGTCATGCCCTCCTTGACCGCAGCTGGCGTGTTTGGCATCGACCGGACTACTCGCGCCACGCCGAGGCTGCCCGAGAGCACGCTCAGCGGCGTGCCTGCGAGGATGCTCAGCACGACGGTCTCGGAGTCGATGTGGCCGCACAGCTCCTTCCCTACTGCAGCTATGTTTTGTGGCTTGCACGCCAGCAGCACAAGGTCGGCTCCACGCACCGCATCGCGGGCGCTCTCGTGCACGCTGGCGCCGAATCGCTCCTGAAAGAGGAGCGCTCGGTGACGGTTGACGTCAGCTGCGCAGAGAGAGAGGCCGGGCAGCTCCGCTTGCAGCCCGTCCGCAAGCGCCTCCGCCATCTTGCCGCAGCCAATCATCGCTATGCGGCTCGCTATGCGGCTCTGGCTGGAGCTCATGCTGAGGCGGCGGCTGAGTTGGCGGAGCATATACACACAGGCCAGTGCGGGAGAGAGAGGGAGGTGAGCGACAGACAGCAGAGAGCGAGCAGGCGCCGAGGTTGATCGGAAGGCGGCAATTCTTTTCTGCTTAGAGTAGGAGCTGTACGACGCGATGGTGGAGGAGTACGAGGTGGAGGCGCGGATCGACGCGGTGAACCAGCAGCTCTACTACGCGCAGGCGACGGCGCAGCAGCTCAAGGAGGACGCGCAGCACCGCCACTCCATGTTCATCGAGATGACCATCGTGCTGCTGATCGCGTTTGAGGTTGTCGTCGAGATGCACGCACTCGGGTACATCGGCTGGCTCCCCACGGCGGCGGCGCCGCCGGCCGCGCACGCCGCGGCGGGCGGCGGAGACGTGGTGCAGGCGCAGGCGCGCGGCGTCAAGAAGAGGACGGCGCGCAGTGACTCGAGAAGTGTAGAAGGCAGCCGCCCCACGCGTCTCGCGTCGCTTCGATGAAAGTGAGGTACTGTGAGAGGGGGGGGGGGGGGGGCGTTGCTGGGGGGGGCTCTAGGTCTAGAGGTAAAGTAAGCTTATCGATGTTTGGCACGATCAGAAGCACACTTCACTGTACGGCACCACACATTACTAAGCTCAAGCCTCAACTGGTCTGGTCTAGTAGTCCGTCTATGGCTCTAGCTCTAGGAAAGCTCCACTGGAAAAACGATCCGCAGCACGCCATCTGGTACTACGCGAAGGACACCGGAGCGAGGGCGCCGCGTGCAACATTCCCGGTATCAGATACGGTATCAACGCACACCGGTTCACTCAGTCAGAGAGTACAGTGGGTTGCGGGCATTAAGAAAACGTGGCATTAAGAAACCCTACCAAGCGATTTCCGCAAAAATCTAAGAAACCACGGCGCGCCGCAGGCGCGGCCCCGAGAAAAGGCCAGATACGAGTGTGAACGGGAGCCCCAGCTGCAGCTCAAACTTTCTCTTCGCCTGCGGCGCGCGCACTTGTCACTTTTCAAGTCTGCGGTGTTCTGAGTGGAGTGGATGGAGGCGTGTGAGAGAGATTTTTAGCAATACCAAACAAATCTAACACTCACACGTCATTTGGGGCCTGGAGCCCTGTTCACGCGCGCGTGTGTGCGTCTTCCCGTCACATTCAGAGAGCCGACTCGGCGGCAGACTCTGGCATCGCCCTCGCGGACCGCAGCTTACCTCTCACCTACTCGAGTAAAACTCCTTCCTTCGGTCGGGCCGGCTCTGGCTTGAGTGCCGGCCGGAGCTAAGAAACCACGGCGTGGGGTGGATGAGGGCTGTGGAAAGGATTAGAAACGGCGGCGTGCCGCGGCATCCTGTTTATTTCTTAATGCCCGCAACCCACTGTAGTGAAGACGTTTACCGTACCTTACCTTAATGTTTACCGCCCGGGTACGGGGCGCAGAAAATTACTTTAAGCACTCAATCCGACAATGCTGACTCTCTCACTCTATGCTTGAATCCGACTCCATTCCGACGGCGCCAACGGGCGGCTCGCCGCAGCCTGCGACCGGACTGAGGAGACGGACGCTCACCCATCGCGGCGATCGAGTAGTAGATGACCCGAGATGACCCCATATGTTCTTTCGTTTTTGGTGCAGAGGGGCGGTAGGGGGCACAGCAGACTGGCTCAATATGGGTAAAAAAGAAAAAGGACTCGCTTCTCATCATCTCCGCTTTGTCTCGCTCTGTCGCCGCTGATGATGCTCTTCCCGCTCGTGCTCCGGACCAACCTGCTGCAGCAGCAGGCACGGGCTACACGCCTGCCGCAAGGCGGCGCCGGCGGCGGCGACTGGCGGGGCGTCTGAGAGCCGCGTCGTGAAGCTCGAGATGATCATGGAGTCGCTCGAGTCGACCATCGGCATGATTGCGGACGCCGCTAATGGAGGCTGGCCTCGACTCGCTTGGAGCGGTCGGAGCTCGGCAACCAGCCGCAGCAGGCGTCGGGGCAGACGCTGCCGTCGACGCCCAGCTGCAGTAGGCGTCGGGGCAGACGCTGCCGTCACGCTCAGCGCGACACAAGCCGACAGTGCGAGAATGAGCTCCAGAGAGGGGGCTGTACATCCTCCTCTCAGGCGGCGGCGAAAGCAGCATGAGGTGATGTGCGCAGTTTCGGGGTGGGATAAAATTTCTGGAGAGGAGGAGTAAATCGTAAATTAAAACACCGCGAAAACTAGCCGTCGTTTCTCAGACCATGGCGTCTGCAGGTTCGCGATATATATAATCACATAAGTCACGAAAAAATACCCCGAGCCTGGAGGCGCGAGAGGAAGGAGGACTCGAGCCAGATAACCATCGATGGAGAACAACCACGCTGAGACAGCGAACGACAAGAGCCGGCGCCCGACCGCCGCCGGCACCGCCGCCGACGCCGAAGCGGTCGCGACGCCGACGCCGAAGGGGAGACAAGAGGTGGCGGCGGCGAGCAGGCGCAGCTCTAGGCCGCACGCGCCCGCAAAGAGGTCTCAGGCGATTCAGGGCGGCGGCGGCTGCGGCGGGCAGCGCGGATGTGGCGGCGACGGCTCCCAAGAGGCGTTGGCAAAGCGGCTTCCCGTACGGGTTTTACTCGGCTTACTCCACTCGGCCGTGTCTCCCGCGTAGGAGAGCGGCTGTGGTGCTGCGGCTGGCGGCCCTCGCGCAGGCAAGCGGCCGAAGGTGGAGGCCGCGGCCGCGTCGTCTCTGGTCGCGGGAGCCACTGCTGCGGAGCCTTCTGCAGAAGACACGCTCGCCTTCGGCAAGCGGCTGATGCAGCCGCTCGATCAGGTCGCGCTCGGCGCGGCCGGCGTCTGGGTCATCAAGCTCCCCGCGATGCTCGTCGGCGGCGGCCTCGGGAAGAGCTTCGACGACCTCACCGCGTCGGGCTTCCACCCGTCGAGCGTCGGCGCGACCAGCGCCTGCACCTTGACGGGGCTGTCCTCGTCGTGCGGGCCGGGCGACTTCGCGCTGCTGAAGGAGCACGTGCTGGGGCTGCTCTGGGCGGGGGAGGTGGGCGGCGAGCCCTCGCCCTTCCTCGTGCACGCGGTCTCGGCGCAGCAAGCGTGCGGCGGCGGCAAGATCGGCGCCGCCGCGCTGAGGCAGGCCGCCTCCGACACGCTCGGAGGCCAGCCGTGCCGCACGGTGCAGGCCGAGCTGCTCGCGTGGGCGGTGGAGGTGGCGGAGGCGGGCGGCCTGTGTGCCTACCGCGATGCGGAGGCGGCACGCGAGGCGGGGGAGCGACTGGAGCGCAGCCGCGCGATGATGCAGCCGCTGGATCAGGTCGCGCTCGGCGTGGCCGGCGACCGCGTCGACATGCTCCTCGCGATGCTCGTCGGCGGCGGCCTCGGGAAGAGCTTCGACGACCTCACCGCGTCGGGCTTCCACCCGTCGAGCGTCGGCGCGACCAGCTTCTGCACCTTGACGAGGCTGTCCTCGTCGTGCGGGCCGGGCGACTTCGCGCTGCTGAAGGAGCACGTGCTGGGGCTGCTCTGGGCGGGGGAGGTGGGCGGCGAGCCCTCGCCCTTCCTCGTGCACGCGGTCTCGGCGCAGCAAGCGTGCGGCGGCGGCAAGATCGGCGCCGCCGCGCTGAGGCAGGCCGCCTCCGACACGCTCGGAGGCCAGCCGTGCCGCACGGTGCAGGCCGAGCTGCTCGCGTGGGCGGTGGAGGTGGCGGAGGCGGGCGGCCTGCGTGCCTACCGCAATGCGGAGGCGGCACGCGAGGCGGGGGAGCGACTGGAGCGCAGCCGCGCGATGATGCAGCCGCTGGATCAGGTCGCGCTCGGCGTGGCCGGCGACCGCGTTGACAAGCTCGTCGCGATGCTCGTCGGCGGCGGCCTCGGGAAGAGCTTCGACGACCTCACCGCGGCGGGCTTCGACCCGTCGAGCGTCGGCGCGACCAGCGCCTGCACCTTGACGAGGCTGTCCTCGTCGTGCAGGCCGGGCGACTTCGCGCTGCTGAAGGAGCACGTGCTGGGGCTGCTCTGGGCGGGGGAGGTGGGCGGCGAGCCCTCGCCCTTCCTCGTGCACGCGGCCTCGGCGCAGCAAGCGTGCGGCGGCGGCAAGATCGGCGCCGCCGCGCTGAGGCAGGCCGCCTCCGCCACGCTCGGAGGCCAGCCGTGCCGCACGGTGCAGGCCGAGCTGCTCGCGTGGGCGGTGGAGGTGGCCGCGGTGGGCTTGAGCCATCGCATCGATCAGCTCAAGTCGGCTTGCGCCGTGCTGCGCTCGATCTCCGAGGACGGGCTGGCCGACTCGGCGGACCGTCTATGCGGCAACCTCTGCGTCGCGGTGCACGAGCAGAGCGAGGTGCCGACGGATGGAGAGAGCCGGCTCTCGGTGGAGCGATTTTGCCTCCGCTTGCTCGACGGGCTGCTCCACGCGCTCGGCGCGGAGCCGCTGCCGTCGATGTCTCGACTGCTAGCACCGGTGGCTGCCGCTCTCGTCGACAAGGAGGAGCATGCGACGCTGCGCACGATGCTGCCCGACGGCGACATGGAGGAGGCGCTGCGGTTCCTCTTCGGCACGTGGCAAACGCCGATCGCCACCCTCGCCCTCGTCGCGCGCCTCCTCGCCGAGATGACGCGGGTGGTGGTCAAGGAGCTGCTGCCCGCGCTGCAGATGTACGTTACGCAAGACGGCCGCAAGCCGCCGGTGGCGTGCGGCAGCGGCGCGGTGGCGACGCCGGCAAAGGAGTTCGACTCTGACACCAGCGACCGCTGCCCCGATGGCTTGCTCCCTTGGGAGTACGGGCCAGGCGACGTCGATCGCTGCGACTTCTCTGGCAGCTGCGCGTTTGAGCAGGCAGTGGTCGCCTTTGCGCGCGAGCTGGCCGTGCAGATGGCGGCGCGGCGCGAGGAGTGGCGGCGGCGGGCGGCGCTGGAGAAGGAGCAGCAGCACGCGCTCCGCAAGCTGGTTGTAGCGCCGACGGGCCAGATGCGATTCCCGTCGGGTCTCAGCCAAGAGGATCTCGTGCGTGGCGACGATCTTATCACGGAGCTCTCGAAGCTGATCATGCCCGATGGGCGCCTCGCAGAGGAGGGTTGCGGCAGCAAAGAGGTGAACGGGTTCGGCGAGGCCGAGCTCTTCTTCCGCTACCGCGACGGCACAATCCAGACGCCCAAAAAGCGCGATGCCTTCTTGAGCCTCGTGCACCGCGAGCTGCTCGCGCAGCGGAACGAGGGCGTGCAGTTTGGCTCGGGCGCGTGCAAGGAGAAGCCGTACGGCGAGGAGACCGTCCGCGCCCGCCTCACCTCGCCCGGCTCGTCGAGCGCTCGCTGCCTCGCGTTCCTCAACGACATCCGCGTCCTCGACCCGATCGAGTCGCAGCCGGTCGTCGACTACTGGTCGCGGCTGTTCGAGCGCGGCGGCGACACGCAGTTCGTGCTCGGAGGCGGGCCGGTCCACTATGACACGGTGGTCGAGTACATCACCGGGTACGACAACGGCAACCGCGTGCTCAAGGCCGGCCGGATGGAGGTGCGGCTGCCGTGGCTCGCGTACAAGCCGCCCGCGTGCGAGTCATCGACGTTCGCCACCTTCTCGTACGAGGCTCTTGGCTGCTGGCCGTCGCTCCAGCCTGACAAGTGCGAGAAGTGCAAGCTCGTCGAGTTCGAGCGCGAGAATGGCCACGTCACCATCATGGAGAAGAAGAACTTTGCCGCCGAGACCGCGCAGAAGAGGGTCGGAGAGACGTCGCCCACGATCACGTCGTACCCGAGCATGCTACACGGCGGCACCGCGAAGGGCAAGGTCCCGCCGCTCGTCGTCATCGACTCGCTTCGCAAGTCGCTCAAGGCGGAGTTTCAGGACACCCACTGGCTGCAGCGCATCTTTGACTCTGGCGCCGTGCTCCTCAAGAAGGGGCGCTGGAAGGAAGCGCCGGAGGCAGAGCGGGCCGCTTCGTCGGAGTGAGCGACGCCGTCCGGCCTCGTCGCAGCCCGTGAAGCGCCAAAGCCAGCGTCGGGCGGCCGGCGGCGAGCGGCCGGCCGGCCGCCGCGTCGCAGCGCATTTCTCGGAGAGGAGAGGAGAGTTGGACCGCTCTGTCGCAGCTGCAGCTGCGACCATGTCGTTGTGTTTTTGCTGATCGCAACTAAAGACTTTGAGAGTTGGACATTGGGTATCGACGGCGGTGGCGGTGGCGAGGCTGGCGTAGGAGTTGAGGCGAGGGCGCGAGCGAGGTGGCGACACGGCGGATGGTGGCGGTGGCGGTGGAGGCGGCGATGGTGGCGGCGACGAGAGCGGCCACCAAGGCAGCGGCGGCGGCGTTGTTGCGAGGGAGAAGCGCTTCCCTTCCGACAGCGGTAAGTGGCGAAGGTAGTGCACCAGGAGTGGACGCGTGTGGGCTTTGCAGCAGCAGCAAGGTCGGCAGAGGCAGCGACGAGTCCAGTCCGGCGCATGCTGCATGGACTAGACTGAGTGAACATTTCTTCGCGACTGATGAGAATGGGTGCCGAGACCGCCGGCGGCTGGCGGCGATGAAGGTCTGAGCAACGGCGACGCATGCTGAGGAGCGATGACGCTGACATCGTTTGGGTGACACGCCTCCACCTTGGCTTCTTTCTTTTTTTCTTTTTAAAGCTCGGGCCGCTGCGCAAACCCCTCTCAAAAAAATTGAAGGTGCAGCGCGCGTGCTGGGCTAACACGGTCAGTCAGGGATACTATGAGAAGAAAGATAGAGGGAAGCCGAGCATGCCCTGCCTCGGCGTGGACCGTGCCGCCGAGATGATCATAGGACATATCTAGATATAGCAGCATGAAAAAATGCTTAGCATGAAAAACCGGGCACACCAAACTCCCTTCCTCGCTCTCGATCCTCCTTAGAATTCTAGACGATCCACTCCCCCCTGGGGTTGGCTGGTCTCCGACACCTGATCGTCGGGAAGGGCCGGCTGGGCTCACGCCCGAGGAGCGGACGCTTGTCGTGACGCCCACGCGCCCGTGCCACTGGCAGGTGAACTGGGACGAATTCTTCGAGGCCTCATTCAAGACGGCTTGAGCTGGAGTAGTGGGCGGGGGGGGGGGGGGTGGAAGATCCAGTGGGATCGAGAGGGGCACGGCACGGGCGATCCGTGGGGAGGGGCGAATCGGCTGGGCCGCGCGAACTCGGTTTGACAGCCGACGAAATTGAGCGGGGAGCATCATGGACAGAGCGCGCGGAAGGCGCACGCAGAAGTAACATAGTATTGCCCGCGCGGCCGGGGCACCACTTAGGGAGCTATTGCCTATTGGCAACACGTCGTCTCTGATGCGTGTGATGGTAAAGTTGCGCTCTTGTGGTCGAAATAAGAGGGAGGCCGGGTGTTGTAGTATTGTAGTGAGGTGTTAAGGGCAAAGGTGTGCGACGCACGGACTAGAAAACAAAGAAACTGGGCGCGCTGGGTGGAGAGGACGGACCGCGACCTTCCCCCACCCACCAAGAGGTAGGTACCCGCGACCCTCAGTATCAGCGGCCTCACAGTGGCAGCGACCTCAGTATCAGCGACCACACAGTAGCGGCGGCCTTAATGCGAGCGACTTCAGGCGTGAATCGCCAATGCGCCAGAAATCGACACGGTGCTGGCATCGTGATAGATGGCGGTGCGAGACAACTGGTTCACCGAGAACGAGGTCATGTGGCCTGGGCAGGCCATGTCGCTCAAGGTGGAGGAAGTCCTCTTCGAAGGCCGCTCCAAGTTTCAGGACATTCTCGTCTTCCGGTCGTCGACGTACGGAACGGTGCCGCCATTCACACGGCTGCGCCCGCCGCGCCCGCACACCGACGGCGCTGCGGCTGCACTGTCACGGTGTGGTCCGTCGACGCCCTCGCCGGTCAGTCGCTGCTGCGGACGCCCGTGCAGGTGCTCGTGCTCGACGGCGTCATTCAGCTCACCGAGCGCGACGAGCACGCGTACCAGGAGATGATCGCGCAGCTGCCGCTCCACTCGCACCCCAACCCGCAGTCGGTCCTCATCGTCGGCGGCGGCGACGGCGGGGTCCTTCGCGAGGCCCTCCTCGCCTCTTGCCTCTCCTCTCCCTCGCGCTGCATGTATATGAGCAGCCGCCACCTACCAGCCTCCCTACCGCCGGCCGGCCATGCCCCACTGACACGCCCTACTGATGCCACAATCACGCAGGTCTGCCGCCACCCGGACGTCGCGAGCGTCACGATGTGCGAGATCGACGAGCTGGTCTGCGATGTCGCCAAGAAGTACCTCTCGCACTCGACCGCCACCGCCTTCGACGACCCGCGCGTGACGCTGGCGCACCGCTCGCCCCTCCCAAGCAGCACCTCCCAAGCAGCACCTCCCGAGCAGCACCTCCCAAGCAGCACACGCCGACCCCACAAGCCGCAGAGGCGGACCCGCGCCACCGCCGCCCCCGCGTGTCGCCGCCTCCCCACCGCAGCACCGTCCTCGACACAACACACCGCACCGGCGCAGCAACGCCGCCTCGACACGCTGCCGTCCCAGGTGCACGCCGACGCGGCCGAGTACGTCAAAGACAAGTGCGACGCGTACGACCTGGTGAGAGGGGCGGCTTGGGCCCTGCGACCTCCTCCGCCCTCTCTCCCCCACAACCCTCCTGCCCGCTGCGCGCGAGGTGATCGTCGACTCGTCCGACCCGATCGGCCCGGCAGAGACGCTCTTCACCTCCTCCTTCTACAGCTGCCTCCGCAAAGCTATGCGGCCGGGCGCGATCATGTGCAACCAGGGCGAGGGCCCGCCCCGCCGCACGAGCATCCCTCCCGCGCCGCGCCCCAGCCGCCCCCCACCCCCTCCGCTCCTCCGCCCCGGCAGGCGAGTGCATCTGGCTGCACCTGCCGCTCATCGCCGACTGCCTCCGCTCCTGCCACGAGATCTTCCCCTCGGCGAGACGTAGCCGAGACGCGCCCGAGATCCCCCCCTGCCGCTCCACCGAGCTCACTGCTCAACACACGCAATCCTCCCCTCTCGGCCCTGCCCCGTTTCGGCCGGCTCCTTCCGCCTGCATCGTTGTGTCCCGCCCTGGTGTCGCCACCCCAAGCCCCGGCCCACCCACCCTCGGCAGGTCGACTACGCCTACACCACCATCCCCACCTACCCCTCCGGCCAAATCGGCTCGCGCCCCCTCGCCCCCACCCCCCCCCTCTCCCGGACGCCGCTCCCTCCCTCCCGGCTCTGTCCGCCGTACGCTCTCGCCGCGGACAGCCCCTCCCTCGCTCCCGCGACAGGATTTCTGCTCTGCTCGACGGCGGCCGGGGCCGTGCTGCGCAGGCCGTTGCGCGAGCCGACCCCCGAGATGCAGGCGCAGCTCAAGTACTACTCGCCCGCCGCGCACGCCGCGGTCGCTCTGGCTCCGCGCGGGTCGCACGCCCGCCGCAGGCCTGACCGCCGCCGCGGCTGTCTCTAGGCCTTCATCCTGCCGCGCTTCGCCGAGGAGACGGCGCGCCTCGGCTTAGCACTGCGGACCCTCCCCGGTTACACCCTCCGACGCCCGTGCCGTACCGATGCCGCAGGTTGCCGCGGTGCGCAAGCCGCCGATGCCTTACGCGTGCACTTCTGGCGCGCCGCCGCTCCTCACTCGCTCCAGCCTCGCGCTGGCCGCTGTCGGGGTCCTTGTGGGCGCTGTCGCCGCGACGGCGCTGGGGAGGCGCTAGGGCGACAGCATTCGTGAGCGCGATGCGCACGCACATGAGTCGCCCGTCGCGCGCGTGTTGTGGGGATCCAACGCGCTATTATAGAGGGGGGCGGGGGGCTGTGAAATGTGCACCGCGCCATGCCCCCGCGCATCAAACCCGAACGACACATCTCGGCAGACTTTTGTTTTCGTTTTGTCAAATGTGCGCGGCGTGTTGTCTCTTTCCAAAACTTTTATATAGGAGGGAGCGAGGCGGGCTGCAGAACCACGGCGCACGGGCTGCGTCGGACTGAATGTGACACACACGTTGGTCTGGACGGGCGCCGCGGCAGTCTTCATCGCCTTCGTCAAGCCGTATGCGCTCGAGATATAGAGTGGGGGTCCGGCGCGTTGATCGACTGGATGGAGGATTACTGCCCACGCAGCTCTCACGGGGCCCCGTGAACAAGATAGTCCACCACACACAGCGGATACAATGGCAGCTGACGGAGTTTTCGAGTGTAGAGAAGCGGCAGAGCGCTGCAAACCCTTCTCCACCAGAGGAAGAGTTTGCCTCTTTTACGTTACTAGTACGACTTACTTATGATAGAAGCCGACGCAAACTCGCCGCGTGCCGCGACAGATTCGTGGACATATTTTTGCTTTCGGCCTTTCGGTTTCGCTCGAGCCCCGTGAGCCGTGTTTTTCTCGGCGTAGTCTCGGGTAGTCTCGGGTGTAGTCTCGGGTGTAATCTCGGGTAATCTCGGGTAACCTCACGTACTGGTCGCGCGAGGCGTATGTCAACGTGCCGCTGGTGACGACGGCGCGCGCGGCGCTGTGCAAGCAGATGGGCGCGCTCTTCCTGACGCAGTGGCGCGCCCACCGGCATGTGTGCGAGAACTTCTCGCCGTGGCGCAACGCCACCGAGTGCACGGGGATGCGCTTCTACCACTGGGGCGCGCTGGCCGGCTTCATCGGGCTGCTCGACGCAGGCTTCTACCAGAGGCCGCGGCAAGCGGCTGCTGACTTCACGATCACGTAGCGCGCGCGTTTTTCTTTTGCATAAACCAGTGTGTCAGAACCGCCGATGGCGGACACGCCAGGCTCACGCAGCCGCCGGAAGAGCCTCGAGACAGGAGACGGCTCGAGCGACACACACACACACACACACACACACACACACACACACACACACACACACACACACACACACACACACACACACACACACACACACACACACACACGACCTTGATCGTAAAAAAGAAATCAGCGTTAATTGTTGCGCCAAGGCACCACAGCCCGAGCAGCCGCGAGGAGCAGAGAAGCCTCTCTCAGGATCACAGACACCCCTCTCATCAGGATCACAGCACCGGCGCGCGCGCGAATTACGATACCGCGCTGGTGTCCCAGTCGTTGGTCTGACTGTGTTCCTTTAGATTTGCAGATCCGCCGGATTGTCATGGGGGGATTCTAAAACAGCTCCTGTGGTGGGGGCGACGGCTTCTGAGGAAGCCGTCGCCCGCGCCTTGCCTGTGAGTCGCGTGAATCGTGATGTGCGACCGCCTTTGTACATGTTGTATAGGGTAAATTTGGCGTGATCGTTTTATTTATTTATTTTGGCACGCAGCTGCGTAATCGTCGTGATTGCCTGAGCGATGGGCCCGGCCGCACGTACTTCGGCGCCGCCGCCAGAGCCGCCGCCAGTACAGATTACGCACGGCTCGCACGAGCCGGGTACATCTTGCGCTGTGTGGACTGGCGTTGGGTCACGTACACGTGAGATCTGGGGGTTGAAATGCGAATCCGCATCATGCACGAGCGTGTAGAGCCGCATGTATCTTATGCGCCAGGTCCTAGTGTGGATATGTGCCTCGTATATCGATGCGTGAGCGGGCCCGATTTTTCGGTCGCGGCACCCAATTTCACACCCCAGTCGGTAGGAGGCGCCGTGTAGTGCCGAGATATGGTAGGACGCGCGTCGGCCGCCTCCTCGTCGTCCGCGCCGGCGCCCGCGGCGGGTGCGGCCGATGCCAAGCAGCAGGAGGCGCTCGAGCTCTGCATGCAAGAACATCCGGAAGCGCCTTGCTAACGGCGCGCCCGTCAGTGACCCCGCAGCGTTTCTGGGGTGGCGCTCGCTGGAGCATGCCTGCAAGGAGGCCTGGGGCATCGACGGCGACGAGGCGAGAGAGCTGATGCGCGGCTGGGACCAGAGCGACGTATCGAGCACGGACGAGTGGGACGAGGAGTCGCTCCGGCGCGACGCGCGCATCCTGCTCCGCCGCACGCAGGCGGAGGCTGCCGCCAAGGCGGCGGGCCCGTGGCTGCGCGTGCTCTGGCTCGGCCGCCTCCCAGACCTGCTCGTGCAGCTGCACCTCGAGCCGTCGCGCCTGATGGCGCATAACCACCTGGGCAATGCGCACTTTGAGAAGGGTGGCGCGTACGAGGGCGTGCTCTGCACGCCGCGCGACAACGGTTTCACCAGCTGCATGCGCATGCTCACCGAGACCTCTGACGGCCGCAACATCCGCCGCGTCGACGTCAAGCGCGGCGGCGCGGTGGTCGCCTCCTTCTACCTCGCCGTCTTCGGTCACCCGGGCGGCAGGGGGCGCGCGGACACGGACGCCGACATCGAGGTGCCGGCGCAGCTCCTGCGCGACCTCTTCGACGGCGTGACTCACATGGCCGCGCTCGAGATCGACGCCTACGCGCTCTGAGAGCGCGCTTGCGGCCGCGCGGCGGAGCGCGGAGCGAGCGAGGGAGAGCCGGGCGGGCGCGGCGCGAGCGCGTGCGCACGCCCGCTGACAGTACAGACACGACTCGGAGGCGAGGGGCGCGGCGGTTGGCATGACTCAGAGGCAGAGAGACGCGGCGAGAGAGTATTGACCCTGGGCTGACAAGTGCTGGGACCGTCTTCGCGCCGCCGTCGATGAATTGCGACAGTTTACTCGACGGACGCCAATCGACGTCAAGCGCGGCGGCGCGGCGGTCGCCTCCTTCTACCTCGCCGTCTGCGGCCACCCCAGGCGCAAGAAGCGCAGCTCGACCGAGGCCGACATCGAGGTGCCGGCGCAGCTGCTGCGCGACCTCTTCGACGGCGTGACGCACATGGACGCGCTCGAGATCGACGCCGATGCGCTCTGAGCTGGCCGCGCGGCGCGCAGCGAGCGACAGGGCTGGGTGGGCGTCCTCTGACAGTACACGCATGACTCTGGAGGCCAGGGGCCGAAGCGCCCGGGGCACGACGTACGAGCCGCACTTGCTCGTTTCCACAAACAAAGCCGGCGGCAAAGCTGCTCGCTGCTCGGGACATATGTTATATCACTGTCTGAACACGAAAAATGTGTGTAACAGCGTGAACGGAAATACACTCCACACAATCATTTCTCTCTTCCTCTCAGTGTCAGTCGGGTTTTATAAAAACAGACACCTCGGAGTGATTCTGAGATCAGGTGTCGTTTCCCCTTTGGAGGCAGAAAGCGAATCCCCGGCCGCATCTGCCCGCTCGAAGCGGGGAACTCAGTCCCGGGCGCCCGCTCGAAGCTGGGGGCGCCCGCTCGAAGCTGGGGGCGCCCGCTCGAAGCAGCCGGCTGCCTGCGAGCGTGCTGCGGCCCTCTGCCGCCCTCAATGCTGTGGCTGGCCGCGATGCTGAGCCTCGGCCTCTCCTCGGTGCGCCCGCTCCGCGGTGTCGGCACACAGAAGCCCTCTGGCCGCCGCCGCGCTGGCAATGCGCTCGGAAAGCCGCCCCGCTGAGCGCCAATGTATGCCGGCGCAGGCGTCGATGCAGGTCCTTGTCTCGCCCGATCGCATCGCCTACCGCATCCCGACAGAGATGCGTTCGAGGCGCTGGTCAAACGGCTCAAGCTGCCTGGTGACCTGGTTGCAAAGAATCTGCGTCTCAGCTCTTCGGCTCATTGATTGTGCATGATTGCTCGAGTGGCTCGAATTGGCATCTCACCGCAATGCGAACCTGACTGGAGAGCATATGCAACACGGACGCAGGCTTGCCGTTGGCGACGTCGGTGATCAGTCAGAGGGAGGGGTCAGGTCATATAGTGACGCGCTCGATGGGTTGCTGCATTGACACAGGCAGCAAAAGCATCGCAGCGGAGACCTTCTCATGAGTGGCGGCTCGCACCATGCGGCAGTGCGGACACCAGGTGCGCGAATTTAACAGCCATTCCGTGGTTTTGGCACTGTCTACCAACTTTGGTACAAATCGACTTGGTCTGAGCACAGCTAGCTGAGCCCTGGCCCCTGCGCTGCGTTTGAGCCTCCATTCTGAAAGTGTACGTAGAAGGGAAGGCAGCAGGTCCGGCTTGCGAACTCCGCTGTGCGCCGACAAGCGGTATGGCGCCGAGGAGAGGCCATTTTCCTATTAGAAAAGGCTGTCGAGCGCAAAATTTTCCTCGCTGCGCGCCCAACCATCGTGGGCACGCAGAGCGCCGGGGCGCCTGCGGCGCCCATTTTTTGAAATGTCTGCCACTCGCCTAACCTGATCTCAGAATCACTGGCCGACTACACGGTGAGCCATACGGACCTTGCAGTAAACCTTTTCCTTCTAAGCAGGGCTACACAATGACCCTATAGTGTGGGGGTGTTCCTGGCGAGTTGCGATGAGTAGGATTAGATTAGCCAATGTTATTTTGAAGTTCATATATGAAAATACCAACTTGCCTATGTGCACGTCTCCGCGGCGGTGGCCCGGAGGCGGCCCGGCGGAGCGGTCAGAGCAGCACTGCGCCGGCCGGCGATCGACCCTCGACTATAACACGGGCTCTATTGAACGGCCTCAAGGTGCTCTCTAGGGCTGCCCTATTCCGCTCGCCCGGCTACGTCGCCGGGCTTCGAAGGAAAAGGTTTCGCTCGGCACGGCGTCGGAGAGCAAACTTCGGCGTTCGTCCTATAGTGGAAGCTGGACGCACGTAGGCAAGTGGCCCATGACCAGGCGGGCTGCTGCTCAGAATCTGGGCTCTCTTGGCGCTCGCTCTCGCGCTCTCCATAACCTCTTTGCCCCCTCCCTCCCGCGCCGACGTTGGGCAGCCCGACCACGACAACGTCAGCGCCGCCGGCCTGCAACTCGAGGCGCCGTTGAATGAGCACGAGAGCCGGTGTGCAACGGCGGCGCGGGCGATGTAGCCCAAGGTGGCGGCGGCGGCGGAGGGGGCGGCGGCGACGGCGGCGATGGCCGCGGGGTCGGCCCGCCCGCCTTTGCTGCTGGTGCTGTGGGCATCATCACAGCTCAACCTGAAGTCAAGGTGCAGAAGCTTCAGTGGGCACTTTTCGCGTCCTTTGCCACGTATATGGCGCTGCGGACCGGTCTACCGGCCCCGCCCCTGATTGTGTTCTCTTCCTCGACTCGACCTTCCCCTTCCTCGACTCTCGACCTGATGCTGAGTTTCCGCACCAGCGCAGCTCAGTGGCAGTGTGCGACCAGGGCCAGTGGTAGACAGTCACGACGTGCGTCAGACTGCTCTCTCTGAGCGATGACACTAGCAGTAGCATTGTCAGTGTCATCGGAGTCACTTGTATTTACGACGCCGCCACGCTCGCAAGGGCTGCCTAAGCGCCTAAGCACCCTAAGCACCCCCCGCTCGAGGCCGCTTAGGCGCTTAGGCGAGCGACGGCCGGCTGCCCGGGGCTGGCGTGCCTCTGCCGTGGGGTGAGCGCCTGGGAGAGCCACTCTGCAAGTGGTGTGCGAGTGTGTAGCCTTTAGCGTGCAGTCGGCCCACTCCTCGTGTCCGCTGTCAGCTGTCACCACCGGCTCGCTCAAGGAATGGTCAAAATGACATCGCACATGACACATCATCAACACCGCGCACACACACACACTGCACACACAACGAATACAAAAAGACACAATATCACAACGTGAAGAGCCCACAAACGGTCACACACACAAGAGCAAGGCGCGCGCGGGCAGGGGGGGGGGGGAGCATTCTGTTGGCACAGCTGCACGGACAAACCAACAGTCGCTCACCCCCGACGCGCTGGAGACACCGAGTCGACGTATTTCAGGGCGGAACAGGGCGGCGGTCGGCGCCCTCACACATTCTCGGGCGCGTCTGTAGAACCCAAACCTGAGGTCAGTATATCACCGCGTCATCCTTGGCCGCGGGGGTTAGAGTCAGCGAGGAGGAGGAGGAAGAAGAGCGATGCAAGGCCCCTGGCTTCGAAAAGAACATCTTGGCGGACTCCTCGGAGGTCAGTCGCGACCGGGACCGGCGGACTTTTCTGGCCATGGGCGATCGCTGCATGACCCGCGCCGCCATCGTTTGGGCGGCTCGAAGCTGCGGTGAATCGGAGAAGTTGCCGAAGGCCTCGTTCCCCGACGCCATACTTTGCATCCTTTCCCGCTCGTCCTCGCCGAGGTCTGCGAGCGCGCTGTAGCAGTCGGTGAGGACAAACGTCAGCTCGACGACGATGACGGTCGCAGCAGGCAGCACGACCACGATAAAGAGGGCGGCGGTGAACTTGTCCTCTCCCACTTCGGTGAGGCGGAAGACGTCACCCGCCGTCCCGTCTATCCATTCCTTGAACGGCCCCTTCATTGCAATAATCAGCTTGCAAAGCGCGAGCTTGCCAAGCAAGTAGAGGTTCCACCCATTAAAAAAGGCCATGGCGTTGGTTATGAAGTAGCGTTCCACGGCGGTGCGGTCTCCGTCGAGGCTCTCGGCCACCGTGCCCGCGTTTGCAATCAGCCACAGGCATGACAGCAAGAAGGTGAACAACGTGATCGCCAGGATGTGCAGGAGACTCTCAGGCACCTTCGGGCCCGCGTTCAGCACCGGGAACCACTCGTACAGCATGTAGATCACCGAGTTGCCGCTCACCCAAGAGAGCATCATCTGGATTAGGTTGGAGAGCTCGATGGCGACGGAGGAGAGGCCCTTCGGTTCGCCGTCAGCGATCTTCGCGAGGTAGATCTCCATCTGCGCGAGCTTGGTCGAGATGAGCGCGCCTCCGAAGCTGACCGAAAGCATGTAGGCGAAGGTCATCCGGGCGGTGAAAGCGGGGTCCAAGCTCTCGCCAGGCACGCCGGCGCAATCGCTGCTGAAGAACCAGTCGTAGGCCGTCTCGTCCCAAAGGAACATCTGCGCGGCGCACGGTGGTGTGAGGTGCTAGTCTCGTCCGCTGTCCTGCGTGGGGCTGGCGGGGAGGCATCCCCACACCACCACGATGGAGAGCGCGCGGATGACGAGCGCCAGGAAGTCCTCGCAGTAATCCTCCATCCAGTCGATCAACGCGCCGGACCCCCACTCTATCTCGAGCGCATACGGCTTGACGAAGGCGATGAAGACTGCCGTGGCGCCCGTCCAGACCAACGTGTGTGTCACATTCAGTCCGACGCAGCCCGTGGTTCTGCAGCCCGCCTCCCTCTGCTCCACCAAGAAGGCGAGCGCTCCGTATGCCGCATTCCAGCCGACTATGTAATTCATCACCGTGGGCACCAGCTCTACGCCGCGCACGGGCTTGCGCCCCGCCCGCTGAGCCCGCTCGATGTAATCCTCGGCTAGGTGCTTGAAGAGGCCGCCCACCGGCACCAGGCAGAGCACGAGCAGCAGCCACTGGTGCGAGGTGGCCGGGTGCTGTACTGCGGGCAGATCGATGTCATCGTAGAACCAGGGCGAAGAGAACCTCAAGATGAAGCCCTTGAGAGCATCACTCCACACGCGCGAGACGACGAATATCAGCGAGCCCACAAGCAGCCCCCCCACATCATTGGCAGCCCGCTTCACACTTGCAGCGGCGCGGTATCGCAGTCGGTCTCCACAGGACGGCTGCGCCGGCGCCGAGATGGAAAGCTTCCCCGACTCGAGCAACGCCTCCTTGGCAGCGGTGCGCATCGAGGACGAGGCGCGGCGCCTCAAGCTCGTGTGCCGCGGTCGGCTGTTACCCTGACTGTCCACGAACGGACGCGCGCAAACCTCGATGCTTCGCTGCAGCATCAATGATTCCTTGCCAATATTCGACCCCAAACAAGGTGCCACCGCCTCCCCGCCGCGCCACTCCATCCTACCGCTTCCGTTTCCCTGTTTGCCCCAGTCATCCTTCACACCGCCGCCACTCTCCTCCCCCACCCTCGCCACCCGCCTGTCGCCACCACCCGCGGCTCCGCCGTTGCCCTCGCCACCCGCTCGCTACCGCCCTCCCCCCCACCTCCTCCACACTGCCGCCGCCGTCACTCACGCCGCCGCCGTCACTCACGCCGCCGCCGCCCTCCACCTCGCCCACGCCGCCGCCGCCCTCCACCTCCCCCACACCTCCGCCAGCCTCCACGCTGCCTTTCCCGCCGCAACCCTCTCCTTCGCCGCCCCTCGCCCCCACCGCCCCCCTACTCCACCCCTCGCCCTCCCCCCCGCCCTACCGAACCACCCACCGCCCGCCCATGCCGACTTCCGCCCTCCCGCCGCCCTCCCCCCTTCCCGCCCCTCCGCCCTCGCCATCCCCCATCTGTGCCCCTCCCCGTCCGCTCCCTCCCGCTTGGCGCCCATCCCGCCCTCCGCCCTCGCCCTCCGCCCCTGCCCTGGCTGGCCTGGGTGGCATCTCCTCATCATCACGCGCCAATTGGGAGGGAAGTGGACGGGGCCCTGAGCCGACCTAGCCGCCAAACGGAATGGGGCGCCCAACACGTGCCGGATTACTGTGCCCTCCCCGGTGCAGCCTTTCGGTTCGTGAAGGGTCGGTGCGTGTCGTGACCCCCTGGAACAACCGTACTCTCCCGCACCATCTCCGTTGCTCGGTTTTACAACCTTGCCACCACCGGGAGGCGGCCAGGGATCATAGACTCGGTCGAGAGACCCCACCCAGCCAGATTGGCATCCATGCCTTTCTGGACAGGGTGGCCCGCCACAAGGATTGCCCGCCAAAAGAAAGCCAATTCTTGACTTGGGCCCTCAGCCTGCGGGCGGCCTTCTCTCGAGGTCTCGAGATACACAAAGCGACCAACCACAAGGACCCCAGGAATTGCGACTCGCCGCTTTCCTCCCGCTGTGATTCTGTGTGAGCTCTGTGTCTTGACTTGCCAACAACAAACCTAAAAACAAACCTTAACCCTTTTGCTTCATAAGGGTCCTGAGGACCAAATCTCGATATATCTCCAGTCGTAGCGGTGGAACTTTAAAACGGATCGGTAAATATTTAGCCATGTATGAGAGGATTACGCCACAGTGTCGTTTGAGTCGACAGTAAATCTCCCACAGCCCACGTAAATCCGTCTTTTTCAGGCACCCGGAGCCCTCCGCGGCCGCTTCTACGCCGGCGAAGCACCATCAAGCTGCTGTACGGCCCCGGCATCGCCTCCCCTGGCTTAGCTCTCAGTCAAGATATTGAGCACCTGGGTGGCCTCTACAATATACTCACTGACACTGAACCTCCCAGAGCTCGTCCCGGTCCGTCACGGCCATCCTCGTCCTCCGGCGGGCCCCCGGCCGCGGCGCGGTGCGGCGGCGTCACAAATCCGACCACAGAGCACCGGGACGCGGTCGGGCGATCTGAGGCCCAAGTAGGCGAATGCATTGCCCATCCAGGGCTATCACCTGGACCTATCAACAGGCGCCTGCGGCGCCGTGCTCAGGAGTTGGTTTTCACTCGCTCGAAATGTGTACGTAAAAGGGTTAATAAATAAATAAATAGAGCAGTCATCTCCAGGGAGAGATGGGCGACGCACACGAACACAGAGGGTCAGTGTTAAAGAAAGAAAGAAAGAAAACACACAACCCAAGGGAGGGAGGGTCAGTGTTAAGGTGGCAGTCCGGGTTCTGTGAAGAGGGTCGCTCGTCGAATGCGAGCCAGTTCGCTCGCGACGCCGACGCCGACGCCGCCGCCGGAACGACCGCGGCGGCCGGTCGAGCGGCCGCCCCGGCCAGCGGCCGTATCGAGCCTGCCCGTCGCGAAGGTGCGGACCTCACGCGCCCCACCGGCCGCCCGCGCCGCCGCGCCCACGTCGCTCTCTCGAAGCCCAGCGCCACGCCGCTACGACTCCCATCGCGACGACTCCCGTGCTCGCTCCTGGCGCAGGCGATCGACTCCTGACACCCATCGAGCGGATGGGCGCGTTCCCGCCGCGACCCGGTACTCTCGAACGACTTTTGAGGGCAAAAGGTGCCGCCCGAGCCCATTCCCGCCGCCCGCCGCCCGAGATCAGCTGCCACCGGCCAGCGCGCGCGCGGAGACCTGCCGCGAGCGCCTCCGTGGCCCTAGCTGGGGTGATTAGCAAGCGCCTCGGCACTTTAGATTCGCCCCTCGGGCTTTTCCGCGCGCGTGATCAGTCTCGCGTTCTCTCCTTTTTCAGGCGCCTGTTTTCGGCCTCTGAAGAGCAACCGTCGAGGCGTCGATGCTCGCCTCCACGACCGCGCCAGACCTCCGCGATTGGGGCGCCTTGTCGACGGGATCAATTGTTATTCCGAACACATTTTTCTGGCATTTTACTCGCACGTCGGCGACTCTTAGTCGCTTCTCCGTGCTACGAGGCCTCTGTTTTGTGTCCGCGAGGACTAGATCGAAACTAACATTTCGGCACATTTCAGTTAAATGCCAGAAAAATGCGCATTCACTCACAATTCATGTGTATATGAACGGTGCCGACGGGTTTGGCGAGCATCGAAGCCGTCCAGGCGCAGCAACGCGACGGATTCGGAGGCCGAGGGCTCCGAAAGAGCCTCCCGAGCGAGGCCGGCGCGGTCACGGTGCCGTGGCGGCCACCGACGTCGCCGGAGCGGCACTCCCGGGGCGCCACTCCCTCGCCCGGTCAGGCGGGGCCAACCACAGCCCGCCTCACCGTCCGTGGAGCCTCTGTGGTCCGCCGGTCCGGCTTCGACTTTCGACCCTCCGGGGGCTGCGCGGAGCAGCCCCGCGGAGCCTCCCGGATGCATCGGCACACCGTCGTCCAGGACGACGGCGCACGCGCCGCCCAGCGACCGGGCGGATCGGCCCCGACTAGGGGCGGGCCCAGCCGCGCGGAGAAGACCATCCCACTCGCGGTTCGTCGCACCGTCCGCTCCGGTTTTCGTCTCGAGCGGGTCGTGAGACGGCCGCGAGAGCGAGCACCGCGGTCACGGTACCGTGGAGGCCACAGACGTCGCCGGAGCGGCACTCCCGGGGCGCCACTCCCTCGCCCGGTCAGGGGGGGCCAACCACAGCCCGCCTCACCGCCCGTGGAGCTTCCGTGGTCCGCCGCTCCGGCTTCGATTTTCGACCCTCCCGAGGCTGCTAGAGCAGCCCCGCGGAGCCTCCCGGATGCATCGGCACACCGTCGTCCAGAACGCCGGCGCACGCGCTGCCCAGTGACTGGGCGGGTCGGCCCCGACTAGGGGCGGGCCCAGCCGCGCGGAGAAGGCCAGCGAGCTCGAAACACGTCGCCGCGGCCGGCCGTTTCGCAAGCCTGAGCGGGTCGCCAGACACCCGCGAGAGCCAGCAGCTAGAGCGCCGTCGTAGCCGCAGATCGAGTCGAGGAGCTTGATGTCCACGGTAGCAGTTGTGGAGAGCGGTGGCACGGTGCGTGTAGACGCGTCGATTGAGGGCTCCCTTTCGAAACGCGACGGGTACGGCATGACAACTGCCAGTACAGTTTTACGCCGGCCAGCGTGAGAGCACAACAGGGAGCCGGCGACCCGTACGCTTTGCGCGTGGCGACTGGTGGCTGTCTGGAGCTCGTGTGAGCTGGGCCGACGCGTGGCCGAGCCGAGAGGACCAGCGAGCGACCACGTTGGCGATGAAGCTTGGCGGCCGGCGCCTCGTCGCCAGACGTCACAGCGGCGTGGACGTAGGAGTGTGCGGCGACGAGTACCGGCAAATCCGGCCCAGTGTGGCCGGCAGCTGCCTAGCGCTGGCCTGTGGCCGGCGCCGCGGTGGCGGATAAGGCGTCTCGCCGCCGTGGCGGCGGTCGGCAGGTGCGAGCGTGATGCCATCTTGCGAGACGACACCCGTCTCGCAAAACCCGGACTGCCACCTTAAAACAAACAACAATGCAACGAGGATTTCAGAGTTCGGCCATCTTGGGACAAGAATAATGGCGCAGCCCACGACGACGCCGCGCCGGCGGCGTGGCTCGCTGCTCACCTCCTATTACGGCGGCACGACGGACGCCAGCGGCGCGCCGGCCGAGGCCTCCGTGGATCCCTTGGACGACATGAACATCGACACGGACGGCTTCAACGCGCCAAAGTACGTCGGCTCGCTGCTGCAGTACAAGAGCCTCGAGCAGCTGGTGGGGCGCGGCAACTCGATGGTGTCGGAGATCAAGTCGCTCGACAGCGACATGCAGATGCTCGTCTACGAAAACTACTCCAAGTTCATCTCGGCCACCGATACGATTCAGGAGATGAAGGAGCGCGTCGACGGGATGGAGGGCGCGATGAAGGCGCTCGAGGACAACTTTGGGTACATCTCGCGGGCGAGCGAGGCGGTCTCCTCATCCTTCTCCGCGCGGCGCGGCGAGCTCGAGCGGCTCAACACGGTCAAGAAGACGCTCAAGAAGCTCCAGTTCCTGATGGACCTCCCCGCGCGGCTGCAAGACTGCATCGCAGAGGGAGAGCTCGCGCTGGCGGTGCGGTGCCACGCAAAGGCGGTCAAGATCATGGCGGCGGCGGGCAAGCACGCGGCCGGCTTCGACGGCATCCGATCCGAGTGCGAGCAGATCATGGCCCGCCTCTCCTCGAGGTTGCGCCCCGTCGCCCCTCTTCGCGCCGTCGCCCCTCTCCGCGCCCCTCGCCCCTCTATCGCCCCTCGCCCCTCTCCGCGCCCCTCGCCCCTCGCCCCTCTCCGCGCCCCGTCGCGCCGCCCTCGCCTCGCGCGCCTCCGTCTCGCCCCGCCCGTCTCACCCGCTCACCCGCGGCCGCCCCTGGCCCCGCCTCCTACCCCAGCCTGCACGAGCGGCTCGAAGACGAGTCCCTCCCGCCCGACGCCCTCTGCGAGACCGTCTGGCTCCTCCTCCGCCTCGGCGGCAGAGAGGACTCCCTCCTCCCGACCTTCCTCGAGCGGCGGCGCAAGGCACTCACCACCGCCATCAACGCCTTCACGCCCGCGGTCGGCGCCGATGCCGCCGCCGACGCCGACGCCGCCGCCGACGCCGCTGCCGACGCCGCCGAGGGCGACGCCGCGGAGGCGCCGGAGGCTGGAGAGGGCGACGGCGCGGGCGGGCGCGGCGAGGGGCTGTTGCCCGCCCGCGCGCCGACGCGGAGCGTGACCGCGGAGCACACGCGCCAGCTGGGCGCGCTGGTGGTGCCGCAGCTGCTCGAGCTCGTCGCCGCGTGGCGCGACAAGTTTGGCGGCGAGGGCGGCGGCGGAGAGGCAGAGGCCTCGCGCGAGCGCAAGGAGGGGATGCTGGCCGAGTGCGTGGGCGAGGTGTGCGGCGCGCTGCTCGAGGCGGTGCGGCAGCTGATGAGCGAGGAGGCGGTCCCGTCCGAGGAGCTGCTCGAGGGGTGTGGCGAGCTGCTCGACGCCATCGCGCCGCTGCACGAGGCGACCTCCGCCGCCAAGGGTGTGCCGCTGTGCATACTGGCGCATGAGTGAGATGACGTGTTGACATTAGGAGCTCCCCGCCGCCAAGCTGCAGCTGCGCGCGACGCGACTCGCAGAGGGGCTCGCGCGCCGGTCGGTCGAGCAGCAGCTGGCGCGGCTCGGCGACCGCCTCTCCGGTGCGGTGGAGGAGATGGCGTCGCCGGACCCGGACGGAGACGCCCCCTCCGGCTCCCTGCACGCAGAGCTGCGCGCCGTCGGGGGCACCGCCTCACTGTGCGTGCGCGACGCCCTCTCGCTCGTCGCGCCGCTGCTCGCGCCGCTCTGCGAGCAGCTGCGCACGCGTGCGGACGGGATGGCACTCCACCTCGTGCAGCGGCTGCGAATGAATCGAAGGAATCGAAGGAAGAGAATTGAGAGAATTAGGCGCTCCACCTCGTGCAGCGCCTGCACGCGGCGGTGCGCTGCATGCTCACAAAGGCGCTCGCGCCGCGCCGCGCCCCGCGCGCCGTGCTGCTCTGCGCGGGCTGCTGCCTGCAGATGGCGGCCGGCGGGGTGGCGGACGTGCCAGAGGCGCTGCGGCAGCTGCTTGCGCCGCAGGGCCTCGCGGGCGCCGCACTCGGCTTCGATTCGGCGGCGCTCACGGCAGACTTCCGTGCGGCGGCCGACTCGCTGCTGCAGCGTTTCGTCGAGATGCAGGCGCAAGCCCTCTCGCGCCACCTCTCGCGCCGCGTGCAGGCGACCGGCTGGCTCAACCGCCCTCCTCATTCCTCCGCCGCCATCATTCTAGTGAGTTCCGATGGTGCTAGGCCACCGACTGGCTCAACTGCCCTCCGCCGAACGGAGTGACGCCGCTGGTGCGCACGCTGGTCGCCGAGCTGAGGGCGATGCAGCGCGTCGCCGCCTCCCTCTTCCCCTCCGAGCCGCTCAAGCCGATGCTGCCGCAGGGGCCGTTCCCCCCGATGACGCCGCTTGAGCAGCAGCTCGCCGTCAAGCTCGCCGCGTCGGCGGGCGGCGGGGGCGGGACGGCGTCCATCCAGATGGACCTGCAGCGCATCTTTGCGCGCAAGGTGTCGTTCGAGGCGGGCGGCTTTGACGGCGGCGGAAAAAACGCTCGCGGCCGCGAGCCCACGCTGGGCGGGATGGTCGGCCACGTTGCCAAGCTGACTCTCAAGACGCTGGTGGAGGAGGTGCGGTGCGCCACCTTTTCTAAGCACGGCTTCCAGCAGATGCAGGTCGACGCGGCGATGCTGCGCTGGGTCCTCCCCGCCGCCGCCGACGGCGAGCCCCTCCTTGCCCTCCTCGACGAGGCGTTCCTCTCGTGCCAGGCGCGCCATCGCCGACCGCCCTCGTACCCCACTCGCCGCTCGCCTGCCCGCGAGTCGAACCCCTCCGCTCCGCTGCAGGAGCGCTCTCTCGAGTGCGTGCCGCTCGAGCACACCGTGCTCGAGGCCTTTTGCGAGAACGAGCGGCGCAGCCTGCTCGCCGCCATCCACTAGCCGCGTGTCCCGAGTCTTCGTGTTTTGGAGGAGCGATGTGTGTGATGGGCGGGAAGCTAGAGGGCACGCGGGGGGGGAGGCGGGCGCGCTAGCCGCTGGCGTTGCGGCGACACCACACGTGATAGTGTGTGCTGTTCTCAGGCTAGGTCTGCTCTTCTGTTTTGAAGCCGCTGAAAGTGAAACGCAAACTCAAGACACCATGGTCCATGCATGTTGCATGCCATGTCGGCATGTGGGGGGGGGGGGGGGCATGGCGCATGCGCACGGATATCTCGACACTAGAGGGTGTGTTCTTTTCATATCTGTTTTTGTTTGTGGTTTTGACCGTCTGACACTGAAGACTGAGGTTTGAGCCCTGGCTGTAAGCACAGGCACGAGGCTGTCAGGTGCCGTTTCAGGTGATCTGTCGCGAAGGTAGCTGTCGGGCACTGTCCACTGTGAGTCGTCAGGCACACTGTCAGGTGCCTCTGTCAGATCAGCTGTCAGGTGCTGTCAGTGCTGACTGTCGGGTGCTGTCGGGTGCTTGTCTGACAGGCGAAGTGCTCTGGTGCTGTCGGGTGCTGTCGGAGCTGTCGGTGTTGCGGCTGTCAGACGCTGTCGGAGCTGTCAGAGCTGTCAGTGTGCTGCTGCTGTCAGACGTAGGGCCGGTGCTGTCAGGCCACAGGCGCTGTCAGGTGGTGCTGTTGGGGTGCTGTCAGGCTCTGACACTCACCAGCCACACTTATGACACTATCAAGAGGACGCAGCTTCCCCCCTCCTACGGCGTGATCACCCCGGCGGCGGCGGCCGCCTGGGGAGCGCAGATGGCGGCGTGCAGGCGCAGGCCGCGGCGGCGGCACAGGCGGCGGCGGCCAACCCCACCCCGACGCCGTAGGCACATACTGTAGGGCCCCAGAAGGATAGCTGGTAGCTTCATTTGTAGTAGCACAGCCGCCGGTGCTATACGGAGAGGGGTCTGCAGAGAGAGGTGGGGCGGGAGGAGACCCATGACCATCCCATGACTACATGGACCACACTCACATGTCTTTGCATGTAATTTTGTTATACCCTCATGGGGCACAAGAAAGAGGCTCTACGGGGTCTGTGTACGGTCTGGGTGCTGCTATCGGGCTGTCAGCGCTGCTGTCAGGGCCACTGTGTGCTGTCGGGCTGTCGGGCAGCTGTCAGGCTGTCACGTTAGGGCCTGACAGCGACGGAGCACCTCGCCTGTCAGACTCTGCTGTCAGGCTGTCAGATACGTGCTGTCAGGCTGTCAGAGAAAGTGCTGTCAACGCTGTCAGGCTGTCGGGCACTGACTGCCAGGCGCTGTCCGGGGTTTGCTGTCAGGCTGGCAGGGCTCAGTTGACCGTATGCGAACGAGACACCAGCAGTTAGGTTAGGTTAGGTAGGAAGGTGAAGAACAAGGTCACAGATCAGCGCAAAAGAATTCGAACAGCCACGACGTGTTGGAGGCCGACACGACGTCGCCGGCGGCTGTAAAGCAGACACCGCTCACAAGCAGCCCCGTGTGGATTCCTGAGAGCGTGCGTGTGCACGTGGCAGAGGCTCCCTCAGCCGACTCGGTGGGGACGGTCCACACACGGACGAGCCAGTGATGAGCTGGTCGTCTCCGAGCGTGTCCACGCGGCGCCTGAGGGAGGGTAGAGGATGTAGAGTTTGTAGAGTTGACCCCAGTCAAGGTTATGGGAGCGGCCATAACAGGTGTTATGGCTGGCTGCTCATAACACCTCATAACACCTCATAACACCTCATAACACTCATAACACATCCCACTGGTTGTTATGACAGCGAGCATAACAACCTCATAACAGCTGTTATGTGTCCCACGGATTTTTCTTTTGGAGCCACGCCGCGCGTATCCCGGCGTTCGCCGGTAAATTCTTCTTTCGGAAATTGTAAAATTCTTCTTTCGGAGCGCCCGCCAACCATGGCCTACCGGATGAAGATGTTCAAGAGCCAGAAGCCCTCGTCGGTTGACCTGCGCGTCTCCGACTTCAAGAGGGTTCCCGGCTTCAACTATGTGTCGGCGGAGGACGAGCACACGGACAACTCGCTGTGTGCTCTGACATTCGAGAGGCGTGGGCCATCAACGCGTCAAACGGCCTGCAAATCTACGCGTTTCCCGAGGGATCGAAGGACGAGTCGGCGACGTTTGTCAACACGCCGAAGATGTTTCAGAGCGTCATGTCCGTTTGGTGTGCCCGGCCATCCGACCTCGGCTCGGACATGTGGCTAGCCGTCGTCGAGATTCCGAGCAAGCCGCGCGCGGGACCTGTTCCTTTTTACCCATCTCACAGTAGAGGTGTCCGTTTTTATTTACTCGCGCGCGGCAGCGAGCGCGCGAAGCGAAAATTCCAGCGGCGAGCAGTTCGGTGTGGCCTCGCTTGCGTCTCGGGCCATAACACCGTGGATCCGGGACGGCTCTCTCATAGCAGCCCATAACCGACATGTTATGGGTGTTATGGGTGTTATGGGGCCGGCCCCATAACACCCATAACAGGCCCCATAACACCCATAACAACCCATAACATGTTATGGGCTGCTATGCCCCGAGAGCCATAACACCATAACAATAACTGCGCCTGGGGTCAAGTAGAGCGCTGTAGAGCTGTAGAGCTGGACAGCGCTGTAGAGCTGTAGAGCTCTACATCCACCGCGTGACGAACTGCGTGCGTTGTAGAGCGATGTAGAAAAAAAATTGCTTTTGAAGAAAAACGGGCACGCATAGTCTCCCCCCTCCATTCTCTCCCCCCTGGCGTGGCGCGCCTCTCCCCCAGCTCTCGGTATCGCGTACTGCACGAGGCTACCGTGGGCCCCGCCTGCGCGCTGGGGGTTCCCTGCCCTGTCGGGAAGCCTAGCTCTTAACCTGGGGTCGCTACCTAATGCGGGGCGAATGAGTGATGAAGTTAGTGCCTTGGTGTCCGTTCCCCATGGTGGCTTCCCCTGGTCTCACGACCATGAATGAGAGCTCTCACTCCCAGGGTACTCCCGCGTATCTCGGCTCCCTTATCCCCCCCCTCTTCCCTCCCCTTTCTCTCTCCGAGATGACCCGTGCGCTACGTGCCTAGGTTCGGTCCTCGGGGAGGGGGGATTGGCGGTGTGTCCTCGCGAGTTGTTTGTCGCTGGACGCCCGACAGTTTCGATTTCCCTCCTTAGCGCCCCGGGTAGAGCGTGGCCTCCCCTGGAGCCTGCCACGCCCGTTCTGTCTAAGCCCAGGGTTCAGCTTTCCAGTTGATCCTTATCGGACTGGTGAGTTCCTTCTCGCTGTCAGTGTGACGCCCCGGCAGTCATTGGCGGCGGTGCTACACACACTATGCCTGGATTCGTTTTCTCCAAAGGAGTGACAGCTTAGCGTATTGTTGCACTATGCACATAGCGGTTTAGCAGGAAAGAAATTTTCGCCATCGTGTTTTTCTTTTTGTGCTTATGGCAGTAAAAAGAACTGCGTGCGGCAGGCTCGGGCTCGGTCGATATCCCAGACTTCGACTCACATCTTCATTGCTGCGGTGTGTGCCCGGGGAGGCGCGGCAGCGGGGTGGATTGAGAAGGTCTCAGAATGCAGAGAAACTGCAGGCGTGGGCAGAGGCGCGCGCTGCAGTTTCTCTGATCGGGCTGCTGGCGGTGTGAGCGCGGGACGGCGTGGTGAGGCGTGAGGCAGGCTATTGTTGTGGAGTGCGGGCTGCGTCGTTAGGCGTATGCGTGCCCATGGTGCTGTATGCTGTGTGTGCAGGCAGGCTGGCGGTCTGTGCAGCAGAGAGCAGGATGAGCGCGCACGCGCGCTCGTGCGGGCGTGCGTGCGCGCAGCGTGCCACGCGCGCGCCTCGTGCAGTGCAGACAGGCGCGAGGCGGCAGGGGCGCAGTGCGGAGCACGCGGGCTGAGCTGTGTGTGCAGGCAGGCTGACAGGCTGTGGAGCAGACTGAGCGGATGAGCGCGCGTGCGCGTGCGTGCGGGTGCGTGCGTGCGTGCGCGCCTTGCGTGGTGCAGGATCTGTGTCGTACTCGCGGCGCGTCCTGGTACAGCCGCTTGTGAGATGCCAGAAGCAG